ACAAACTAGGGCTTACCAAATAGAGCACCCAAGAGCCGCTAAATACGGTAGAGCATATGTGCCAGAGACCGCAAACACCGCTGCACTTACACGGAAACCTCCACACAGCATGAACGACAGAACACAAAAATATTTAAAAAAAAAGGAAAGCAAAACACATAAAAACAATCATAAAAAAGTTAGGCAGGCAACAAAAAAGAAAGCTCACTAAATTCAAACAGCAAAAAAAAAAAAAAAAACGGGCAAAGCAATTACAGCAAAAGAAAAAGGTAAGCAAAGATAAAGCTTTCCAAGTGCGACAATTGCTCAACCGTTGTTGTGAGCACGCTGGACGTGCCGAAGCCTTTTTTCTTTCCTGATTTTATTTTGAGGTTAGGGAGTCATGTAGCATCAGCAGTGTTCGGGGAAAGGGTGCAGGCTTCTGTTCCAACACTCCCTGCTCTCTTGCCATCCTCACTTTTCTTCTCTTTTTTTTTACGGTTCCTTGTTTTTCTTTTTCCACAACTGCTCTTTCGTTGCTGCGTATCTTACCTCGTATCTTACCTCGTGTATACTGGCTTGGCACCTGCGCAATCGGATAGCATGAAAAGCAATGGGCGGGGCCGCCGGGCTTTTTCGCTAGTTCGCTATATCGATTGTCCCCACCATGGGAGTTCGATACAAAAAGACAATGTTCCTATAGTATTACATGTGATTTTCAAGGGATGTTTGGACTGTTTGATATAAACAATAATTCGAAATACCCGAGTGCGATATAACCGGGCTCGACTGTATACACCGCAGTTTCCTGCTCATAACCTAGCTACACTGCTTAACAACATTTGCATGAACCACATTGATATTCACTGTATAGCTAAAAAAAACTGCACTTTTTTGTTTTGTTTAGGTAAATAGAATTGTTTTAGCGGAAATTTTATTGGAATGTTTTCAATTGTTTTGATACAAATTCGTATGAAATGTGTTGAGTGGTTTTGCATCCTTTTTAGAAGTGTTTAAATAGGATTGTTTTTAAGTCATGCATTCCTTGTACACGCAAGAGCACCGTGCTCAGTCAAGCTAGCTCTTGGTAGCTTTTTGTCCGGTGTCCTCAGTATTATGTTGCTGTTAATAAAGTTCAAAGTTCCCTTCTGAAGACATCCTCATAAAGTTCAGCTCGGCTTCTATTGCCGCGACCCTTTCTTTAAGGCTCCTTATTGTAACGTCCATTGTTGATTGGGTGCCCTGAAGCTTCTTATAATTTTGGCAAGCATGTGACTTTGGCCAATTTCGATTCTAGTTATGTTCAGAATGTCGGCCACCTGGGATTCCTCACTGTCTGGACCAGGTTTGGTTTCAGTATCCCCGGACATTTGCAGAGTTAGTGACGCTAGGTAAACAGCATGAGCGCTCTGCACCAAGAACACAAACAGACGGCGATGACACTCAAGAACGTTGTGTGAGCATGAACCTTTTAGGGGGCGAAGCTTCTTGTCCATCCGTACGGCGTCCGTGCTCACATCGATTGCACTGCCTCCGGGATCGGCCCACTTTTTAAAAAAACAAACGTACGCCCGCACGGGGGTTCAAACTTAGGACCGCTTGCTTACGAGGCAGACGTCTTAACCACTACGCTACACACCAGTGTTGCGGAATGGGCACCCCCATTCCATTCCAATTACATTCCGGGGAATTAGAGTTTTCGATAATTCAATTCCTTTCAATTCCTAGGAATGGAGACACTGAGCCCATTCCCACTCCTGACAGGCTGAATCGTTCCATTCCATTCCTTTAATTCCTAAGCGTAAAAATTGGCACTTGACAGCTACATTTTGTTGCCGGCATAAGCAGCATAAAGCTGACATTATCAAATGCAAAGACAATTGCAAAAAAAAAAAGCTAAATTCCTTAAAAAAGCACTGATTTTTACTAAGCGGACCGCTGGTGGGTGGCAGGAAGTGTTTATTTACAATGTACTGCAAACATCGAGAAAGCCCCTTGATATGTCGATGCTTGTTTAAAACATTGGTCTCGCGACCACGTGGCTCGCAACAAACAGCAAAACTTGAATCCACTCATTTTCTTTTCTTTTTTTAACTTTTTTGCATTTGGCTTTTAAGACATACACGGCCAGCGTGTTTGTTTGATAAGACCATAAAAATATCCAGTTCGTGCGTGGCGCGGGAATAAGCTATATTACTGTATTCTTCAAATACAGCAACACTGCTAGTACACTGCTGGAAGCGACTCCATGCGCAGTGGCAAGAACACATCCTCTGACAAAATGCAACCTCTGCGGAGCAGCACGAGGGACTGTATAGACCATGTCACGAAACCTGTTTTAAAACGCATAACTTCACGCTTGCTTTACGAATCTCTATATTTCTTATCATATTCAATTCAATTCAATTTTTGGCTGGTTCGTCTGCCCTTTTCCTCTCTTCGCATACTCATTCTCGTGTTTCCTCTTCAGATGGCGAATAAAGTTCGATGATATATGCCAACTGCACCGTGTATAGTTTTGTTGCACAACTTTCAGCGTGTAGCTTGTTTATTTTCTTGGCGACTAATGTAGAAAAATGTCTTCTACGATGCCATGACTCGATCTGTATTTATCTTGTCTTCTCGTCCAAATTGATGTTCCTCTTCGCGCTGATCGAGTGGCGGGTTCAGGCAGCAGACGGTACCAACCGATTCATTCTTCTACCTCGGTGTCGGTTGTTCGAGTTGTGGCGACGGGTCGGGAGTCAGCGTTGACAAAGCTCTTCACATCAAGATACAATTATCGGGGTAATACCGCTCCTCAACAACACCGTCCAACTGACTTGTCACCGCCTCAAATAGGGTCCAGGACAAGGAGCACGAATGCAGACCGGACAGCCGAGACGCGCGGAAGCCAAAACCTCAGTGGCAGCTAGCACCCAGCTCTCCTTCTCAGTTGCCCTCACAGCAACGGTCGCGTCTCGTCTGGCACGGGACAATCTTTCTGCAGGTCTAGTCAGTTCGGTCACACCAAGAGCGGTGACGATAGTCTACGTCACCTTACGATGGACCTCAACAGACAGCACGAGAGCCATCGAAACCAATCCAGAGCTTTCTGTGTGTCGCGTGATCCTGCAGTCCCGCTCACGGTGCTGGATTGTCTAGGGTGACTCGCAGCGTCCGCAGCGGTCCATCCCAAGGTGAAACGAAGTATGCAGAGACTAAAGTCAAAGGAAATGAGCGGGAATCCGCTAGCTTGCTTGTAACCCCAACCCACTAAATCATATAACACAGAAAACAAGCACCGGAACAAAGACTAAGTAATAGGCGGACTTACACTACAAATGCAGTATAAAAAAAACAAGCCTTGGAGCAAAGCGCAAGAGGAGAAGAGGGAAGTGAATCTCGCTTTGGTTTTAATACCGAAGCAAACCCACATTTCGCACTTCAAAGGAGTGCGCACGAATGAACGTGGGAGGCAGCAGGGTTGGCTGCCTGCTGAACAACGCGCCTCGAACTATAAGAAAACAATACCTGATCATCTTTGGACGGCGCCCAAGTCAACGAGTTATCAGAGCTCTGCGAGTTATGAGTCGCTTCCGCTCCCAGATCTCAGTCTGTGCACGCGCGTGCATTCTACAAACCGTCGCAACAACAACAAGAAAAGCATGACAACAAGGACGATGAGGAGTTGTGCATGGCAGTTTCTTTCTTTGCCGCTCCCTTTTCTCTTGCTTGGTGCATGGTTTCTTGTTTCGCTCTCGTGTAATGCCATCGAAGCACGACGCCTGTGCATCCATGAAAGGCGCCACGTTACCCCCCTTTCCCTTTTTGCTCTTTGCTTTGACGCTTGTTTTTTGTATTGCATTTTTTTGGCGTATAAGTCTGTCAGGGGGGCTCCACGCGGGCTAGCAGTTTCTTGCTCATCTTATTTCTGAGCAACTGACTCACTGACTGGCTCAATTTAGCTGACCGTAAACACTAAAAAAAAAAAAAAAAAAAAAGAAGAAGAATTGTGCCCATTCCATTCCCATTCCATTCCGGGCAAAATGCACCTAATTCCATTCCCATTCCATTCCCCTCAACGTTGCCGCCATTCCATTCCGGGGTCGTGAAAATGCGAAATGATTTCAGAATCATTCCAACTCCGGAGTGGCAACTCCGCAACACTGCTACACACCAAAGTTGCATGTAGCCGTCAAATGCGTATATAATCGCGTTAAACTTTGCGTGCATTGGCTCAACGTTTATAGACGAGAGGGCGCTGCGGTCAACCGCTCAACTGCGTATATAACCACGATCCATACCACACATTCTCTTTCTGACATGGACCGTTGACTTGAGCAGTGGAGATGCGTTCCCACGGCTTCTAGTGGATCCAAGCTGATCCGCTAAAAGAACCACTGGCTCTGCATTTCACCAACCATAAAGGAGTAATAATGAAGTCGAAATGCAACCCGGAACTCAGCACTACCTATGAGCAATAAAAAAAATCAGCACCATCAGCACTGCCTATGAGCAATAAAATCGGTATCATCAGCACCACCGGAGTTTCGCCCCAATCAACATCATTCACCACGTGGAGATGCGGCCTCTTTTTATCTAAGGAGTTTGTACCAGTGGGTGAACGTAATAAAAAGTAGTAAAGACACGCATTCCTTTGACATTTTCTTCTTATCTAGACTTTGCTGCTAAGCACCAATCATGTTGAGCTTGGAGCCTACGGAACTTGCGGCTACTTTGCATGTATAGCTGGCGAAAATTACCCATTACAAGTTCTTTTTTTTTACTTTGCCTCTTCTGCACATTGAGAGAGAGAAAAATGTGAAGGTTGGGGAGCATTATTATTGCGACGCGAATATAGTGTTCTCGTAAGTTTGGTGACCTTTTCATATTTATTGGTGTTGCCTTTGCAGCTCCAAAAGAAGTTCCTCTTTTCCAGCACGGCAGATTCGTTACAAACCGACGCAAATGCCATCCGACTCCTTTGACTCGGTTCATATATTCCTAAATGTAAGGAGACGTTCCATCCTATTTTTCAGGCCCAAGGGGTGATGGGCAGTCAAGTGCACATTCCATTCCCCTTCAACAAAGAGGAGGAAAACGAGAAAGGTATGATGCATTGTCCTGTCATTTTTTTGCAGAATAGCTCTTCGCTACATGAATGTCTCAAATGGTTGTACCAGTAGTAGAAGCCCCAGGTAGCATAAGTCGGAGAAACATCCAACTTGGCACAAGCTTGGCAATCCTAGGGCCCTGACCTGGGCCTAATAGGGTTTTGTTCCGAGGCGTATAGTTAGTGCCAGAGTAATTTTATTTGGCATTTCTATGGCTTTTCTTTGGCTCGCCACATACTAATTGCCAAAGGGCCATGGGTTCAGCCAGAAATGCCAGATGACAGCGAAACTGCCACCAGTTAAGCCTAACTTTGGCAGTGATTTGTCGAATTAGGGCCAAGATACTCGGACCCTGGCCAAAGGGGACCAAGTTTGGCTCTGCCTTAATTTCGGCCCAAAGTATTGCACTATACTTGGGAGTGTAGTTGAACTTCCTTTCAATACAGACGTCATCTTTGGAAAAAGAGAATTGTTACTTTTCTCGCGATAAAATTACACTTGCGCATTGCCAGACGTTCGGAATCTGGTTGGACTAGTCAGCGGTTAGGAAAAGATGACATTGCTTCAAAAAGTTCACATTACTTGCTCATGTTAAAAACAAATTTTTTTAGAAAAAACAAACAAAAAAGTGGTTTTGATCGACAGCAGGCGCCATTCCTCTCATATATTCTCAAGCTCTACTGGTTGCTGTTTTATTATTTAAGATTTCGCGAAAATCACTTAACTTTTGAATTGCAACATTGGCATCTTATTTCAATTGCTGGCGCCCCGTTCAGTTGACGTGCAAGCGTTTGGCTGTGCATAACGCACGTTGGGGGAAGAGTCTTCACTTTTTTTAGTAAGACATGCCCCTATATCCATGACCTTACTATGCACCGAGAAATTGAGGGAGAGAAGGATACAAGATCGCACGAGGACATCAGAACGCTGAGCTCTGATTGGAGAGGTTAGTGGGTAGACCTAAAGCTAGGGGCCTTTGTCTTCACTACACTTGTCAAACACGTTCGAATGGGAGAACCAAACGCTGGATGCCTGCGTTTCACGTTTTAACGCGGTCGACGACTACACTGGAGACAAAGGTTGCTAGCTTTAGGTCTACCTGCTATCTGGAAGCTAGACGGACGCTCGGTCACTCGTTGCTTGCTCCGAATAACCTCCAGGGAACAAGCTGGTGAACCACCCGGCCGTGGAAAGTCTCGCGGAGGAGCTCCGGCTGCGGCTCTCGTGCGGCTACATGACGCTGATGCGGATGCGGACCTCGGAAGCGGACGACGACGTGCCCAACCTGGACGACTGGACGCTGCTCGACTGCTGCTTCGGGGTTCCACTTTTCGACAACGCCCTCAACAAGGACATCTGTGCCCGCATCCTCGACCACAACCTCTGCTCCGCGGACAAGTGAGTCTGCAAAGTTTGTGCCCATCCTCTAGCGATTGTAAGCAACTTGCGTGTACTGCGGGTGAAGTGCTTCAATAGCTGGAGCACGTCTCCACCGCAGAAGCTTTTGCAGCCTGAAGTTGGTGAATTCACCGATGGATCACCTCGGTCCCTGTGTGTGTTTGAAGGGGGCAGGTATAGACCGTACCTGCCCCTTTTTACGCACATGGTGACTCTAACCTTCTCGGGTTGTTCGATCTTATATGAAAGAACAGTGACAGTATGCGCAGGAAGCTGCAGCGGTAACCGCTGCAGCTTCCTTACTGGCGTGAAATTCATCTTTTGCGCCAGTCATGTTACCAATGGATTGCAAGCGAGTCGTGTGAAATGTATCTTTTCTGCACAGCCTCAAGTTACTGGTGGATAGCAACAGGAACCTTACGCAAAGGTTACTTCAGTTCATGTCTGACTTTGGGGTGAGTACCTTGTACTTTCTCCAAGACATTTCTTTTTAGTAATAGCCCGTCTTACTCGAAACAGCTCTTAGGTCATCACCATTTCAACATGACTATCTCAAGTGTTAGTAATGTGGGCTGGCTTCTGATTTGTGAAGTGCGACATGCCTTGCCAGAAAGTTAGAACCAATTTCTGACAATGTCAGAAATTGGTTCTAACTTTTGAATAAGATAACAGTTAGTTCTCAAACTTTGGCATCTGGTTCGAGCCACTAGGGCTACATTTAGGCTGCTAATGAGCGTTTGGTGATGCATAGTTTATTTTTGCGGTAAAAAAACCTTGTAAATTTTTGGGGGGGACACCTTGTATACGTGTACTATAGACGTTTGTACAGTAGAGTGTCGGTCTGTCTTGAAATGTTGTCTTGTGTCTGGTAGGACAAAGGGAGCACACCTTTAGAGAACATTAGCAGACGACTCTGGACTAGTGTTGTCTGCTAACTGTGGAGATTTGTGGCCGAGACATCCAATCTTTGTAGTAGTAGCCTTTCTCAGCTGACGGGGGGAAAACATGGTTTCAGGCGGACCCGATGATGGTGGACAGCGGAGAACTGCCGCTGCCCACACAGAACCTGCTCTTCCATGACGGCAAGCTCGAAGTGTGGGACGAGTACTAACGTTGAAACCGGACCAGAAATAAAAAAAAATGTTTTCTAGATACAGCCTAGCAGTGTTTCCTTTTTTAGTTCTTGTTTATGGAGATCTATCAAACTTTGCGAGTCTCACCCAATTTCATTGTGCTTCATCGGAACTTTTTCTCTCTCGGGTTTCAATGGTAAGCAGCGAGCACTAAATTGTAATGTTGATTATCATAGGCCGGTGGCCCCCCTCTGTGTGGAAAAGTAGCAACAAGTCTCAACCACCCTGCCAGCTCATGCATGCCTTTTAGGCTACCTTTCCGTATGCAGGACTTTCGACCCTCTGCAAAACTGTGCCAAGAAAAAAAAAAAAAAAAAAAAACCTAATTAGATGCAAGCGTTTACAGCGCAAGGTTGGTCTGCTATAGTATCGCGGCACTGGTTTACACTGCAGCTGAGAAATTTGGCCTGCGCAGTATGACTGCGTCTAGCGTCCTAGTAAGGATAGGCAGCAGTGGGGATTGAATTTGGGACCCCTGGTTTCTGCGCTTGACCACTGATCCCTCGAGACTGTACCCTCTGCTGGCATATGCACTGTGGAGCTTGCATGTCTACATGCACCAAAACTACAATTTCTCTGCGACTGGATGTCATTTGTGCCGTTGGCTATTCCTCCGTCTTAGAGTTCTGCGACCCTGTGAAGCTGGCACGAGGACTCTCCCGAAAGGAAGCATGAAAACCGATGTTGGTGATTACAAAGACGGTGTAGAACAGTGTAGGTGATAGTGTAGTATGAAAGCCATGCACACAATTATTGCTGATTGCAAGGAAACTGAAGTATGTGCGTACGATGGCCCTGCGGCAGTTGGTGATCACGGTGAATTCCTGCAACAGCCACACTGTTAATTCTTTCAAAACTTCCGACATAGGCGACTGTATAGCGCATTTAACACTCTTTCGCAGGAATCTTCTTTGACCAAACAATGTTAGAATACTATCGGCATCTTGGACACCTGAGACCGAGGAACAAATAAGGCTCTCTGTGCCTGCTTTCCAAGACATTCACCAGCTTGCTCCTATGTTCTTGTTACCTGTATTGTGTAAATAACACCGAAGATGCAGACAAGCTGCTGAACTTTGACGACACCCGAGCTTAGATCCACATGTTAAAAGCTGCACGGCATTGATGACAAAAATTTGACTTTTATCCCGTGGCAGGCAGGTAATTTGGGTCGAGGTAATTATAGTCTGCCCCAGCGAAGCTCATGTAGTCCCTGTCGTGAAACGTGGAGCAGTCCTGCGCCGTCCGCACGGGCTCCAAGTGGTGGTCGTCTCGGTGCGTGCCGAACTCGTGCATGCAGTCCACGCAGTCGCTGCAGAAGTCCACCGAACGCCCGGCAGGACAGTCCGTGCAGTGCCACCGCGTCCCCAGGATAGGATCTTTGTCGCACCGGTCACACCGGAAGCCCACGTGCTGCGCAAGGCCGGCCTTGCTCAGTCTCTCCTGTCGAGCCCTCTTCAGCGCCCGCAGTTCCTTGTACTCCGGAGTCTCTCTCGCCGATGCATCGAGGCTGTCGTCTTCGGAGACCGCCTCTTCACCCTTGTCGTTGGTAGACGACGCCTCGCTCTCGAGGAAGCTCCACGTAGACGTCGAGTTCTCCTCCTCTCCCTCGACCATGTAGACTGGAGGGCGGTGTGAGGCGAAGAAGGTGGAGTGCGAGAACATGACGTTGGACCGGTGGTGGTACTGGTGTCCTCGCCGGGTACCGGTACCTCCGATCCGCCGCGGCGCCGACACGTTCGGTATCCTTCCCGGTACCGGCAGGCCGGCCTTGGCTAGCTTGATGAAGTACTTTTGGACCCGGCTCGCGACTTGGGTGGGGGTCCGGTTGCCGAGCGCTTGGGCGATCTTCTCCCAGCGCCTGCTCTCCACTTCTTCCGGCGGGAACTTGAGGAGGCAGTCTTCGAGACGCTTCTGCTCTTCGGCAGTCCAGAGCTGGTTGAAGGTGGCCGGCTTGTTTTCGCTGAACACGCGGCCGCGGATCAGCACCCCGCTGGACTGGGTCGAGGTTTGCGATGCCGATGGTTTGGGCTCCGTTTTGGCGGTTTGCCTCGTGAACTGTCTCTTGCCTTCGAACCCGAACGCCGTGTTGCTCAGGCTGTACTGGCTCCAGTCGATGTTCGGGATCTGCGGGACGGTTTGGGGAAGCGGAATACCGACGTCCTCTTTCTTCTGGAGACGTTCGACAAATCGGATCGGGTCAGAGAGCGCTTGCTCGCGGACTTGGATGAGCTGTTCAATGTCGCGGATGACCTGCACCCTCTGGGCTTCTAATACTGCAAGCGTCTTGAGGACGTTACGGTAGTCCGCGTTGCCGCGGAGGGCCAGGTGATCAGACTCGAAGAAAAACTCGCCGATGTCGTCGTAGTCTTCGGGTTGCTCTTGGGACACGTCTTCAGTAAAAGGCGCGAAGTCCGAGTCGACGGGTTCGACTTTGATGCTGGGCGTGCTCGACGGTGTGGGGCCTTCACTGCTAGCTTTGTCGGAGTGGCCCGTCCCGCAAGCTTCAGCTGCATCCCGAGAACTCGGAAGGTTAGCTTCCATCTCGGCACGCTTATCTACGGCGCTAACTCTGGCATTTACATGAAACACGGATCTATTCGTGAACTTCGGAGATCAACAGTGCCCGTCTGAGAACAAAAAGACAACTCGCGGCAAACCGAAACTGTGCGCAGCGCCACTAGCGTTGTAGTTCGCCGTAACGCATACGCGCCTTGAGCCCTAAATCATCAAGTTGACAAAATAATTTTTGTAATTTTATACCTTTAAACACAGCTTTACAATTCGATTTTAAATATGTTACTATTTACGTTGCTAATAGAAGTATAGTGAATAGATGACAATTAAAATGACGGTATACAGCGCTAGTTACACCCAAAACGTTTTAATTTATGGGATTGACAAGCCTAGATGAGTTTACGGGCTAAAAAGACAAACACGTGCGGGTTTGTTTACCCGCCCAGGTTGCTCCAGTTGCTTCGCTGCGCGTTAACGAGAAGTTCCTATGTTTTCGTTCAAATTTTAGGAGAAGGGGAGGATAAAACAGGCCAAACATGCCCTACAAGCGACTCGTCCCACCGACCGACTCCGCGCTCATTCAGTGCAGCGACCACTACGTGATGCCGCGCCTGTCAAGTGCGCGAGACTACGGCACCGCAACGTTGATGTTTCTGACCCGGTCGAAAGAGGCGTACACGGCTTCTAGCGTGCTGGAGGCGTTGCGGGAGGTCGTCGATCCCTCGCTAATCGTTCAGATGGGACCCTTCGACTGCGATCACATCTGGTTGGTGAGGTTCTCGCTTCCCGCGGCCAGAGAGAAACTTCTGAGCGCCAAAGATGTCAAGTGCGACGGTCAGCCAGCGTTCTGCGTCCAACCGCTGGTCGAGCACTCGCTCCACAGAGGCAGGTGCGTCGAGAGCGGATTGGGTGAGTCTTGCCGATTTTAAAAGGAACGCTCTTTTATATATTGATCTCCGTTGGTTTAAATCGCTCCGTAGTGCACTTCGGCCGGAAATGGCTATACGCACTACGCGAAACTCGTATAAAACAAATGATTACAACTAGGGGTGTCGCTAACTTTTGTCGAACCAGAATTTTAGGTCAAACTTTCGGGGTTCGACTGGGTCGAATCGAATCGACGAACCTGCGAACTTTTAACCAAAATCGACCGGTTCGACCACTGATCTCAATGGGTGCGTTCAGTAGCGGCCCCGGAGTCAAGGAGTCACTGACTCCTTCCACTGGACGGCCAAAAGTCACTTCCGGTGCACGTAACTCCGGGGCTTCGGAGTCAAGCTCCGAAGCACCGAGTCCGGAGACGGTGCACGTAGAGTCAAAGGAGCTAAAATGACGTCATTTCCTGACTGGTGACGATTTCCGGCGCTAAAAGAGGAAAAACAAACAATATGGCGGGATAAGCTGCTTCGCTTCTGTCGCGGGTGCGCGGTTTGCTCGCTTTTGTTAATGAAAATTACTCAAGGTAAGACGAATAACGCATTCGAATATCTTTTTCAGGTAAGGCTCTTTCGGAAAATGCAGTGGACCATATTTTGTTTGGTATGAATATGTTAATAAACAACGCAAACGTTCATTTGACGCCGTGTCTTGATCACCGTTGCACGGAAACTTGGTAATATTGACGATAGTCCTGTCTGCGCTCAACAGAGCAAAACAGGGTATGAACGCGACTTTGGAAGCCGGTTGGACACTCACGCAAAGCATGATACCGATTAATGTTTTGTTTGCGTAGCTAAATTGGGGTGCACGTTGGCTGAGGCTCGCTTCGGCCGACAAAACCTTGATCGCCGAGCGCGGCCGAACTTCCCGTGTGTATACGAATACATTCTATAGCAAGTTCGTAACGAAGGGCAGAACAAACTTATGGCCATATAAAAGTATTGCAACCGGCGGGGTAGATTCGCTGAGCTCTGTATTTTGCGTGTACTGACGACGTTCTTTGTCGGCTTTTATAACAGTATAGCTGCCTTTGCACCGCCAAGCGAAGGGCTCGATCGCGTTGCATCGCTTCGAACAGCAGCGCTGATGTGTACAATCACCCGCTTTTTCTTCAACGATCTTGTGAAGACTTCTTCAATACCGGCGACAAATAAAAGCGATCGTGCTCGCCATCGTCTGCTTCCAGTTTATTCGGAGACCGTCTGGCACAGGGGAGGAAGCGGAAGTTGCGTAGAAGCAGGTTTGGAGCCACGGGTTTTTTTGCCGTTCAGTAGGCGCTCCGATGACTCCAACTCGAGGCACTCCGTTCGGAGGCAAGGGAGGCGCTACTGAACGCGCCCAATGACAATTGCTGGATCGCGCTTGCCGCTCCCGCAAGTGAAGCCACCGGGCGTCACTCGCTTGGGATACGATTTGCCGTTTTTGCTAGCCTTTGCTGCGGTTTTCCAGCGTGCTGACGACACGTTTTCTACTCGTTCGTCGTCATTCGCCGAAGACGTTTTTTGAAGGCTCCGTGTATTGTTGAGACTTTCCGTTGTGAACACGTGGAAAATTTTACGAAAGTGCAGTGTCGCAGGAAAAAGGCACAACGCGTCGAAAGGAAGGGTTGGCGGCGTGTTCAAAGCATCCTTGGCACGCCGAAGTGCCGTGTCTCTGTGCCTTCGCGCGCTTGGATACCGACCAAGAACCGACGCCGTGTGAACGTGTTTAGCGAGTGCAATGTGCGTGAAGCCGTATCAAAAGGTACAACTCGTCGAAAACGTGTCGCCGGTGTCGCGGCGTGATCAAAGCTTCCTTGGCACGCCGAGTGATGCATCTTTGTGCCTTCGCACGCTTGGATACCGGTCAAGAATTAACGCCGCGCCAAAGTTCTGAACGTGTGTCGCGCGTAGATGCCTTTAGATCATTTATATATATCGGCCACGGAGTTCTGGATCGTCCAGCTGTTCCGGTGAGTTGCTATCAATAAAAGGGGGAGATCTGTACGTATTCTTATGTACTATATTAACCATGGCTATGTCCCAAATCTACTCTAATAGATTCCGTGGGAGCACGAATAGGGCAACGTTCTACGTGGAGCCAGGGGGGTTTTCGAAAGCAAATGTACAAGACGGCGAGAATGAAAATCTTTGAAGCGCGGCCGATATGGTCGTGTGCAATCTGTTGACCAATTACAATTAGGCGAGTCGCGTAGGTTGATAATAACCTAGCACTAATCTGTGATGAGGAGCTGTTGTGCACGGTATTGTGTAAATCGTCTAAGGACGAAAAAAAGACGTACCTTCTCCCCATCTTCCGTCGCTAGTGGACGCTGGATTAAGCTCGTTCCTAAACCGCGAGGGGAAAAGACGCTGATCCAGAGGCACGAACAGCTTCACGCACATTGCACTCGCTGAACACATACACACGGCGTCGGTTCTTGGTCGGTATCCAAGCGTGCGAAGGCACAGAGACACGGCACTTCGGCGTGCCAAGGATGCTTTGAACACGCCGCCAGCCCTTCCTTTCGACGCGTTGTGCCTTTTTCCTGCGACACTGCACTTTCGTAAAATTTTACGCTGTTCACAACGGAAAGTCTCAACAATACACAGAGTCTTCAAAAAACTTCTTCGGCGAATGACGACGAACGAGTAGAAAACGTGTCGTCAGCACGCTGGAAAACCGCAGCAAAGGCTAGCAAAAACGGCAAATCGTATCCCAAGCGAGTGAAGCCCGGTGGCTTCACTTGCGCTGCAGCGAACAAGCGGGGAAGCGCGATCCAGCAATTGTCATTGAGATCAGTGGGTTCGACTTTGTGGACAGCGTGGCCAGTCCTTAACACAAGCATGTCTAAGTTTGGAGAATTTTTTTTTTAATGAAAAGGGTTATTTTATTTTATAAACAGTTGCGATTAAAAGAAACGAATTCTAATCACTAAAGAAGTTAACTTATTTTTTTTGTACTGTATTAACTGAAATAACCAATCAGCGCCGCCTTTAATTCATCCCTTAGCCATCACCATCCAATCCGAAGCCAACTGGCCAGCCTGTCGCGCATGCGCACACGAGTCGAACCTCAATACGGGGTTCGTCGAATTTTCCACTAAAAGTTAGAAAAAGTCGACCCTGGTCGAACTCGAACCTCGGCCGGTTCGCAACACCCCTAGTTACAGCCACTGATCTCAATTGTAGTAGGCTGGATCGCGGACCGCGGCCTCGGCAGCTGGGGCCGAGTGTTGCCACCGGCGGCCATTGATTGACACCAGCCAATGCACGGGTCTCTATGGGAAGAACGAGAAAAAGTGCCGTTTCCCCCGTTTCTAAGCTGTTGTCGGCACTGAAACTTTTTGGATACTTTTCGATAAGCCCAGCAAATAGCTTGCGTACAAACATTAGAACTAACAGCCCTCGCAGTTCTTATAAATAAATGTTTTGTGGTCGAGAGTGACTCCGCTGTAGTGGAGCTCAATGAGGCGAGAGTTACCTAGAGTCACCGCAGAGTCAATGGCGGTTTCGTTGTGTTGGGTTTAGCAGACGACAAGGTCGAAGGCTTTGCTCTACACAATTTGCTCACTCCCGGAAAGCCACTGTGTAGAGGGAACTTCTTTGTCATTCATCAACTTCTGGGCTTCCCCAAGGACGGTCTCATTGACGGCAAATTCCTTCGTTTACTCCACAACGAGAGCAAGCTCGCCACCTTAGCCGTAGGTGCTCCGGTACGTTTGATTTTTTTGATCGGCGTTCGAACGTTTGACATATACCGATTCGATCTCCAAACACCCTACACAAGGGTTGCAGCACGCTACAAAATACCCACTTCCGAGCACAGCTTACATGCTTCAATATTCTTACTTTTGTGTGTTTCTCCCATAGACTTGCGTGCATTGCCTGGTGTCAACCAATGGCTGCCGGTGGCGACACCGACGGGCTCCCGATCTGCGAGCCAGCCTACTACAATAGAGATCAGTGGTTACAACTTGCAACTAGGGGTGTCGCAAACTTTTGTCGAGCCAGATTTTTAGGTCGAACTTCCGGGGTTCGACTTAATGGAACCGGTCTGACGAACCTTCGAACTTCCAACCAGATTCGACCGGTCCGACTTTGTGGACAGTGTGGCCAGACCTTGATTGAAGCATGTGTAGGTTTGGAGAATTTTTTTTTATGCAAAGGGTTATTTTATTGTATGAACAGTTGCGATTAAAAAAAAAAAACAATTCTAATCACTGGAAAAGTTAATAGCTTAATTTTTTTTGTACTGTATGAACTAAAATAACCTATTAGCGTTGCCCTTAATTCACCCCTTAGCCATCACCACCCAATCCGAAGCCAACTGGTCAGCCTGTCGCGCTTGCGCACATCATAGAGTTATTACAATGTACGCTAGAGGTTCAACTGCCGCTAGTGTCTATGCGACTTCTGTGACGCAAATTGAAGCAGATAGCAACCAGTCTACTTTTGCGGTGTTCCTATGCATTCCTATGGGAAAATGCGCATGCATTTTGTCTCTTCGCTGGAAAATAACACTTTTGTTATTTGGGTCGTACCGAATACTATGTAGCTTGAATAACATTGTAAAAGTGTAATTGCTTTAGTTAGGGCATTTTTCTTCATCAGTGAACAATGTTTAGCTTTGTTACATTTCAGTTCCAAACATGTGTTCTGCAGCAGGTGTGTAAAAACAAGCAACGATTCGAAGCAAAATTAAAATCGAAAGGATTAGAGAGTATGTTAAAGGCTCGCCAGCATTCCGGTGACGCTTACATATTGATAATATGCCAGTCCTGTCATATATGAGAATGACCCCGTCGTGCATGAGCGTATAAAAACATTCAAAATGTAAAGAATAAAGTACATATGTGGGGTATGAAAGGTGTCTCTTCGTATTGTTTTCTCTGCAGGGCAGCTTTTATCGGGCACTTGTTCTCAAAACTTTCGAGCGTGCGGATGATATTTTGAACTTAGAACAAGCATCATCGCACAGAGCAGGAAGAATAAAGCGGTACTTACTTATTTAGAATCAGAATATATTACGTGGCCTTCAATTTATTTTGATCGTACATGCACGGGTTGTGGCTGATCCAGTGTTACTGCGTAGTTCTTGCCGTCTCCCTTAATTTCCAGATGTCCTTCGTTCGTTTGGCACGTATAATGCAACGAATTTGAAAGAAAAACGCAGTAACTGACCAATTATTTTGTCAGCCTGACTGAAATGTTCCAAGCTACCTAGTACGTACGAATTATTCGGGATATTTGCTCTTATGATCGAGCGCAGGGAGAAAATGTACTCACTTTTTCCCATAGGAATGCATTATCGGAAGTCAATTTTCGACTGGTTCAATTTGCGTCAGCACACTAGCGCCACTTGAACCTCTGGCGTACATTATAATAACTCTATGGGGCACACGACTCGAACCTCAATACAAGGTTCGTCAAAATTTCCACTAAAAGTTCGAAAAAGTCGAACCTGGTTGAACTTGAACCTCGGCCGGTTTGCGACACCCCTAGTTACAACGAGTTTTTGAAGCAATGGCATAGCATAGTGGTAAGGTGTCCGCTTTATATGCAAGAGGACGCAAGTTCAACCCACGGTGGGCCTACTTTTTTTTTTTTTTTCTCAAACATTTTTTTGTTTTGTTGAGGCATTTGGCAATATTTACGACATTTCTTTATTACGATGAACACCGAAAAAAACCGAATGTTGTTAACGAAACCCGGAGCACTTACGGCCCGAATATTCATAGAGACAGAAGATTCAACGAGTCAAAAGATCCAATTGGTCACGTGACAGGCGAGACGGAATATTCATCGAGACGAAATGTCCAATTGAGACGGAATGTCCAACAAGTCTTAATATCCAACGAGACGGAAGATCCAACCAGGCCTGAGTGTCCACTGTGCCTGAATAACCATCGAGGTGAAAGATCCAACCAGGCCTGAATGTCCACCGTGACTGAACACCCAATGAAACGGGAAGATCCAAGCAGGTCGGAATGTCCACTGGGACTGGATACTTAATATGGCAATTGTGGAGACGTAGAATATTACTGTGCTGTGCAGTGTGACAATTTAGAACCTAAAGTAACAGTGGTAAAAATAAGTTTGCAATTTGCAGTTGAGTATATATTTTTCTGAGGAGACTTCGCTTTCTTGTGAATAAACGAGCAGTGAGGAAGAGCATTCCTGAAATAAAGTCGACCTGGGAGATCCTCGTAATGTTGTGACGGATTTAAAATAAATGTCCCTGGTGTCTTGGCCTCTCAGAGAGAACAGCTGGCTTGGGCAAAAGTATACAGGGTGTCCCATTTAAAATAAACTAAGCTTTAAAAAAATAGGACAGCTCTACGCGATTCAACCAACTGTGCTTTGCGTGTAAGCGTCTTCCGAAAGTGCAAGCGTGTAATTTATAAAACCTACGGCTAATTTCCAAGTTTTCTGCTGTCACAGTCGTTTGCGATTAGTTCTTTTCTTTTCTTTTTTTTTAAATTTAAACCCTTCATTGAAGCCTTTATTAAAGAAGAAACCAAGCAAAAGACTGCCAAATTTCTAAAGAAAATACGAGAAGGAACCTGAATTCCTTCAGGGTGCCCTGCATGCCCCGCAGAATCGAATCCAGGCTCTTTTGCTGAACCCGCTCGCTGTGGCAGTACCAACATCAAACTTAGTCTCGGCAAGAAACGGGCGACTCCACTTAATGGATGCGTTTGCCTCATTCACCAGCGACCATGGTGCCATCTAACATGACGTCTGCAATTACGTGGACAGAATTACAGACATTTGTGTGCTCCGAGGGGCTACTAACAGTTCTTTCAGTAGTCGTTTAGTGACACATAAAGTGAATAAATGTTTGCATGTTTTCCGCCGATCACTTTGTCCTCTTTTGAAGACGTGGAGAAAGGTGCCGCATGCCTGAGGGGAACTTATATCACTCAACGAAGCTTCGTCTCTGTAGTGTTTTTGTGTAAACAGTAGGTCTGGTGTGCACCAATCACTCCTTGTTGTATGGGTTTACATTTTATTCCTGAAGCCTCTGTCTTTTTGTCAAAAAATTTGTTAATAAAACGATAACCTACATAACACATCCTTCTAAAATAAATATTGGGTATTTGTGCGGTTGAGGCTCTGCGAAATTGTACGCCTTTTTTTTTTTTTTTTTCCAGTAGTTGTAGATGTTTTGCAAAGTAAGAGAAATTTAAACAGCTTGCTAGAATCTGCCTGAGTGACCAAGATTCTTTTGAACAAATTTGAAAACCTATATTAGCTCGAAATACGTAAGCATTGCAAAACGCATTGCTCAAATCAGGTAGCCAGAGGAATGAGATTGTATGCCGTTTCGTGTACAATATCCACTTGGCCACGGGGCAGGCGAGACGGAATATCCATCAACACAGAATATCCAATTGAGACGGAATGTCCACCGTGACTGAACGTCCATCGAGACGGAATGTCCACTCTAGACTGAATGTCCAACAAGACTGAAGATCCAACCAGGTTTGAATGTCCGTGTCTGAACATCCAACGAGCCTGAATATCCACTAGTGGACCTTTTTACTCGTCTGATTTTTCGGCTCTGAATCTTTCCAGAGGTGCGATCGGGGACAGCGGGGCTTGGGTTGTCGGCTGGATGCTGCGAAGTGGCGTGTACTGGTTAATTTTTGTAATTATCAGCCGCATACTGTCACCGCGAAGCGGCATGAACGCAGGTGGGGAGTGTGTTATCGAGCTCCCCAGTGATACACATGATGCTCGAAAAGGGTGGCCCAAATGGCATGAGTTCTCCGCGTAGTGCATATGGCCATTTCCCGCCAAAGTGCACTACGTAGTGCGTATAGCTTTACTCTTAAAACGGCACAACCTCGGTTGTCCGCAAGAATAAAAATCTTTGTGACGCCCTCCTCTCCCAAGTTGCAAGCGAAGGAGGGAAAGGAAGCAAATTTCCGGCAGGTCGGCGAGGGTTATGGCTCATAGCAGACGATAGGCGAGTTGTGGCACATAATTACAACACAGGTAGAGGCAGTTCGCTTTTTTATTATTTGTCTAAATTAAAAGCAATTAGATATTAACGCCAGAAAGTGACCAAGCAGGTGCCATAGCGGTGACGTTATTGCTCGGTGTTGGTGGGCACGCTTTGCTCATATATTGTAAGCGTCGTATTGAATGCTAGGTCCCTCGTGCTGGGATTCCTCTACGATTTTTCCGGTCTTTTTATCTACTGCACTTAATATCACATTAAAAAAATAATTTTAAATATATTTTAAATGGTTAGGCATTGGCTCTATCTAATTAGAATAAGTTGCTGGCAACGCAGTTTCTTGTTTAGTTATTTTGCGTGATTAAAATAAAGCCTCGGGTATGCGTCGGATAAGTTAGACAATAAAAAATCAGATGCCCTAGTGGGGACACTGATCCTTAATGTTCTGGGCACATTTTTGCTTGGTCCTCTTTCCATCGTTTCATTTCATGGTAATAAATGCTGTCTTCCAGCAATTGCTGTCTTCTATATATGACAAAACAAAAGAAATGTAATCAGCATCATGACGTAACAGTAGCTGCAAACCAGAACCAGATACAAAATTTGCTGAGCTTACTCTGTGTGCGACAAAGAGATCAAGTAGCATGCGGCAAGCTTGTCAAAATGGGATGACTCTACCGCCAATCTTGTTCTTGCTGGGAAAAGGATGCCAAAGGGGCATCAAAAGTAGCCTTTGGCAGCTGGAAATGATCGTCCGACCAATCCGACTGCCACTACTCTGAGAGTTGTGGAATACTTATATCTAGGATACATGCGGCGGCTCCGCGGCTCTCAGCCATTCTGGAGTTGAAGCAGGCATGTCACAGGGAACTGGGCACAAAGTTTACTTTGAACAGACGTCCAATAGTTGCGTAATTTTTCTTAAACGTGACGAAAGTTTGCATCTCGTTCGGATATGATTGAAACACCGCCATCACTTGGTTTAATCTCTGTCGCCATTTTCTTTTCCTATTCCCGCAGGTTGGTCATGCGGAGCGAGGCATCCAGATTACTGGCTTAGGATCCTGGATGTCCCTTTTTCGGACTCTGCAGGCAGTTGCGTCTCGTGCACGCTGACAAGGTCCTACTGTTGGTGAGCGAGCAGCCAAGATAAGGCTGTCTCCATTGTAAGCTCAGTGAGACATGCTGACACAGATCAGATTTGCAAAGATGGAGTCTGCCTCCATCCCCCAGTCAATTTGTTTGTCTGCTTCTCTCACGAGTAATCAAACAATACTGCTCTTTGTTAGGGATTTTCTTTGGGAATCAGAGACTCTGGGATTGTTTTGGGCCTGATCCTTCTTGAGTCCTTAAAGTTCTACAAGGACTGAAAGAGAAGCTAGCATGTTCAAAATGTTTCGAGTCCCTCCGATCCTCACAGAAAATGTCTAACCAATGAGGGGCAATATTATTTGACCATATTGCACTGAAGTGCTTGCTTTTTTTCTTTTAGCCGGCTATGCCATAAAATACCGGGAGGGCACCCACCCAATTTTCACTGAGAACTGAGTTAATCTAGACATGGATGCTTGTCCAGTCAGATTGGGCGGTTAACGTGTAATTTGCAGAATTCCCAAGTTTGGGAAATGTTAGCAGCGGGCGCTTGAATGAAGTGGGCACTTTTGCGGTATTTTTCGGTAGTTTATCTTGTGAGTGATGTTGCACATAAAATTGAATCCAATACTGTACACGACTCAATTTTCGCAGAGGCCCAATTTTTCGCATTTGCGGCGTTAAGATATGTGAAGAAGTTGTCACGCGAATATAGCACCTTGTGGCAAAGTATACATAGCATGTCACTTCAAACTGAAATTTTGTGCCTGTGAACTGTTCGCAAGCATTGAGCTTGTGAAAATGAAATTGTTCCCAGTGTTTAGACAACTTCAGGTCGGTCTTCGAAGTATGGTGTCATGATTCATTGCTTTAGTGGAGTAATTTGGCGTCAACTGTAATACATGCTAAGTGGAAAGATTGTTGTATAGATGTTTGGAAATGCGTTTCGCTCCAAATGTTTTGTGCTTTCTTCATGGTTGGTCGTGTCCAATTGACTCGTGTGTCCTCTGCCCAGGGACTGCGACGTGGTTGGTCCGCGATACGAAGAGTCCATAGTGGGGACGGAGGGGGATGACCTTGAGGACGACCTTGAGTTGAGGGCCATTCAGGAGGAAGAGGCTCTGATGGCCGAGATGGGACTTCCCGTGGCCTTCAAGTCCTCCAGCAGGGGGAACAAGAAGGGCAGCAATCAGTTTGGTGAGCGCCCTAGACATCCTTAAAATTAGTTTTGCTCATGGATAATCCTGGAATGTAAACACCTTAGACAGAAGTCTGTTAGGTTGGGTGGAACTATAGCAGTAGAAAAAAAATACTCCAACCAAAGACCTAAAAGAAATCAAACGCGTCACCCGCCGCCAAGGTTTAGTCCACCAAAATATCGAGCTCCGCCCCATTGCACGCATGAGCGTCCCCTACGTGAAGGCTGCCGGCAAAGCACTGGCACGTGTGCTGAGAAAAGAAAGCATTCAAGTGACTCCCCAAACCAGTACCATTTTGGGAAAAGATTGTGTCCCAAAAGAAAAAGCACAAGGTGCAATCTACTAGATTCATGCGCAGCGTGCCCCATCACCTACGTCGGTGAAACAAAGACTTTTTCGTAACTAATCCGCTAGCACAAGAACAACGTTCGAAAGTCGACAGCAAGCGTAGCGCCGTTGCCGAACACTGCAAGGCCCTCGTTCATCGGAGTGACTTTGCGAATGCGCACATGATCGACACCGAGCCTCATTTCTGTAAAATGCTTTTGCTGGAGTTGTGACACACCCAGCACATCCAGGAAATTTAGACAGGTTCCTAAGTGCCTTGCCATCTGTGTGCGAGGGCGTATGCCACCTGACAAAGACAAAGACAATTAGCAAAGGACTGCCTTTGTCGAAAAGGTTTGTTCTTGGCAGACGAAAAAGACGAGAGCTGCTGCTGCTGCTGCTGCTGCTGCTGCGACGTGCGATTCGGTCATCACTGAAGAAATTAAGCTGGTTTCAAAACGTTAGGTTGCTTTTTTAGGGCTTTAGTCAAGTATTTTCTTTTTATTAATATGGATGATTATTCATTGCAAATGGGAGCAAAAAAAAAAAAAAGAAAATTTGGTTTTTAAAGAATTTTGGAACATAATCTTATGTTTTGGGCAACTTTCCGACTAAAACAAAAATGTAAAGCACATCTTCTTTTACTTTTTTTTTGTTGGTATATAGACCATTCCATTTAGCGCTCTCTGGGCGGCACCATTTTGTTCGACAGCAGCGCCCTCTCCATACATCCGGGAAATTCAGCGGGTTCGGCGGGGTAAAACGAAAGAGAGGGCACGCGCCCGACTCCGCTACGACAAACCGGAAGGTTGCCATTCTCCATCTTTGTGCTGTATCGGCGGGCTGTACGGAACATCGAACTCTCGCTCGTGGCTGCCGTTGTGAAGTGGTTCGCGTTCTTAGAATAGTCATGTCTACTCCAAAATCAGCCTAGAGCTCTCTGTTGTTCTACTTCGGTAAATGATCAACTGGCATATCTTTTTTCCGTTACTTAAATAGCAGTTGAGTCAGTCGGCAGTTCTACCCTCAACTACTGCGTGTATTGCGGCAGGAGAGCATGTTTTTATTTATTATTTTAGACATCCATTCATGGCTGCTAAAGGCCTACACCAGTACAAACTCTGTATAGTAAAAAAAGGTACAGCCACCGGATTCACTTTTCGCCAGAGAGACCGGCCGACCAATCTGACACAGTTTTTCCTTTTTTTTTTTTTTTTTGCACGCGGATAACAGCGCAATTGGACTCTGTTAGTCTTTTTATCTAGCATAGTAATACACGATAACTGGCATACCAAAATCTGCGCATCTGCGCTTGAAATTTCTAAAATTACGCAATTTTAAACCGAGTTTGTATGCCAGCCGTATGCTAGGTACTGCTCACTCGGCGGAGCAGACGACATACGGGTGAGAGGGGGGGGGCATTTTTTTTCTCTTTTCACCCTCTCTGCTATGACCCTAATGGAACGGTTTATAGTCTACTAATGGTGTGGCCGCTGGCTACGAAGTGTTTTTTGGGTCATCAGCAGTTGTGACTTCGGGAGAATATTCAGTCGTGTATAATTTATGAAGGGCTCAGATAATCTTTGCAATGCTGTTCCACATTAAATAACCTGTATTTTCCAGAAAAAGTGCATTTTTTGCTTTATGACTTTTTTTTGGGTGAAGTATCTGGAACTTGTCATCTGTGGCAGGTAGTTTTGTGTCAAGCATATACTATGCAACACCAAAAATCTTTGAAAGAAGAAAATATAAAAAAAAAATTGTTCAGCTTTGATTTTACTATGCATCTTTATTTCATTTTTGGTGTACCATAAGTTCTGTGTGTCTTGTGAAGACAGCTATAAAAGTTGGGTGTAGTATGTTGTATGCATAATGTCATTATGCTGAACAAAACACGTTTCTCATTTTTGTGCCTGGTGACACTTTCGAGAACACCTCTTGACCTGATTACTTTGCTCAGAATAAAACAGTTTACACCAGCTGTTCTCTATTAGTAAACATGGCATCATAGAGAAATATGTGTCAATAAATGGCAACTAAGCATACACTGGTCAGCGTTTTATGACTGAAAGTATAAAAAGTGGACACTTGGTTTAGCCTATTACTTTGCCAGTGTACTTATAAAACGTGTTTACTGTAGCACCTAAACTCTGTGCCACAAATGCTTCTTGATCTTGCAGAATGGGAACCGCCTAGGAGCTACTAATTTCTGATATTCTTTTTCAACGAGTTTTCTGTAGCACCTATACTCTACGCCACAAATGCTTCTTAATCTTGTAGAATAAGAACTGCCCAGGAGCTACTAATTTCTGATATTTTTTTTCTGCCCTTTCGGTTTCCATCCAAAACAACAGTGATGCCGGACGAAGAAGACGACTTCGACGCCGGCGAACCGGGCGCGACGGTCGCCGCCACCGACTACGAGTGGCAAAGCTTCTGGCAGCAGAATAGTGATCAGCTGGTCTGGCAATCCTGGGTGCAAAAGTACAGGGACTACATCTGTCCGGAGTACCTCAAAGACACTCAAGACAACAACCAGCATGAGCCATTGCAGGTCTTTGGGACACCTTCGAACCCTAGAGACAGCAGTATCCCTTCGCAAAACAAGACAGACGAGAAGGAAGACATCAGCGCTAAGCTCTTGCCAGATCAATGTAACGGGGTTATCGGTGATGAAGCTTGTTCGGTCGGACATCCCACCGCCCCCGAAGACGGACGGCACGACCGTGGAAACGAAGATGAAGCACGTTCGGGTGTCGAGATCCTTCCGGAACAAGGGAGCAATGCTTCGACCGACTCAGCTGGTGAACACCCGATTGTTGCAGACTCGGAGTTTGTGTCCGTGGAATCAGCGCCGGCGGCGGAAGCGGTTGGGTCAGACGACAAGCTGTGGAAAGAGCTCTGGGACAAGCATTACGTCGAGGTTTACAACCAGTACTACGGCATCTTTGTTCAGAGACAGCCCGAACGGATGAGCCCTTTCGCTTCCGAGCCAAATGTGGCGGTTCAAGGAGACGAAAGCTTAGCAACCGGAGAAGTTGAATGTCGCGATTCCACTATTGAAGGTGTGTTAGAGAACGCGTCTGAGGCCACGGTCTGGAACAAAGAAAGATCAGCGAAGGAATTTGAAGACGGAGTCTCCGAGGACGCCTGTTGCGATCGGGTTTCTGGGGACGAGGGGAACGGGGTGGGCGTTGAGGAGGAGGTTGAAGCGGTGCCCGCGGTCGAGGAGGGGCACGACCTTGAACTCATGAAGCGAATGGGCCTCCCCGTGCAGTTCTCGTCAGGCGGCCAAAGGAAGCGACCCAAGAAGAAAAAGAAGGGTGAGTGGCTGAGGTCTGTCCTTGGACAACTCAGTTAAGTAATTCCTTTGGTTTGTAGGGCTCAGAATAACTAACACATATAAAGCATGCAACAGGTAGCAGTGTTTGTTCACTTACACTGTTTTTTTCAAATGAGGCTTCCATTTTGTTTTACTGGGTGTGCAGTCACTTTTTTTATCGAAATGAACGAAAGGAGGATTGTCCTCTTTACTGTTGGAGGATATGCTCGATCAGGCTTGTCGTAGGTAGACATAATGGGTCCATGAACTTAAGGGGGGACATAACCTCAAAATTCAAAATGTCCCGAAAAAAAATCTTTTTTTCAAAAATTATATGTTTATGTTTATTAACTTCCAAAGAATGGTTTCAGAAAATTTCATGTATAAACGTGCAGGATTTATCTCACAATAAATTATTTTCGAAACGTCGGCAGCTCTCCGAGTCAGCAGGGAGCAAGTTTTTTGTGTTTTTTTATTTAGTGCTGCTTCATACTCGTTTACCATAGCCGGAACATCTTACCCTCATTGGAAGTGCTATTTACTCTAGATTTAGCCCGTAGAAGCTTTCAAAGTTTAAAAGTATCAATGGCCAGGATAACCCTTTACGTCCAAACAGAAAAAGTCCCGAAAATTTGGTATGAGCAATCTTATTAGTTGAGACTTAAAACAGAGTTTACGATTGGTCCTGCCCAGTGACGTGATACCTTCAGTAACACCCTTTCATGGTGTCTTCTACTTCGGATCATATTCCTGCTTTGCTGGTCTTCTTTAGTACAATCTGCCTCTTAGTTCTTGCGAGTTTATTTGTCAAAGAATGCCTGCTACAAAAGTTAGCTTGCCTACAAACAACACAAATTGGTAGCTATTGCCAGGGGAACAAAAAAGACTCAAAGAGGAGGGTGCTAACAATGCTCCATGTGAATTTTGCCTACCTCGGACTCATAGAAAAGAAAGAAACCTAAGGTTGAAACTTCAAATTCATTTTTCTCAGTTTCACTTTTTGGCAGGAAAGGTGGTTTTGACATTTTGACTTAATGTCAAAATGTCAACTAAAATCTTAACATTTTGAAATTGTTAAGATTTCATTCAGTGGTGTTCTGGACTGAAATTTCCTGAGGAACAAGTTTAGGTATTCTCATATTCTGAAAAAGCTAACTTCTTCATGACAAAAACTGAATATTTTAAAACACAGAAATTTGTTCAAATCTTTTGCACTTTTTGGGTGTTATTGTTTTTTCTCTGGAATTGCATTTTCTACAATTAATTTTTACCTTAACTTGCACTATAGGTATTCTATTTCACATTAAAACAAACATTTTGTGGATTGCAATTATTATATTTTTCAATACATTACCTACTGAAGTCACTTTTTCTGGAGCTTTTTAAGCATAGCATGTTGTAGAATTGGCCTACAAGACTGAAACTTTAGATGTCATCAATCCTAATGGGGTTCAATTCAACCTGAAAGTTTGAATCAATTTGAGGGAACAGTTCAAAAGTTGACCCTCTCAGTCCATCTCCCCCCTTAAAGGACACGTGCAAAGGAAAAAAACTTTTTTTTTAGACAAGCTAGATGGAAAAAGAATATTATAAAACGAATTTCCAACGAAGGAAAAAAAATTTAAAGCTATATTTACAGTGCAAAACAAATTTGTATTTGGCGCCCGCGGGAGCCGCCGCTTGTCACGTGGTAGGCCCGTGCGCCGCCGCGCTGCGTTGACGCCACTGCAAAGTCACGCCACCGCCGCACGCTGAGCGTTGTGCGACGCCGCTTCAACGCGTTTCTCCACGCTGCCGTCGCCACCGTCGCACAACTTTGTCTGCTTCGGGGCACCGCCGCCGTCCTCTGACCGGCGCACAGGTCTATCACGTATGCTTGCGCTTTTTCAGCAGTTTCCTTGGGGCTCTAAAAAGTACTTATTAATCTTAGACTTTTTGTTATACTTCAAGCAAAGATGAATAAGTTACTTTTAGAGGCCATAGGAAGCTTCCGAAAGAGCGCAAGCACCACATGACAAATATGGGCCAGTCAAATAAGGGCCACTTTTCCGCGGCGCCCGCGGGCGCCAACTAATTTGTATAGCGCCGTAAATATAGCTCTAAAAATTGTTTTTCTTCGTTGTAAAATTGTTTTATGACATCCTTTTTCCATCGAAGCTGTTTAAAAAAAATCTTTTAGGGGCGAAGCTCCTTAGGGGCTAGCCATGTCCGTATGTCTGTCCGCCGTCCGGCGTGCCCCTGTTCGTGAGTTCAGCAACGAGAGCAAGAAAAAGAAAAAAAAAAATAGGGGATTCTGAAATGCCATCCTATCTGTCTTCTCACAAAAAGAAAAAAGAAGAAAACCACACATTCTCCTACTGACATAAATGAAAACGGCACCATCAGCACTACCTATGACCAAAATCAGTATCATCAGTCCACCCGAGCTTCGCCCCAATCAACATCATTCACCATGTGGAGATGCGGTAATTTTTTCCTTTGCTTGTGTCCTTTAACCCTTTGCGGTCAGATACTCTGACCAACTTAATGGTCATTCCGGTCAGGAACTATTTTAAACGCATGGGCCCCGGAACAGTAAAATTATTTCATGTTTGAAAAAACAGCGCGACTAAGACGAGGACACAAAGAGACGAAGAGAACACAAGACAAAGCGCTGTTTTTCTTCTTTTTGTGTCCTCGTCTTAGTCGCGCTGTTTTTTCAACATGAACTCTCACCAACTCGCTCAGTTATCTATCCTTATCAAAATTATTTCGGCGTACAAAGGTGACGTCTCACACTGAACGTAAGGACAGGAAAGTCCGGGAGATTGTTTGTATACAAACTCCGGAACGATGTTGGTGGCGGATCGGCTCCGCGGTTGCTGTCTTTTGCAGTCATTTTATATTCATCACTACTTTCACTCAAGTTACAAAGATCGCCTCTCCATCATCTGATGGAGGGATATAGTCGTCCTCTTCACTGAAATCGTCGTCACTTTCAGTTACATCACGCAGAGAGTTACATAAAACGAGCGTGGCTGGAATGTGGCTATAACCGTCGTGCCAGCGAAGTTGAAATTTGCACACTTCTCCGTTGCACAAAAAAACATATGACATAGAACATGTCTTCCTTTTTTTTTTATGACTAGTCGTGCCCTCTATGAGAAGAAACTCAAACCCTTTCAGGAGTGATGTGATTGAAGTGTTTTCCGAGAGATGGCACCACCAATCCAGCAAAAAGAGCGAAGGAGCATGTTTAAAAGGACGCGGGAACGCATGTCGGGTGACGCCCGACTCCTGACCGGAAGCGCGTTTCTTCGGTGTCGGGCCTGGCCTGCCACCTGACCGCAAAGGGTTAATGTGTCAAAACAGAAAAATAGAAAAAAACAATGTTGCAGCCAGTATCTACTTTGACTTTGTACGCATTGCATAAAGGTTCTGATAGAGCTCTCTTCAAGGTGATTCCACGCAGGAAAAAATTACCCTTCAGTTTTCACTGACAGCTTTCCTTTCCTGGTGCTATCGCGTGACTGCAGTCAAACCCGTTTACAGCGAATTATTGTCTATATCGAACACCCTGCTATTTAATTTAGAACAAAATTGCATGCTAAAAGGTACCTTTATAACAAACAACCGATTGACTACATAGAAAAAGTACTTTTGTAACAAACAACCGATTGACTACATCGAAAATGTGTAAGCACCCATCCCGTATAAAAAAAAAAAAATTGAAAATACACGACTGTCGTGTTTTGTAAAAGAAAAAAGAAAAAAAGGAATTCGTAAAGTTAGAGTCTCCCAAACAGCAAACAATAAGAGCAACCGTATCTCTGTACAATTTGCTGGTTGTGTTTGGACTCTGGCTTCAGGAGAGAAAAATCACATTTCTTTCAAGGACACGATTGCCATACTGCAGATCGTGGATCTAAGCCTGGACGAAAAGGCTTCGCGGTCAGCTAAAATGGTAAAAGATTTGTCTTTCCACGCGCGCCTGGGTGCTCCGATTCTGTAAACGTCCTCGCAGAATAAACTGTTCGAAAGCTACTTTTTGTTACAGCTGTTAGCCCACCTAGAATGTTATCGGTTAAGTTTTCGCGGGTCATATACGTTTTTAGTGGTTCGCTGAAGAATGCATTAATGCGTGTTTACCGTAATGTTAACAAAATCATTGTTCATTACAAAGCCCCGGCCTCAAAATTTGCAGTAGGCCTGGTTTTGATGTAGCGAATTACGAGATATAACGAACTACTGTCAAGACCGGTTATAACGAAGTCGGTTATAATGAAATAGCAGCTACAGTGAAGCGATCGCGATGTCCCATTCCCTTTTGCACTTCGTTATAACCGAAGTCGGTTATAACGGAATAGCGGATATAGCGAAGTGATTTCCGATTCCTATTGACTTCGTTATAACCGGTCTCTACAGTAAAATGCGTGTCTGATGCAGTTCGATTGGCGTTTACTGTACTACTTCTGACTGCGAGTTTACGAAGTCAGCTATGCTTTCTGCGGCAGTTGGCGCGTCAGTAAAAAAGCTTATGCGCCTCTAACGTATTAATCAACACGGAGGATTTTCTCTAAGCAGTATTTAGTAAAGGTCATGAAGTGGTTTCACAGAAACCCATCTTTGTGTCGGGCTTCCAACAAATAGCCAAACCTGGCCGAGCAGTGTCGGGCGGACCTTGGACATGGGAGGCTTATTGGGAGTGCCACAAAAGACGTCTGCTCTGGGAGGCCTGGACGGACACCTACCCGGAGTTCCTGGAGCCCACCTTTGCCGCCTCCGTGCACCTGAATACTGCAGTGCTGAATTCACCACGAGCCGGCTTCAACGGTGCCTCGGGAACATGCAGAGGCAAGCTTTTTTAAATGCGCGGCATTTGTAGGGCCAGTGCTTTTGCGTTCGTGCCCGGAATGTACAGCCGCGACGGAGAAGAGTGCTGTGCCCAGTCGGCGACCGCCCTAACTGCTCCTGGAGTGGGGACTTTCCTCAGCGTGTGCTCGGCAGCAAACCAGAACACGCATACCACGAAGGCCCTTGCTTGTGGGCTTTGCATACCGCCAGTGCAGTGCAGGTGCAACAGCAGCAGGCGTGGAACAAAAAAAAGGGAGGAGCGAGGGACGCGACCGCGAAGCGACAGTGCCGGGCCCTGGAGTGACACAAAGCCAGTTGCTGTTACACAGTGGCCGACCGGCAGTTCAAGCGCCGGTTCACCGACGATTTGTATCAGCGGTGTGTAACATGTGCGACAGGCCGTGGTTTCAGGTGAACGTGAGCGGAAGCATTCTAGATGTTATGCACCTAGACTGCGCATTAAAAAAAATCAACTAAAAAACAGCTTTTCTTTTTTTTCAGTTTTAGGTTTAAGTCAGGTAATGTTCAGAATAGGGGATTGGGGCTCTAAAGGTGAGCAGCAATCTCCAGCAGCTCTTCCTTTGGGGGATTCAAGGGAATTCTACCTTCCGCTTTGCGTGGGCGTTTATGCTGCCCGAGGTGCACAAAACTTGAGACCATGGCGTAGTTGGCCCCGACAAACCACAAGCCAGCATTCACATCGGGATAGTGTGCAGTGGAAAGGACGTGCAATTTGCAGTGTCGTTGGCTGCTGTGCAAATGCAAAAATGAGAAGCGGGAGAACAAAGGTACAATCTGAACGGTGTGTTCCGCAGGCTTTCTTTTAACTTTGGCCTCCATTATCTTCTGTGTACTGTCCATACCTATCCAGTTCTCATCTCCCTTTTTTCCTTTCATAGCGTGTTTTGATGCACTTAAAGGGCAACTCCGCTCAATTCCGAAAAATTTAGGCTTACGTGTGATTCCATTTCACAAAGCACTACAAATCAGCTCTACGTCCTCGGATTCGTGAAATGTGGAATAATATTTGTGTAATCTTAATTTAAACATCAGCTGATACCGAAACCGAAACCTCGGTTGCGTCAGGCAACATTGGTCTCGCGCCGTCAGAGTCATGGCCACATTACATCGAACCACGTGGTCTTGTGACGTTCGTGGGGGCGAGGGACGGGACACGCGACGCTGGCAGGTCGCTTCGCATGGCGTGGACGGTGATGTCCCCGGGGAAAAAGGGGAAGGGGAGAAGACGAAAGAGGAGAGGGGGAACGGAGAAACAGACCGATAAGCGCGCAGGGCAGCGCGAACTAGCGCATCCGCGTTACGGTGATCACGTGGACGCCGTTCAACTAACACCAGGAGGAGGAACTCATGACGTCGTCGTTCAATTTCGCTCTGAGAAGTAAAAACAAACAAAACGTGTGAATGACGTAGTCATGTCTCTGACGTAGAGGTTCAACGTTGGCCGCTCCAACTCCGTCGCATTGACTGCGCTGACGATTGCGCCTCACGTCGCACGCTAGAGTTCGCAGATTTCGGCGACTTGGCTGATTTGAAAGTTTGCTGGCCAGTTTATTAACTATGTAGATGGAATTATATCGTAATATTTGACATGGGGTCTTCCTATATGATACTGAAGAGGGCTACATAGTTTTCTAAATATCAAAAATGAAGCAGAGTTTCCCTTTAAGGCAATTTGCCCTTGCCTGTGCACAGATTGTAATTTCATGAAGAACTTAATATATTCTTATAAATCTCCATTTAGCAATGTGAAGTTTGCACCCTTGTGCTCAATGTGCACTTATAGCTTTTTATAAAAAAATCTTGTGATGATTTGGGAACTGACTTGGAATGGCCGGGTATTCTGTAACTTTACATTACGTGCTTGATTATGATCCACAATTTTTCCAAATAAGGCCCACACATTTACTTTCCTTTGCCAACCTTGTAGAGGCCCGGTGATTGCGATTGATAAAAGGTGCCTGGCAAACGACAAGGAAGTTTCAACATTTTTTATTACAATATTTCCTGCTAAAGCATCGAATGTGACATTTCACATGCCAGGAATCTAGCGGGGATTACATTTCTAGGGACAAACATTTCCCGGACAGCGCGGTTGTCTGGGTTCGTTTGTGATAATTGCCTCTCACGAAAAGCACGTGGGGGCGCAAATCGTGTGTATGAACACTGTGGCTTATAACCGAGAAAGTTTGTACACAGTGACACTAATTTTCAGTTTGCTTCTCACGCAGATACGGGAAAAGCAGAGTCGTCGTCGTCGTTGGACACAACCAGCGTTCCCACCAGCCCCAGGAAGGACAGTCTCTGGCAATACCTTTGGGACACACATTGCACGGCCGTCTACTCTCGTGAGCTCAAGCTGTACTTGCAACAAACTTCTCCAGAAGGTGCCCCTCTGGGAGACGATCCGAGACGGCTGGGCGACCAAGTTGGTGGGAAGAGTAACGATGTCGAAGGACATGGCTTCAACAAGGGTGACGGACCTGTAAAGGAGACGGGAAACGGTGGCGACGGCAATGGCACGAAACAAAAAGACAGCACGGCTCCAGAGGGGAGTGCAGGGTCGGGTATGATGGCCAGCAACGCATCGGCGGCAGGAAATCTGCCGAGCCACTCCAACGGAACAGGCGCCGGAGCCTGCGGCGGCGGGGACGACGATCCACCCGACGAGATGCCCATAAAAATTAAGAAAAGGTTTTTGCTTTTGCTTTTTGCATTCATAATTGCTTACAAGCGATATGAGCTTTTTGGGTAGTGCGGGTAATGATTTTTTTAATATTTCGTCAACAGCAGCGGACGAACCGGTGCTATGATTGAAATTGTCATTATTACTAAGACATACAGTGGAGTGCGTTTGCCCCCCAAAAAAGTTAGAGTTATTTTTTACTGTGAAAGTATACTATCCATTGCCGAATGCTCAGTCTGTGCCCAAACGTAGTGCCAGCAGTCCAGACCAGATGGCAAAGTTCCAAAGATTGCCTTTTATTTTTTAATTTAGTTGAAATATCTAATGGGAAAATGGCAACTGACGAAGCCCATGATTACAGAGATGAATGGCGTTAGCTGCTGGGAACGGTTCCTATTTTTCCATCGCCGAAACTCGACGGGACCTGCCTTTGTGAACAGGACCAGGTGGAGAAACATATTAACCGACAATGATTCTACGAGGTTCTTGTGTAATTAAGGAGGATTGGGTAAAACAACAGGCTGCATTATTCCCAAAATGCACTCGTGGGACTTGCAATGCAATTGGTGACGTGAGTTATTATATTCCAGTCACGAGGAGGATGCAAACTCAGACGAAGAAGAGGCATTCAAAGCATTCCTCTCCTACGGACTGGCTCTCAAGGAAAGTTTGAGGTAATTTCTTACTTTGTCACTTATCTTTTGTTTTAAGGCAGTTGTGTTAGTGCAGGAGAATCTCATTAATTCAAACTCAAGGAAGCCACAGATTTTGTTTTTAATTATAAGAAATTCATCTAAATTCGATGTACGCTAAAATTATGGCTTGATATATAGATGGCTTCACAAAAAATCCACATATTTGATGATTTTCTCTACACAGGCTGACTAATCATAAGCAGATATGCCGCACATGGAACGTTGGTGAAATGTATGAAATAATTTTATATTCATCTCTCAAAAAAGATTGTCTATCATGGACCGTTAGACAGCACGTAACACCTCAAAACAAAATTAAGTTTGTCCATCGAGCAAGAAAGTTGTCTACTGTGGATTATGAGCCCCATCGAGCACACTTTGTTACTGAGCCACCAATGCTTTGCGAAAAAGGAGCACCCGTGGTGTAGCAAGCTCCGCGGGCGTTGCTTCTCCGCAGGGCACAGGTGCTCAGTAAGAAGCGCACTCAAGGGGGCTGCGAGAACGTTAAGCGGCTTGCAAATACATTAAAAACATGGGAGGATGACGAAATTTTAAAATTTGTTTGAATTAACCAGAAATACCAAATTTTCAATTTTGAATGATTGCGAGCCTACTGTACTTGTAAAAGTCTCGGGGTTTGACTCAAATGTTTTACTACTATTTCATAAAAGTTATGGGGTTGAGGAAGTGGTGTAGCCAGAGGAAAAGCCCTATGGGGTTTTCCCCCACCCCCGAAATCCAGCTGACCCTATAACATACACGTGCATTTTGACCCCCTCTCCCCACCTCCGCACCCGAAGTTAAGGACGTCCCAGTAACCCCATTCCTCTTCCCCTCCCCCCAAAAAGAAATCCTGTTTAGTACGCCACTGGGCCGAGGACAAATACAAAAATGTGTACTTATGTGGACACCAGGGATGAAGGTATGGAAACGAAGCAGGTCGCTGCTGGATGAATGCCATGCAAACCGGGAGATATCTGCGGCAGATGTCTTCGACCTATGAGGCATTACTTCGCTCCTGGCTTCTTCACAAAGCCTTGCTCTTTTAATCTTCGATATTCCCGGGTCCAAGAGCTTATCGTCGTGTTTTAAAGCAAGTGCGAGTCAAGTGTGACTGGCACAAACTCGGCGCGGAGTGGGTGGTGATGGGAATAGTACGTTGGGTTCTTGCTATGTAGCACATCACCAACCAAGGAGGGCAGTTGCAGATATCACGTTTAACCTACCGAGATGAGCTTCCTGAAATAGTCTCCGTGTCTGCCTTTCTGTCTCTGCGTTTCTTCTCAGGAACTTGAAGGGCGGTCCCACAGGAGCCACGTCTCACGTCCCTAGCCGGAAGAAGCGCCGGAGACTTCGGAAGCAGGGGCATCCGCGGCAAGGCGCCCCGTCATCCGCAGAAGAGAGTGCCGGTGTGTGGCCCCTTTCTAGTTTGCCTCCAGCGACTTGTCCCTTAAAGGACACATGCAAAGGAAAAAAACATTTTTTTTAAACGGCTTAGATGGAAAAAGGACACCATAAAACGATTTTACAACGAAGAAAAAAAAATTTTACAGCTATATTTACGGCGCAAAACGAATTTGTAGTTGGCGCCCGCGGGCACCGCGTAAAAGTGGTCTGTATTTATCACGTGATTGGTCTTTATTTATCACGTGGTGCTTGCGCTCTTTCGAAAGCTTCCTATGGCCTCTAAAAGTAACTTATTCATCTTTGTTTGAAGTATAACAAAAAACCAAGACGAATAAGTAACTTTTAGAGCCCAAAGGAAACTCCTGAAAAAGCGCAAGCAGACGTGATAGACCTGTGCGCCGGTCAGACGACGGCGGCGGCGCCCCGAAGCAGACGAACTTGTGCGGCGGCGGCGGCGACGGCGGCGTAAAGAAACGCGTTGAAGCGGCGTTCGCACAACGCTCAGCGTGCGGCGGCGACGCAGCGCGGCGGCGCGCGGGCCTACCACGTGACCAGCGGCGGCTCCCGCGAGCGCCAACTACAAATTCGTATAGTGCCGTAAATATAGCTCTTAAAATTTTGTTTCTTCGTTGTAAAATCGTTTTATGACATCCTTTTTCCATCTAAGCTGTCTAAAAAAATGTTTTTTTCCTTTGCATGTGTCCTTTAACTAATAAACATACTCGAGTTAATTGTTTCAGTAACTAAACACTTCTTAGGTCACAACAAAATTCCGGTTGCTGTCCCTTTGTTGCGTTTTTGGGGCAGCTCGTTACACGGTTCAGTAAAATTTTTTCGAGTAACGAACACTGTGTAGAGAGTTTCTGCGAACTACGAATTAAGGGCAGCCTCTGAAAATGGCAACTACAGGAAGCAAGGCCAGGGGAGAGAGTCAGGGTGTCTAGCAACCGGGAAAACCGGGAATGGTCAGGGAAATTTGAATTACTGAAAAAATTCAGGGAATTGTCAGGGATATTCTCAAAAAGTGAGCCCTGTGAGGGAAAATGAACCGGAAACGCCATCGAGTTCCCTGAGCAAAGACTTGACGACTTGGGGGCAGAAAAATGGGCAATAAATTCTGCTTAGAGCGGAGCTCGGGCTCTGCTCACCCGATGTAGAGTATGCTACCCGATAAAAAGGGAAGAGCCGACAAATCCAGTCCAAGCCTTGGATTGGATTGAATTTGATTGAGGGTGTGGCAGTATGCTAGACTCAGTTAGAGCTACTAGATTTAGTTACAGATGGGTAAGTCGCAGACCGCAATTCAATCCAAGGCTTAAGCCGAAAGTGTGCATCTGGCGGCCATGCGGCCATGCTACCGTTTGGTTATTGACGTGTGTGGTTTAGCGTCGTGTTTTCAACGTGTTTCCGGGAGTGGCCTCTTCACTGACGATGTCGGCGGCAAAAATGTGCTTGTTTAATCCCTACTGGACGAACCTGAATATTTCAGAATATGCAAGTTAGATTAAGCATGTGCAAAATGATCCTCACAGTACTCAATGCTCAATGCCTTGTGTTGTGATGGTCTTATATACTTAAATGCTTCTACAGTGGTCGGGGAATTTCACCAGAAATTGTCAGGAAAAACCTGGAAAAGTCAGGAAATTTCAAGATACAATAATTTGCTAGGCACCCTGAGAGAGTATGCATGTGTAGAAGCTTACTGAAAAAAGGTCCATTACAGTTTCTTGTCGGAGTTGCGCTTGCGAGCACTCATATTTGTGTTGTTACTCGCTTTTTAGACAGATTACTTCAGGAACTTTTTCTTTGGTCAAAAATGTTGATGAACGGAACTGCTTACTGACCAATGTCACGAATAATACTAATGTGACTGATTTTCTAGAAAACATTTGCTACGTGTTTGAATGTGTCATTACTTGCAACAGTTTTGGCCTCCCTGTTAGCACTACATTTAGCTGATTTAGCTAGTCAAAATGTCAGCGCAGCATATCGTCACTGCCTCAAACTCTACTGCGAGCAGATAGCTGAAACGAGATGGAGCCAAGCCAATGTCTTTATGTGCAAAAGCTTAACCTTCAGTCAGCAACTGCGCCAGGCGTCGACGTCATGAAATCTTTTAAAAGTAATTGAAAAATAATTGGAAAGCAGTGTGGTTGCTTTCTGTGAGTATCTGTAGCTACATGCCATTGTATGAATGTTACATGCAGGAGGACATGAGTCTCAAATGGACGTCCCGAGTTACATTCTTGAAAGACCGCATCTCAAGAAGTACTGGGCTCAGCGGTACCGGCTCTTTTCCAAGTTCGACAAAGGCATTGAGCTCGACGAAGGTGATCCCTCTTTTGTTGCTGTTGTGGGAGGGGGAGGTTGTTTATCAGCTATGTGATGCTCCAAGTTATGTTGTCTCCCTCGTAGCTTGACTGCCTTTTGCTCACAATGTTTTGACCTACGTTTTGGTGCTTGATCGTTGCAGAGCCTGGGATTGGAATTGGACCCTTTTCGAACCTTATTTATGCCTGTCTTGCACGAAGTTGCGACTTGGGGTTTAGTACTATTGGGCAAACAAATGGCGAATGCTACTTGGCGACCTTTCATGTGGTTATCACCAGTTGGCCACGAGATATTTTTGTGAAGCAGTGTACTGCAGTAGATCGTTTGGCTGTGTGCCATGAGCCTGATATTGTTTTGCTTGTGGACAAAACTCTGTTTGCCACACTTTTTAGGACTAGGTCTTTTAGGCATTATCGCCTCATACTGAGCCTTTCCCGCTGTGCCGGCCTATTTTTGGAGTGGCATAAGTGTAAGGATGACCTCACAGGAGCATGAATTATTACACCAGGCAGTCTGTCACACTCAATGAGAGATGCTCCTTGTAGGTCCTCTGTGATGTCACATGGCACTGCAATGTCATAGTGTCGCATCACGTAGCCACATGATGTCAGGTGACATCATGACGTCACATTACTTTGTGACGTCATAGTTTCATGTCATTGATGTCAGGTTACACCACGATGCAACATTCGGACATCACGTGACACTGACCTTGTAGTGTGGCGTCTGGTCACATTCTGACGTGACATCAGGTGTCTTTATGACCTCATGAGACACTGATGGTTTTATGTATTAACAAAACCCTCGCAATGTGCCCATCAGTGGCCCCCTTGCTGTGACCTCAAGAAGAGGAGCATGAAGAGGCCCTATAATTGCTGCGCGTTTAGGAGGCGTTTGGAAAATGCCAACGAGACAATCTTCTTTTTTTCTCCCTAGAGTCATGGTTCTCGGTGACTCCAGAGGGCATAGCCAAGCACATTGCCAAGCGGTGTCAGAGCGACATCGTGATTGACGCCTTCTGCGGGGCAGGTGGCAACACCATCCAGTTTGCACTCGTCAGCCGCCTCGGTGATTACGCCTTCGCCCTTACCGTTACCTAGACCTCTTGCAACCACCCTCTTAAAGGGGCCCTGCAATCATATTTAAGCGTCTACCTTTTTTGCGGTTTCCACGTCTCTGGGGGTTGGCGCAAGCCAGCGGGCACGGAGAGAGTAACTAAATATCAGTGCGTCATATTTTAACCGGACGACGCGGAAACCTCCTCCACCGACGAGGGCGACCCGCGGTACCGAAAGCGCGCAAAATGTGACGTCTTTGGTCCTGGGCTTGCCACTGGTCAAAGCCGCTAAGAGCTTTTTTTTAGTCGAGATACAAAATATAAGTGTCGCGAACCGTCTCAATTATGTATGAAAGTAGTTTTTGTTCACTATTTTAGATCAGAAAAGAAACAAACGCAGTTTAGAAAGTACGGAAACGAGAAATGACCCGTCGACATACCCGCCACCAAGCGGCGGAAAAAAACGGCGCATACTAGAAAAGGCTAGTGGGATGAGGCTACGACAAACGAGGAGCGTAGAAAAGTCCCGGATGTACGCGGCGGCGCTGTGGTCGTATACCGGCTCAAGAATCCGACCGGTTCCGAGCGTTCCGAAGGTCTTCGGCGCGGGCCCTTTTGGCGATTTGGCCATTTGGCGGTGCGTCAGCGCGAAGTGGCTCCCGATCTGAACTAATCTTTACCCCGTGTTTGCTGTCGTTTGTGGCCAATGAAATGTTATGCCGAATTAGTGTTTAGTCGCGCTGCAAATGCAATACGAGCTGCCCTGGCCGCCCGCTTCATACAGCCTATCCAACACGTGCTTTAGTGGCGCCCTCTTGAGCCGTCGACACGGAGTGCGGCAGCCGTGTGCGCTCGATGAGCTCACTACTCCTCCTCTAGTTCAAGGCCACTCAAGGCAGGACCTACGACGTCATGAAGGAGGTTATTTTTTGCTTGTTTTTGTAATTCTAATTTGCCTATAACTTTTAAAATAAAGCGAAATTTGAGAAAAGAAAAGTTGGATTAAGTTACTACGTTCAGTACGCTCAGGTTCAGTGCAAATTAAAAACCAGTCAAAAAGTCATTGCAGGGCCCCTTTAAGAGCTTGGTCTGTGGGGTGCATCTCTCAAAGCTTGAAGTAGTAATTTAAAAAAACAAAAAAACTACCCCAGTGTTTTTTTTTATTGTATTTAAAGTGCTAAGTTATGGTGCAAAATGCAGTGCTCATAAGCAAGTCATTATATTCGGAACTTTATGTCTAGTCATGTGCAAATAGTGGATTTTGAGTTCAAAGTGAATTTAAAGCTAATAGTGGGTTTGGCCAAATATATACAAACTGAATATTGAATAGTTTCGCTGAGCCTTTCACTACTCTTGCACCATGCTTAAACGAAAACCTAGTTAAACTCTTGAAGGTTGTTTCCAAGGTTCCACTGGTCCATTTATAAGCCAATTTAAGTCTAACTATATTTATGGACTGTGACCTCAGAAACTTTGGTGCCTTGGGATAGCAAGTAAATGACGGATAAAACTAAACCTACAGAGATGCTTGGCTATACGTGAGTGGATTTCTTGTTAAGGCATCTCTGCCTAACATATTCTCTCGTATAACAGCCACGGTTTAATTTTTAAAATTTTACTGCAATGTAAGTATCAAAACTGACAGTTTCCATTCCTTTTCTAAATATTCCAGTGCGCACGTGGCCCATCCCTCTTTGGAAGTGCTTTTTTCCCAAACACGCGACTGGTTACCCCGTGGAGTGTGCTTTTTACCGAGCACCGGTGCACCGCAGAGAAGCAACACCTGCAAAGCTCACTTTTGCGGGTGTTTCTTCTCTGCAGTGCACCGGTGCTCGAAAAGAAGCGCACTTAACGGGGCTAGCACACTGCAATGAACACTTATAAAGGCCCGTCCACACTCTTGCGACCGAGTACGACTGAGAGAGACGAGATCTCTTAAAACTTCTTAAATGTTTTTAGAATGAGGGAACACACTGGCATTGTGGCGCCATCTATGCGGTGACCCTGGAACTGCATTTCGCAAGAGCGAAGCTTTTGCGGGATTTCCGAGGTCAAATGTGTGTAATACCCATAGAAAGGCTCGTTTATAACATTGACAAAAGTTTTTCGAGCCAAAAAAGAAAGGGTAATGCGCGAGAAATAAAAAAAATATGCCGGACCGCCGAGTTTACACTGCTTCCCAATAGATGGCGCCAGTGTGTTCTCTGGTTTAAGACGTTTTAAGGAACCTAGGTTTAAGAGGTCGCAAGAGTGTGAACGGGCCTTTAGAAGAATGTGAATACCGCAGTTCGTCGCAACAGTGTGAACGGGCCTTCAGAAGAATGTGAATACCGCAGTTCATCTCGAAGCGAATCTCGAATAGCAATATTGTTTGAAACTACTATTCAATATTGTGAATATTTGCACAACACTCATCTTGACACTTTTCAAGTGGTTCTGGCATGCAAAAGCGAATAACAAAGGTGTGTGTGTGTTGTACTCGGTCAAAATACAAGACTCACAGTATTTTCATGCAGCACTTTCCTTTAGGAACATGCTTCAAATTCTGCAGCAAGTGTCTAAAAGTTTTCACAAAGCTGTCTTTAGGTGGCTCATTTACCATGCTCAAAGTTTGTGGGTGCATATTTCCTGAAGAAACCGTAAAACAAGAAGATTCCATCATTCCTACACTAAAAAAAAAAGATAAACAAACTGTCTGGTTGATGCCGCTTCTCAGAATTGGGTATAATGTTGTGCATGATCATAATTGAGAATTTTCTAGGACGCTTAAGGATGGTTAACAGATAGAGTCATTGTGACCTTCTCTAACTGCTTAACACTGGAGGTTTCCGAATGCTCGATCGGGGTCACGTGGTTCATGGGCTGCATTTGCAGTACGAACTACGAGGAGGTGCCGAACGCGTCGATCGTCTGCAAACGTCTCCGCCTTTCCGCTTGCTTTCCTCCTTGACGCACGAAAATGCAACGCATGCGCACTTGCGGCCCATTTGTGCCAGAGGCGTCCGCCGTTACATTGCGAATGCTCCTTGTGGTCTGAGACGGGCGTCTCTACAATCTAGGCTCTCCACTTGACACAATGGTACATTGGTGCCATCTATTGTGTAGATCTGGAAAACTTCCGGGTCATTACATCATCAAAATTATTTCGAGCCCACAGCGAAAGAATGGTCTACGCGACAGACAGTGGCCCGGCCACTGTCAAACGCAAATGCGCAAACCAGCCTTTGGAGGGCGTACGTCGAATTATTGCCACAAAGAGACAAACCGAGAATGCATTTTTGTGCCCCTTTACGCATCATTTTTGTTTCCATTTACCCAATGCGGCTTTTCTTTATTGGCTTTTCTTGCGTGGTGGTTGCGGCGACGTCAGAACAACGCTGAGTTCCAAACAGCTTTTATTGGAAGGGAATGAGTAGACCTCAATGCTAAATGCTTCAGGGTTTACCCACTATTTTTTTCAATCGGCCAATAAGAGCTCGGCATTCTGACGTAATCACAACCCTTGTGCAAGAAGCAGACGAAGTTGCGCTCCGCATACCACCTAGGAAACAAGGCCTGCACGTGACGTCGTAGTTAGCAGATCCCCGACCGGCCTAGATGCATCCGTCTCAGCATCGCTGCATGCTATTGTGGCACTCGTTGTGAGGCACTGCAAGATGCGCTGTTGGCGATGCTGACGCAAGCCAGGCAGCGCGGGCCTTGTCTTCTAGGCGATATTGATCTACCTCCCAGCTCTAGAGGTCCCCTCGCCTCAAATCTCGCCGCCCTCGCTCGTTCAGCACGACTCCGATCCCCGCAGTGATAGCGGTGGACATCGATCCGAAGAAAATCGAGCTGGCCCGCAAGAATGCGGCCGTGTGTGGAGTCCTCGACAAGATCCAGTTTGTGCTCGGGGACTTCCTGGAGCTGGCCCCCCGGCTGCGGGGGGATGTGGTCTTCCTCAGCATGCCTTGGGGGGGCCCGCAGTACCTGCAGAGCGACTCCTTCGACCTCCGGCACATCCAGCCGGACATATATCCTTACAGCGTCGTTCGCGTCGGCGCACGACGAGCGTTTGTGTGGATTTTTGCTCGTAGACGCTTTTTCCCTCTCACTTCGTGCTCTGTGCGTCGTTGGAAGATTCAAAGAACTGCTTGAATTCTTATCATCTTCAAAAGAAAATTGGATTCTAAGAAACTTTCGCATTCTTCGAATCTTCTAAGGCAGGGGCTGTCAAACTTTTCGGTCTTGGGGAACCTCTCTCTCTCTCTCTCTCTCTCTTGATTGATTGCTGTTGAACCCCTCCCTGTCGGCGGAGATGTGATAAAGCGGTGTAGAAGCCTACAAACCTTGTGAACAATAGTGTGCGTGGTTGGGACTCTTAGCTCATAGTTACGCATTGGCGGGTGCTCAAGAAATGCTCACACTGGAACATGCTTTGATCTGTGGCAGGGACAGTTGCAGAAATTTGAGAGCTCGGTGAACCCATGAGGGTGCTACTTGGAGGAACCCCCGGACTCGTAGGAACCCAGCTTTAAAACCCATGTTCTAAGGAACTTAGATTGTAAGAAACATTTGGCTTCTTGTTATCTTCTAAGACGCTTATATTTTTAAAAAATTTCATCTCATAGGATCTTGAAGAAACTAAGATTTTAATAAAATTTTGGATTCTGCATGTTGCAGCGGTATGCGATGCATCTTAAAAAAGTGGGTCATACTCGCACGCAAAGTTTCAACAAGCCTTAGAAAACTTTAGAGCACTTAAAATCCTCCAAGCTGGTTTTTTTTAAATATTATTTTGAGATCTCAAGGAACCAGTTGCTAGCTTGAGTGACATCCAAGGCCTAAAACTGCAATGGCTACTGGTTTCGAGTTACCATCTTTGGTCAGTGCTGTAGCCGAACAACACTCTGTATTGTTCGGCTGGCAAAAGCAGTGGATGGCAAAGGAGGCATTGCATTCACTTCAGACAACTTTTTATTGCCGCGAGAGGAACCTAATGCAAAAAGCTCAGCCAAAATGAACCTGCCCATACTGGTGGAGCAGATTTCCTCCTGTTCAGTGTGCACAGAGCGTTTGCTTTTCGCAGTCACTCTTTTTTTCACATTACCATCCTTAACTGCCGGTGCACATTCAAGACGTTTGTTCTCTGCCAAGGGATTACCAAAAACATTGGACTCCTCATGCCGAGGAACACCAATGCCGACCAGGTGAGCCGAATTGCCCGATCCCCTTCTTAACCTGGGCTGACGTTTCATTGCACACATTCAGCGGCACTACTTCTTCGTGTAGCGACAAAGTCAGCAGCAGAGTGGGTAACTGAACCAATCGGTTCGTCTTGATCTGTAGAAAAGGCGCCGAAAAAGACAGGACAACGCAAGTTGAATGGTTCTTCTTTCATTTTTGTCTTTTGGGCCACCTTTTCCACACATCATGGCTTCTGCCTTGTGGCGGGCAACATTGAAGTGGTGATCAATCTTCACCGTTTATGCTAAAGTAGATTGTTTTTTTACCTTTTTTTTTTTCTATTGGCAATATAATAGTGCTTTTGGAAGTCTACAAGTATGACCTTGAATTTAACTCTGTTGCATGTTAATGTGTACATGCGCACAGTAGGTAAGACCTCCATGAAATTTGTCTCCCTTTCCCAATAAGTTTCCAAAAGTGAACCGAAACTTCGACAGAGCTGATGTTTCGGTTCCGGTTTTTCATGTTTTAAAGCAAGAATTCACAAAATATATTCAATTTTTTACAAACCAAATGACGTAGTGCTTTTTAATGTGGAATCACTCATAATCCTGAAATTTTCGGACGGAGTCGCTTTTTTAAAAAACACTGAACCTAGAAAAACAAAAATTTTTCTACTTAATTAGGACAGGCATGCTCAAAATTAATGGATGTCGAAAAAAAGAAAAATGTTTTCCCAATATTTATGTTAGATTACGAGTTTTTCCGATTTGCAGGCGAAGCTGAAACTACCCTGTGGGACGATGACGATAGCATTTGTACACTAATACAATTTTGGTTTTGCTTGCAAGTCGAGAAATGCGCATTGTAACAAATATTGGGCAAAAACAAAATTTTTTTTCTGACGAAAATTTATTTGAGACATGCCTGTTCTAACCAGATAGAAATTTTTTTTTTCCCCTAGGTTTAGTGTTTCTTAAAGGCAAAGCATTGATCCTCTAAATACATTATGTCCCAATAAAAAAAAAATTAATAAAAAATTGAACAATTAACTAAAGTTTTTAGTTAATTAGCTAATTACCCCATTTTGACTCTTTTCAAGTGGCCGTCATGACTCAGTGCTAAAGAAACCCTACCAAGTTCCCCTTTTTAAAACATTGTGAATCAACTAAGAAAACCCTGTTTACAATGTTGTTCAATGTGCAAATGCTGTTGCCTTGCAGCTTGCAGAGCTGGCCGGTCCGGGTGTGAGGGTTGAGATTGAGCAGAACCTGCTCAACAACAAGGTCAAGACCATCACGGCCTACTACGGGGACCTGGTGGTCGGCTGATGACCTCGCCCTGACCCAAGGGGGATGGGATGCTCCAAACTCGTTTGTTGTTTCCACGTTTGTTGTGTTTACGGTCTCTTGGAATGTAAGAACTGAAGCAGAGGCCCTGCCTTAAGATTTTTGGAGAGAAACGGTGTCATTACGAGTGCACCCTTTTTATGCTGCTGAAAAAGGAAAGGAGTCTGCACTTTTTTTTTTCTCCGAAGTATGCAAAGCTGTGCCTCATGGCCAACATCCCTTGGGGCATTGAGGGGAGCATTTTTGTGAACAGTTCTTATGTTGTGCTAAAGAAATACAATGCGAGTTCTCATGTTGTGCAAAACTATATATATAGGCCTCTTTTTAAAAAGATGCCCAATGCTTCTCAGGGCATTGAGAAAATAATTTCTTTGGGCAGTTTGTACATTGAGCAGGGACACGGCAGTTCTGTGAAAACACACAAAGAAAAGCCTTTTGAAAGGCCTAGATGGGACACATCTTATTTTTTGCTTCTGCAATTTAACTTTTTTTTAATATTTACATCATTTGATGCAATTTAGATGGAGGTCACAGCCTGCTCTAAGCCCCGTCCACAGATCAGTGGCCCCACTCATACTACTGGATTGGCTCGGCCAAACACATCCGCAAGCCTAGTGTTTCCCTTTCGCGACATCCGATGCATCTAGTCTGGCGTCCGACACCGCCTGCTTATCGTGCGAGCAGACGCGCGGCACCCTTTGGCATTGTTTGCTATTCCAGCACTGTTTATCGTCATCTGCAAAACCCATAAAATGTGTGGCCATGAAAGCTGCGTGTTGGCGTCCATTTTCGGCTTTTTCGTCTGCTATTTTGTTCCAGTCTAGAAACGTCTGCAACACTTGCAAGATGCTACCATGAAAGCGGCATTTTAGCGTTTCATCATGCATGAGCGACTGTCCAGTACAAGCATCTGTTAATGTGCACTAAAAAGCGACCGAGAGGACCAAAAAAGTCAGCAAAGATGCAGTTCTTTCATCATTTCTGTTCTTGTTGTCTTTTTCGCATGGCATCCGCGAATAGAGTGGTTGAGCATCATAACGCACAATTAAAACGAGACCTAAAAATATTTGCTTTGGCAGGCAAGGTGCACCGTGAAACTTGATAGCTAGTACTTGCCTTTCAAAGCGAAATGACGAGAACATACCTGGACAAACTTGATGCATGCCGAATGCCCCATTTTCTCCAGCCAAATGGCTCTCAAATTCTTACCTCTGTAGGTATATTTTTGGTATTGAACCATGGTGGAAATCACGATTGCACTAATCACAGTGCAGCGGGGCCGCTTTTTGGGAACCAACATCTTTATTCAGCATCAACACACGCAAACAAACAAATCAAGTCAGATCAAGTGACATAGTTGACATGGGATGCTAAGCTTATGCCAGTTCCGCTACAAAAACAAGCATCTGCACAGCGCTTTGGAAGGCATGTACTTGCAACAGTTGTTTGCTGCAAACTGGGTCGGTTTAGACCTACCTCCAAACACCTCTGTGAGCGCAGAACGACTCGCACTCATAAAAATGAACAAGCTCAACGATCTCGGCTCGTTGAGAACGCCGCAAAGGCTGGCAGCCATGTTTGTTATCGTTGGAAACCGAAGCCGAGTGAGGGCGACTTAAAGTGCCGACCTCTGGTGTGGAGTTTTAGCAGTCGTACACCTTTTGTGGAAAGCGATTTAGGCCCAAAGAGTTTAGTGGATTTAAAGAGTGCGTTTTCGAAAGGTTTGTGCTCTGCTCGTGACAGCGTCGATTGTGGTGGACAGTGTACATATGCATGTGCGGAAACATTTATGCCCCAAAGGAATGTGGGACATATTTTTGTAAGAAGACAAATGTACTGTGCAAGATACACATACTTTTTTTATTAAACAATTATTTATAAAGTACAATGCATCAGTAATTTCTACGTAAGAAAAAAAAAACTTTTATATATATGTACAGGCACAGTGAAAAAAAAGAAATTTAGTCTATGATGCGGCAAAACAGCAAAACAGTCCACTTAGTTTATAATTATCTCGGAGATAAAAAAAGCACAGAGATTTTATAGACAAGTATTGGCATCATATATGTACCGTACACAATAAAATAGCAAGACAGTGCACATAAGTCACGCGCACACATAATAAATTGTCGCAGCAGTGAACAATTTTTTTTATATTCATATTTAACATTATTTGACGTTTATACAAGTTTTTAAAAGTTACCCCAAGTTGGCCTATACTCAAATTTACAACTAATTTTCTGCTCAAAATTGTCTTCGCTCGTAATAATAATTCGAAGCATTTCCCGGGTTGTGGTCCGTGGAAGACACCTGAAAGCTGCGTTAGCTGTGTTGGAAAGCTAGCACGGCAGGGCTACCGCAGGAGGCTTAGTTGCCATTGTAACTTTTTGTATTTCCTCGATGCGGGTTCCCTTAGCTTGCCATGCTTGCTCTGTCTCATTTCAGAACTGGAGTAATAATTTTAGCTCACTGGTTCTTATCCTTATATTGGTTGCTATATATCTGATCAAGCTCAGCTTTGTATGAATACTCCCACAGTTAAAGATGAGTTTGACATACCTGTGAGAGCAAAACCAATGTCCAGCTAGCTCTTTGAAGCCGGAGGATGCTCACAAGTGGCGGAGACTGCAGGTACATCGATAGATTGCAAGTTATGACACGGCTCTGAGGTCACGTGCTTCTTCGTTGCAGAAGATGGATTGTCATTATCACTGTCAGCTTTCCGTTTAAAAAAGCTTCTGATGTTTATTTTCATTCCTGACATCAGCCTATGGTCATATAAAAAAGTGGGATTGGGTGCGGATTGTGGCCCATTCATGCAACTGAGGCAGGAAGAGAGAGGCAGCAACAGCAAAGTGTGCCCCTCTTTCAGGGATATTCGACGGTGTCACGCGTGTGAACCCGATGGTATGAACGAGGACAGTCCGACACGCCTCTCCCGCGTGAGTTATGGCCCGGGGGAGTATCGTTGTTGACATGGTGCAAACAGAGTTTCGCAGAACTGCATTGTCCAAAAGAAGACGCCTGGCCCCGATTTTGACGCTCCTCTTCTCCTTTCCCATGACCGCAACGTGCTACGGGCAAAGGAGAAGAAATACCCAAAGGCACATATACAAAAAAAAAAAAAAAAAAATGAAAGCCGTTTACAACTCTTCTCACGCAGTCAGTTTTCCGAGGTGCACGGAGTGAAGGGGGAGCGCGGACTATCTCCAATGCTACGCCGATTTGTTCTGTTGGTTTTTTTTGGAAGAATCCTGCTCTGTGTAGAAGACGCTCTGTTTTGGGGCATTTTACTGACTTTCACCAGATTGCCTGTGATTCATCACAACACAGGACTGCGGTGTTCTCGGACTGCAATGTTCCCTATATTTCTTTTTGTTTTTTAGTTGGGCGCAGTGGATCGCAGCTGACCGAGGGGGGATCGTATTTTTTTTTTGTGTTTATTGCTGAAGGATCCAAAGAAACAAAAGTGCGTGGATTTTATTTTTAGGATTACTTTCGGTTTCTCTGCTAGAAAAGCTGTGGCTCGACGTCATTCGATCCCCCATACCCGAGAGAGCTGGAGAAGGGAGGGGGGAGGGGGGGGGGGGGCAAGTGCCCCTTTTGCACTCCCCTGCCGACGCCCACGTCCACACACGCAAAATTTGTCTGGCAAAGCTTGTCTATACACTTTTTTTAAGATGAGAACAAAGGAGAAATGGCTATGGTATGCAAAAGAGAATGAGCTGATCTGGATATATCAAAAGTTTCATACACTTTTTTTTAAGATGAGAACAAAGAAGAAATGGCTATGGTATGCAAAAGAAAATGAGTTGATTTGGACATATCAAAGGTTTTGGTTGGTTCTGTTCACCATTAACAAATGTTTTGATACTGCAAAATGGTTGTTTCATAGAATGTCAAAGCTTCAGGCAGACCAGGATATATCAGTTTGCATATCGTGAGCTTGCAATTTTGCTATTAATGCGATAGCGTTTAGGAGCTCGTGTTGCAAAAAATCCAGCGTCAGCGTCGCCAAAAAATCCCATGATGCAACGCGCGCAGCCAATTGTGGAGTCGCACGTAATTGTGATGTTTGGCCCTAATAAGCCGCTAAATTTTCCCGCCAAATTTAGCATAAAATTTTCCCATCATATTTAGCAGGAAATTTTCCCACCAAATTTAGCAAAAGATTTTCCCGCAAATTTAGCAGAAAATTTTAATGAAAACGTGACTTCATGTGACGTGACGCTACAGACTAGACGACGCGCACACTCTTGAACGGCTTGGGAACAAACGTGGGTTTATTGAGGAGGTTCTGCAAACGGGGCTTGATAACGCTATCACATTCCACTCTTAAAGGCAAAGCTTAAGCGTTTCTCAATGGGCTTTAGAAACAAGTGTTTTCGCAAAAAGCTAGGTTTATTAATGCATGCCTAAAACAAAAATTAAAAAGAAAAGCAAGACCGTACAGCTATGTGTTGTCACACCAAGTATTTAAAAAAAAAAATAAGTAATAGCTATAGCATTTTTTATGAAGACAACACCAAACGAATGAGTATCATTTTAGAAATTTCTCTAACTCAGTAAAATCTCTCCGAGCAAATTTTGTAAGTGTCCAGTGTCCTTACAGTCCCACAATGATAGTGACAGGCTCAAAATGTTTTCTTTTTCTTTCTTTCTTTTTTTTTTTTTTTCATTTAAGTTAAAGGAGTACTCCGGCAGTTTTTTGGGCTACCCAAAAAAATTGCATTTTCTAATTACCCGGACTTCAATTTGCACGGTATGCTATTTATTCTCTCAAAATTCCACATAGCAATTGAGAAAACCGTTAATGAAAATGACGACGAAACCAGCATTCAAATTTTCGCACGCGCTCCAGTGGTGCGACATCGCAAATGGTAGACTTTCAGGTCATGCAGGTAGTCTTAAACAGAGTATTTCGAGTGTTTTTTACATGCTTCTCGGTTAATCAGTTACCAAGCATTCTTTTCCAACCATCAAATTTCTTGTAATCAGTAGGGAACATAGCTTACTGCCCACTTTGTACCATTTCTGTCGTCACACTTCAATGTTGCCAGTAGGGGTCCCGGTTTGAGAAACTTGAAAATTCAGTAACTTCGCGAAATGTTTTTCTTTTCCCACAATACCTAGGGAACTGGTAGAGCTGTGTCTCTCGATGTGTTGAGCCAATTTTGAGGCAAATCAGCGACCATGAAAAAATTACCAGAGTGCCCCTTAACCAAATACAACATGTTCCAGACTATTCAAGATGGCCAGTCTTAGAGCTGGTCCCCAGAGAGACAAGCACATAATGAAAAGCAATAAATATGATTTATTCCACTGCTCAAGTCAAAACAGTTTTATGCAGTTGATACATTGCACTTCCATTAATGTAAATCAGTGGTTCGTTATATATGTACATACATACACTCACGACTAGAAAAATGGTGCAAACAACAACCCACGCTTCCCACTATCCCGTCGCGTGCATATAAAAATAGTGATTACTATAGATTGTGGACGTTGAAAATGTGATCTCTCTAAAACAAAATACTGAATCCGCAGCTTCCCATTGTACTTTGGACTACGGCCAGAAGCTTCGGCACCCACTGTTTTGCCTTATTTCCGGCTAGCGTTGCCAGACTTCCGCTAACCGTGCGCACTAAATGCACATGTTAGCGCCGCTTTGTTTAGTTTGTAACGGGGAACGCTACTTATCACGCAATACTAACAACATATACGCTTGGGTTCTAAAACGTGGTTTGAAGACGAGCAGACGGCTATGGAGACTTCGCCGCTGCACAAAAGAACTACCTAACGTGGCACCACCACATTGATTGATGAGCGGGCTACCAGACAGCGCAATGGTCGATACCGCAGGAGCGGCCAAAACTCCGACTACCTACCATAAAATACCGGGCAAGAGCCCACTCAAAATTTAGAGATAATCGTGAAAAAATGGGAGATGGGCGCTTGTCCGGTCATCAATTTTACATATCAATCTACTGTGCATATTTTCTCAGATCTTACAAATTTGGGTATGGGCGCTTAGTGTGGAATGGGCGGATGCGCGGTATTCTACGGTGGTGTTCGTTCTTGTATCTAATTGTGACTTGTGCTTAGTTTAGCAGACGAAGCGAATTCAATCGCTTCGTCCGCTTCCTTGAATTTTAACTGTCAACGATTACAAGTGACTGCCATCGTGTGGCGTCATCTGGTGGAGAGCGTCCTCTCACCACCATCGGAAAGTGTGGAATATCACAGTCTAGCTGGCTACGGACGTTCCGTTTCCCAACTCCAACCCCCCCCCCCCCCCTTTTTTTTTTTTTCTTACCGTCTCTGGCATTGTATTTCGTTTGCAGAAATAAATATATTGATTCCTAGGCGACGTGCGGGTTTGGTCGCCCGATCCCAGTTGTGTCCCAGACGGCGTCCTGTCACAAAACGCGCAATTGGTCCGTCGTCTTGCGTGGTCGTCGTTGACGCCGGCTATACTCTGCTTTACCTCATGGTGGACCGCAGCGGAAGCTAGATGTACTACTTACTATTCTAAAACTTTGGCAGTTTCTGCACTTATAAATGTCGTCGACACGACTGGCGACGACATTTTTTTGTGGTCGCCACTCGTGGCGACCACAAAAATAAAGAAGAAACGAAAAGTTAAAAGAATAAAAACGTCATGAAAACTTTTAGTAGCGTCCCTCACAGGGCGTTTCGATTCTGAAATAATACTGCCTGTAGGTCTCAAGTATAGGGGGGCACTTCCAATCTTCCATCTTTTCAACAGTTCTGCGAGGGTTCGACAAAAAAACACACGCATCCAGCAACTTTTTTTTTTTTTTTTTTTCCAGCGAGGTTTTTTGAAATTTGCGTTTGAGCGGTCTCATTGGCGGAGTCATAACATTGACAGTGTGCCTCTGGTTCTTCGATTTCGTACCCCAGAAAAACTTTCTATGGCGTGACAAAAACGTCTCTGGCCGGGTAATCTGAAGACCGTGCCACGAACCGTCCCCGCCTATCCAGCGTTGTCAACTCGTCTAGTGCCCGCCCGCCCTGACCGCCGCCGGTCCTCTCCCGAAGGTCGTTACGCAGCACTCGCGGGACGTGGAATTGGCTTCGACGACCCGCAGCGCCCTCTGCGGCCCGTCGTGAGGTGAAACGTAGAATAGACCCGTTTGCCTGTGCAGCTACCTGTCGGCTCGTACAGTGAATCGTAGGGTGCCGTAGCAGGCGTTACTCGCGCAGCGTCTCGCTGCGCTGCTCTTTGATCGGCACGTGGACGCAGCGCTCTTCGTCGAACATCAGCTTCTCGGTGAGGAAGCGGTGCTCCTCCTCGGCGTGCCACTTCTGCGGATCGAACTCGGGGAAGAAGAAACCCATCTCGCGCTTGGCGGAGGCCTCGGAATCTGCGCCAGAGTGTTGAGAAAAGGACGCTTGGCGGTGCTGTGGCACGGTGCGGTTTGTTTCATTACGGCTGAGTTGCGCTTTTGCACGTCGCGCAAGTTTAAATCGGAAGATGGGAGCGTGTCGTGCGGGCTTTAATTGAATTGTGCCGTACCGTTCCCGGGCCTTGAAAAACAAATGCAGAAAAGCAGTTGCCTCTCTTTCTGCTGGGCACAAGCTGGCATTTTCCGAATAGTGACTTGAAATCGAGCAAGCCGATGATTTGCGTACACTTTTAGAAAAATATGAGGCCGAGGAACGAACACTTGGCATTCATTGTCTTTACTTTTTGCGGTCTCAGCTGGGCAAGAGTGCACGTGTAAAGGTGGTTAGATCCAGAGAAACACCCTTACAGTTGTGTGTTTAGGCCAAGCAGCTAGGATGCAGGTTCCCAACGTACCAGGTAACTATCCCCATGTTACTAGAACATTGTGACCTAACATTACTAACGCCCTCCCTAAAAATATGCCCGAACTGGAGATTGGTCGAAGCAAGAAGAAGGAAGTTTGCTCAAACATTTGTTCCAGCTAATGGGAAGGTGCGACAATCGCACAGGGTAGAGTGGTTTCGTGATCGGAGTTTACAGAGCGCAGCATAATCTGGTGTGCTGAAAGCCGCGCTACCTTTCTAAAAAAACTCGGGGGATTCAGCATTTTATTATACTTTATAAAGGTGTTGTCAAACTGTAAATGGCAACGCGACCACCTACATCTCTTGTTTATAATTCTCGCCCGCATTTATAACCCAGTCTTCCAAATGTTAACTGGTCTTTGCCATTGTGGCACTGCTGCCAGCTTAGGATGGTACCATGGAACATGGCAATAGTAACACATGAGGCATGATGCACAGGACCGTTACGGTCACACCCCCTCCCCCAAACCACTATAAAGCAAATGCAAAAAAGATGAAGAGAAAAAAAAAAAAGGAGCAGCTGACGATAGCAACAATGATGTCCCCCATGTTTTGTGAGGGCAATATCGCCTAGGAAAGCTGCTATAAAAAAAATATGTGGTTTGTGTGTTTGCACGTATCCGCTGCTCATTAAAAAGATAATTAAAAAACCAAGACCAGACTTGCCTGCTCCGTGTGCACCATTCCGAGTGTCCGTGAGTCCGAACCGCGCACGGATGGATAATGGCGCCTCAAACACTGCCCTGAAAAAAAAGATGCGATTGTCAAAGGGAAGCTCAAGGCCTCCACGAGGCTTGCTAATTGCCGCCTAATTAGGAGCTCGCCGCACGGTTCGACGAGCAATCTGCACATGGCGTCTCGGTTGGCTGCCTCCTTTTGTTTGGCGGTGCGCGACACTGCATGTTTGGCTGCTTCATTTGACCTAGAGCCACTAACGACGCTTCGGCCATCCTGATGCTTAAGATCATGGTTGCCGGCTATCTCGACCCTTAGCTAAACTCGCCATAAACGTTTATCCGTCCTCTGGGAATGTGAAGACGCTCCGCGACTGATCGAAATGACATCGCCTGGGCTTTCTGGTACCGCGTCTAAAGCTCAGGAAGCAACATATTTTTTCGTTGTAACGACCGCTAATAGACATTTCCGGATATGTGCGGCAGTGCTGCCGCCCGCTCGATGCACCGCGACTTTCCGACATGCGGCACGCGAAATCACCCAGGAATCGAAGACGAAGTTGACTCTGGTTTAACATTTTGTGTATTTTGGGGTTTCGGAACGCAGAGAAGGCAGAAGCAAAACAAGGTCTGCAGCGACCTTCTTTTCCGCTTGATTCGCTTTTTGTGCGTTCCAAGCTCCCGAGATAAGAGGGAACGAATCGTGCCGCTTTCAGATTCATTCGAGTTGACGCAAGCGTACGGCAAACGGCCCCTCAATTCCTCTCGCTCCGAAGTTTTCTGGGATTTTTCGGAAAGGTCTACTGTGCCCGATCTGCACCAAGGTGGCGGCCACCGCGAGGGTATTGGAGTGCCAGTGCTCCAAGTTCAGTTTTTTTTTTTTTTTTAGTGGCTCTAGTTGGACCGCGCCTGCATGCTGTTGACGCGGGGTGCGAGCAGCCCGCGCTCACTTGGAGACCTTGGTGGGGCCCAGCAGCGTTCTCCACTCCCGGATGGCATCTTCCTTCGCCAGGATGTGGACAGACAGTGGACCGCTGAAGCGACGGAAACGGAAGATTTCATTCTTTATGCATTCTGAAGAAACGGACGACACCCACGACGTGTCGTGCCATTGGCCGCGCGATGGCCCCGGTTCGTGCCGCACATTGGAGTGAGTGCTTTGGTTGCGTTTTTGAGTGCGCTCCAAATCTATGTACCGAAGTTTGAGGAATTGCAAGCTCGGTATTTTGCAAATTCAGTCGTAAGCCAGAGTTATTAAATATTTTGTGGGTACCAAGTTTCACGAGACAAGAAATACAGAAACCCTCCAACTGCTTGCATAGAGGGTGGCAAGCTTTTGGTGAACCGCTCAAATAGCATCATTGTCCAGACGGACAAAAAGGCAGACGAGCGTTTGCATTGGCTTTGTCCTACGTGTTTTGCTAACACCATCATCCTCGGGTTCAGTTTTCAAGAGAAAAGAGGAATGGCTTGCAGCAATAAGGTCACGGGATTTCGTAGCCAAGTGCAAGCGGTTTTTAGAGTACAAACTAACTGGCATCACACCTGCCATCATCAGGGTCACGAGCAAAAGCGGAAAGGGCGAAGAAGCTCTGCCCAGCGTGGCATGTTTTCCTCCACCCGCAACCCTGCCCTTCGACCCCGTCTTCTTTCCGCTACTTCGAGCCAACTAGGAGCTCGCACTATAGAACTTCCTGGTCTTCAGGTGATAATCAATTCATGCATTAGCAAAAAAAAAAAAAAGTAGTTGTAGCAGTTAACCTCCAAGGTATCGCAGCAATGCCAAGACACAACACAATCTGGCTACACTTCTGCTGGGATTCTCGGTGAAGTTGTGGAAAGATGACCAGCTAGGTGTACGTTCCGACCTATGTCTCATTATATTTAAAATACATCGTTGATGTAACCTACACACAATCTTGGGCGATTCTATTAGAGTTTTTTGTAGCGCATGTATGTTGATGAGGGACAGGGCAGAGCAAACCGAGTGGAACTGCAAAGAAATTGCCACACCCGTGACTGCAACGGACATGTGTGTGGTGACATTTGGGATTCCGTACGTACCTTGACATATAGCTTGTGAGCCTGTCGAAGAAGAACTTCTCTGAAAGAAGAAGTCGTGTGGGAAAAAGAGGAAACGGAGCCGTCAGCAAGGATGTGTCACTTAGATATTCTGCTCCTGTCTTGTCAAGTTTTGGCATCTTTGTAAAGCATGGTTATATAAAGACATGTTTCTGCAAGTACGGTGAAATAGCTACAAATAAAAAGAAACCATTCTCTGTTGGAGGTTTTGAACGGCAGGACGAGTTCCTCCCATGAAGCCCTCCACTCATTCCACTTTTAGCAGAGAAAACATTGGAGAGGAGGAAACAACTAATCGTGGCAAGCAGGGGCTTTGTTCAAGGGGCCTGTCTCTGCTTTATTTTTTTTTTTTTTTTACTTGCAACAGATTAAAGGTGCACATAGATCACCAGGATATGACGCTCAGTTTCAGGTTGGCCCAAACATGGTCAAATGCAACAATGCCAACTCGTGACAAATATTAACCATTGCACGAGACACTGTAGAAAAGGCCGCGGAATTGAATTGCCACTTAAAATCCTGTTTCGTAGACATTTATCACAGGAAGTTGTACTGTACATGCCAAGAACATTGCGATTGTTACAAGTTACGTATAACGAAAGGCGTTTGGCGGATCAATTCCTGCGGAAGAGTGCACCAGTGCTCGTCAGACGGGCTTATGCCAAGACCCAACACCGTCGTAAAAGGCTCAAAGCTTTCCAGAAGTAAGAAGAGTTGTCAAACTCGAGTTGTGGCTCGGATAAGGCGAAAAAACTATCGGGTGTCCCCCTTTTAGGCTAGCAGATAAGCTCTCCATTAAGATAACCTCGCTGTACTGTCAACACGACCGCAATCACGTACACACACACACGTGCTCTTGGAGCCCCCTTGGCAGACTCCACGGAAAAGCTCCCAATTATCTGCGGAAGGGAATTTAGGGCCCCGAATACTACACAGATGCAAGATTTTTGTTGTCCTTGCCCTCTGAAGCCACGTGTGACGTTTTCTTGGAAGGAGAGCGAGCTCTGGGCTTTCAGCGTTCCTACCAAACACGCACGCTCGTGCAGTGCAGGCATCGTTCGGGGGACCATGTTTGCGCTTGTAGCTTCAGCTTCACTCACTGAGATCAGCTGCTTCACTTGCACACAAGGTGAAACAAACTAGAGGTAGCGTAGCTCCCAGAAAAATGACTGACCAAATTTAAGTGATCATGTGTGACACGCAAAAACAGAGACTCTGATGTGCTTGTGCTGAAGACCGTGGTCTTGCGGTCATTTAAATAGTCTATTTCTGTTCTGTCCTGTGATTACTGCTCTTTTGTTTTTTAATGAAGTAACCATCTTTTCAGATCATTCACTTCAAAAAAAAAATTTATATATATATATATATATTGATAAAAAGGCACATCTGGAAACCGGATAGTTATGGCAGTAGGACTGTTCTTACCGCGATGTTCACCATAGAACTTTTCAATCTCCTCTTTGGAGTAGTTCTTCACCTTGCTCCTCACGAAAAAGAAATCATGGTCCAAAATCATCCGACGTACGGCCTAAAAAAAAAAAAAAAAAAAAGCCCAAATATGATTATAATAGTGAAAGCAGGGAAAAGGGGAACGCTACGAAAAGGACTGGACCACCAAGGTGTTCCGAAAGGAAGTTATCGTACTAACACAGCCTGCAAAAACCACCGAGTGAACTTGTCATGTTGGGATTTTGGTCCAATATGCATTGTGCCGGTCGTCATAGCATACTCGAACTTCAAATGTTTACCTAAGATGTGTAAAAAGTTAAAACGGAAAACGTTGAATATTAAGATTGGTCTGAGAACGAAACGCTTGCCGGTGGTGAAACCGGCGGCACGTTCAGCGCCTGATTTTACATCATCGGCTAGTCCAAGGAAATGTTCTATGACACGAATAGATGGTTCTGTTCCTCCGTGAGCGCGAGACCACAGCGGCTTACCTGTAATTTCACCGGTATTTTGCAAACATCGGGCTTGAGAATGGCCAAAGTCAGCTGGAGTCTGCTCGTGATGCACATGGTAATGTTGATGTTGCAGGTAATGGCATCGGAGGCTCTGCGGCGCTTCGCTCCAAGCAAATATGCAGATAATCGCGCCGTGTACCTGGACACGCTGCGCGGTTGCATTAGGAAGCCCGTCGATTTAATTGGAGACACATCTTGACAACAAACTTCCGTCAAGGTTAAGATAGCTTTTGCATTTGCCTTTAAAAACTGTGCGTTCAATAAAAGCAAAACGAAGAAAAAGTGATGCGTTACGAGCGAAACCTAGTGGTCATTAAACAGTCAGTAACTAAAAAGAAATACTTTAATTGTAATTTTTAGTTTCTTTTTTTAAATGATGAATGAAGAGATAAATAAAAAATAATAATCTTTCGTATTCGATGATAGCTTGAGCCAACGTTGCTTGAGCTGCCTGGCCTTTAAACCATTATAATAGCCATAATTATGTATGATCTTGCTTTAAACTTCCTTTTATTTAGTTTTTGCTGTAAATCCTTACATTTTTTTTGTATTATCAATAGACCACTGTGGGCTTAAAGGACACATGCAAAGGAAAAAAACATTTTTTTTAAACGGCTTAGATGGAAAAAGGACGCCATAAAACGATTTTACAACGAAGAAAAAAATTTTTTAGAGCTATATTTACGGCGCAAAACGAATTTGTAGTTGGCGCCCGCGGGCACCGCGGAAAAGTGGTCTGTATTTATCACGTGACTGGTCTTTATGTATCACGTGGTGCTTGCGTTCTTTCGGAAGCTTCCTATGGCCTCTAACAGTAACTTATTTATCTTTGTTTGAAGTAAAACAAAAAACTAAGATGAATAAGTAACTTTTAGAGCCCAAAGGAAATTCATGAAAAAGCGCAAGCAGACGTGATAGACCTGTGCGCCGGTCAGACGACGGCGGCGGCGCCCCGAAGCAGACGAACTTGTGCGGCGGCGGCGACGGCGGCGTGGAGAAACGCGTTGAAGCGGCGTTCGCACAACGCTCAGCGTGCGGCGGCGACGCAGCGCGGCGGCGCGCGGGCCTACCACGTGACCAGCGGCGGCTCCCGCGAGCGCCAACTACAAATTCGTATAGCGCCGTAAATATAGCTCTAAAAAATTTTTTTCTTCGTTGTAAAATCGTTTTATGACATCCTTTTTCCATCTAAGCTGTCTAAAAAAATTTTTTTTTTCCTTTGCATGTGTCTTTTAATGAATAAAATGTAAGTCACATGATTATATCATGACGTCATGATACGAGTTTAGACGTTTTCGAATAGAGCGTCAGAATGTCAGAACCGAACATCGCCGCGCAACCAGCGCAACCTGAATGAAAAGATGGCGTCCCTGGAGTGTGTGTTTACCAGCGATGCGACCGGTCAGCTTTTCAACGCCTGCGCGTGGGACGTGGTGTCGGGGTCGGTGTTGGCGCAGTACAAAGGCAACACAAGCGGTCCGCGGACTCTGTGCATGCTCGGTTCGGACTACCTGGTGAGCGCGCAGCCCGATAAACCCGTTCTCCAAGTGTGGTCCCTTCAGCGCAAAGACCACAAACACATGGTGTGCCCCGGCAAGGTGACAGCGCTGGCCGCTTCGCCCGATGGTTCCCACTGCGTCGCTGGTATCCAGGAGAAGATATACGTCTGGCAGGTGAGAGAGCACGCTCGCTGAAAACACAAAATACCGGGCGAGGGCAAGGCACACGCAAGAAGAGGCAGGCCCGATATTGTGTTAGCTCATGCCTCTGTTGTGGGGATTCGGACTATTAGCAGGGACAAAACATTCCCATTTAAACTTTGCGATGTTCGCTCGGTTTGGGTGAGTTTATTGATTGTCGTGATGTAGGCTGTAACGTGAGACTGATATCCTAGTCTCAGATTCGTTTGTCATGCTAAACTTCCACCAGTTTTCCTGCACTCTGTTGTGTTTTGTTGATTGCTTGGATGCATCCTTGGCGTCTACTTATGCTACAAAATGTTTTTCTGTGTCTCAGCATTTAGGCATTGATTACATTGAATAACGGTTTAAATGTACGCTAAATGAAATAAAAAACTTTAAAAAAAAACTTCGAAGAATGCTATTTACAGAAAAGTTTACTCAGGACCATTTTGTCCAACTTTGCACTTGGGATAACGTGGCCCAGAACTGCTCTGTCCAAGGCCATACCGTGCTACATCAGTGTCCTGAGCTTCGGATTAAGAAAACCAGCCCACACCGACGGTGTCACAGGGACGGTCAGTGAAATCAATCTATCAAAAGCGTTAAGCGAAAATTCTTCACACATCTTGCTGAAATTTGGTCTGTAGTCACTGGCAAGACGGGACGGGACGGCTGAGAGACCACCCTGTCATTCTGACGCTGTCAGTGGGTGGAGATGATGAGCTCAGTATTGGTGTGTGGTCGTGTACTCGCCATCCCGTGAAGCGCAGTACAGATTTCGGGTTAGCAGTTGTTCCGCACCGAATGATTCCTACATCAAAGGCACTCAATTCACACCTAGGCTGAAAGCATGGTGGAAGCTATGTGCTCGTTGGAGCCAGTCAACCGTCTATCTTTCGCCACATGATCACTCTCCCGCCCTTATACACGTGTAGAAAGAGGGGTCGGGCGACGAAAATGAGGCAGCCTATTGGTCTGGTGATTGCGCGAAGCTCCCACCAGACTGTCGGCTTAGGGCCGTTTCAAAGGTGGACTAGCTCCACATGACAAAATGACAAATCTGGCTTCGATATGTGACGAATTGCCCTCGTACCAGGTTTGCTCGGGGGACCTGCTGGCGGTGCTCAGCCGCCACTTCCAGCCGGTGACGTGCCTGTGCTTCTCGGACGACGGCGCCCGCTTCGTGTCGGCCTCTCGCGACGGCCAGGTGCTCGCCTGGGACCTAGCGGACGCAGCCAGCGCCGGCTCAACCGAACCCCTGCACGCTTGGACGCAGCATAGCCACGATGTGACGGACTTGCACATTGGCCAGGGAGGCGACCTCGCCCGCGTCTACAGCGTCTCCCTGGACCAGACGCTGCGGGTGTACGCACTCGACACTGGGGAGGTACTTGCCACCGCAGTGCTGGATGCGGCGCTTGCGGCCGTGGCAGTTGATCCTGACGAAGGCAGCACGTTTGCGGGCGCCAGCTCGGGCAAGATATTCCAGGCAAGTTCGACGTCGGTCGTTCTTGGAGGTCGCGTTTGTTCTCGTGGCTGCAAATGGCCCTCCGAGTCTGGTCAAGGCCTCCTATATACACTGTGCCTGTCAGTAAGCTCTTGGGGGGCCGTCGTCTTTCTCCCTCTTTTCCTCCACTCTCCTCCTCTCCCACAGCATTTGCGTGGCGCGAGAGGGCGCTGCCTCGCTAGGACGATCGCCCGCTCACGAGCTCACCGATAAGCCTGCGTTCGCAGCCATCGCCTCGTGTATTCCTGACTGCGCAGGCTTCGCGTCTTGTGACTACTCTACGTTGGTGTTCGCATTCTTGTGGGCTGTTTGTCTAACATTGCGGTGTCGCATCCTTGTTGGTTTTGCGTTTACGAGCCTTCAATTCTTCAATGGTCGCCCACCGCTTTGCCAAAGGTAAGCACATGCAAGATTTGCACTCTCAGCCACTGTGCCTACGTGTTTTTGTGGTGTTATGACACCTTTGTGACACCACATTAAATTATGTTTTATTACTGTTTTATTTGTGGATTGTTCGCCAATATCCAAAAACCGAGCGACGCAATGGGCGACAGTGAGGAATCTTCATCGCTTGTCGCCGTCACTTGTCTTATTGTTCGCTAAATATCTTACATGTGGTCCAGCCTGGCAACCAGTACACACTGAAAGAAGTGTATTCGGAAAAAAATCAGTTCCCTGATTCTGTAGTGCCATTTATGGCTGCATAGCAAATTAAACATATAGACAGCAAGTAATATTCATGTCATACATTCTCTTGAGTGTTCAGGCTCGCAATTAATTTGCGTTCTTACTGTTTCAGGACCGGATGGCATACTGTTGTGTTCTCCATTGCCACTGTAGCACCAAAAGAAAGCCTCCTGGTGTGTCCTTTCATGAAATTCTATCGGAAAAAGAGTCAAGAAAGAAATGGATTCTCGTAATCCGGCGGGACAATTGGACATCGAACACGACATCAAACTACAGCAAGGTATGCAGCAAGCACTTCAAGGAAACAGACCTCCTAGTGGAAAAGCAACATCGTCTCAAGGAAGGGGTCATTCCCTCGGTGTTTAAGGACTACCCCTTGCATCTCCAGCCCAAGAATGTAAAGGAAAGAGGCGACCCAAATGTAAAGGAAAAGAGCCTTCTCCAGTGACTGTGTCCCTTGAAAGATCTGTAAGTTGTCAGATGCGACAGGAGGTGAGCAACAAGCGCAGCCTCTACCTACACGACAGCCAATCAGCACTGCTGGGGTTGAAGCTGGCATCGAGCCAACCGATTTCTCTGCAGCCGACACCGTGGAATGTGGAGCTGTATCACCCCTATGCCTAGAAGAGCCAACCATGACAGGAGACCGATTTCAGCAAGCTCGTGTCGTCATAACACAAGTAGCGGACCACGGTACGCAGGCTGATCTCGGGACAGCGTCCATCTCGTTAGTTCTCAAAAGAATGAGATGGAACAGAAAAAACTCGACCTCAAAAAACAAATCAAAAAACTTTGAAAGATGGTAGACAGTTACAAAGAGGAACTTCAGAAGCTACGGGATGACTGCTGCGCTGCCGACCTGTCCTATATCGACGAGCGGGCAGCTGAGAAGTATTATTCAGCAGTATTCCTACTTGAGCAGATTTCTAGCTTCAACCACGTGAGGCTTAGTTGGTCTGAAGATGCCATCCGCCATGTGATTGTCCTTGGGCATACTTCAATGAAGAGTTATGAACAGACGAGAAAAGAAGGAATTCTGAAGCTGCCATGCAGGAACACACTGCAAAACTATCTTGGAACTGCAAGTGGTGAGATCAGGTTATACAGTTTGATCAAAGCATGCCCGAAGGCCAAAACTGAACAGCTAAAGGTCAAGAATCAAGGAAAAGCTTCAGTACAATAAGCAGCAGGATGCCTTTGTCGGCTATACCAGCATGGGAGAAGCTGACGATGGAGGGGCACCGAGAAAAGCACTGTGATGAGTCTTGCATATTTGCTGTTGTGCCTGCGTGAACGGACTGTCGACATCAATCCTCATTCCTGTTTCCTATTTTTTTTACGAAGGGTTGCAACAGGAGCTAGTTGGGCAGGCTCCTCGTCTTCGTGATAAATTGGGTTGAAGACACTGGATTCCGGATCATATGCCTCGTCACAGACAATCACAAGATGATCAAGAGCGCTACAAAAATCCTATGTGGGGGCATCCTCACCTACCGAATCGAACAACCTTACAACCCTGACAGACACTTTTTTTCTCAGTTTTGATTCCTGCCACATTTTGAAAAAATTGTGTACGTGGTACTCCGGCGATTTCTCGATGGTCCCCGACTTGCCTGAAAATTTGCTAAACACACTAACGAACATTGCTGCAATAGTATCCCAAATATTAGGTCAAAATATTTGTTTTTTGCAAAGCTACAGAAATTTACAGTTTTTGGTCTTCACCTTGTTTTTCAAACTGAGTCTCTACTGGCAACAACGAAAAAGTGATGCCAGTGGAAGGCATGGGTTCACTGTTTGGACGGTAGATTTTGTTCCCAACTGATTTCAACAAGTTTCATGGTGTCAAGTGAATGCTTTGGAAACTCGCTCCAGTACCCGTGCACCAGCACAGAACAAATGCTGAGCATAGTCTATTCTTTAGGCTGCTTGCTCGACTGGCAAGCCTGCCTTCCACTGACATCACAGCACTGAAAAGTGCGGGTATATTTAAATGTTGGTTTTTGCAACATTTTTATTTACAGATTTCACAAAAACTATTGGGAATTTTACGATACTAATTAGCATACCGGAAACGGTAAACGTCGAGGATTAAAAAAATACAGTTAGTCGGGGTACCTAGAAAGATTGCTGGAGCACCCTTTTAAAGAAGATATATGACGAGCAGAAAACCTGGACCGTCGAGCCAGTGAGGTTTCTGAGCCGAAAATGTGTGTCCGAACAGTAATGAGAAAATGATTGTCGCAAGAGAGGTTGAGGTCTTCTCTCCAGATGTGATTGCTTCGTGAAGGTACTTGAAGGATCAAGGGGGGCACTCTTCTAACACTTCATTTGCAGCCTATGCAATGGTAGCCTTCATGGGAAATATGTGCCATTTATTCATACGTCGCGACACGAGCAACAAGACTCTGCACATCTGCCAAAACTTCCCAGATGTCCAGCATTGCGATGATCCGGAAGACCCTCCGCTAGAGTGGCCTGAGACAATACTGCCAATGTATCTTGAGGAGCTCGGCAAGAGAGTGAACACTCCACGTCAGTTTTTGAGTAAGGAAACTTACGAGGCTCTGCTTATGACCTCCTATTCAACCGTTGCCTGCGTCCAGTATCTTTTCATCGAGGAACACTACTTGTTCGTCCTAACACAAAAATTAAGTAGCAACCCGATTGAATCACTCTTTGGGACTCTTAGAAGGTTGTTAGGTTGTAATGACCAACTCAACGTGCGGTCTGCTCTGGCATGCCTAGAAAGGATCCTGAAGACTGTGATTGCGATGGCTCCGTAGTCCAGCAACGTTGCTTATGACAACGCTTTTGCGTCCTAGAAGGACTTCTTGCCGTTCGACCGCCAGCATCCTAAGAACAAGTGGTGAAGTTTTCAAGAGGAGCGACTTTCATTTTTTGGATGATTGAAGACATCGGAAGTTGAAGCGTGCCTACCAACGCTGCAACTTTCAGCAACTGCATCTGCTGGTGGCTACGTGACCCGCGTTTTTTGGCGAGCAAAGGGGCTGCGAAACCTGCTGTGCAGTGACATCAAAGCCAAGGTGCAACCAACCTTTGCAGAGACTGACTCAGTACCAAGACAGAGGAAGACTTGTCTTTCCGTCAGATAAGCTCCTTGATTTGCTGGACACGCGGGGAGTTTGTCAATGTAACGCTAAAAGATTACCGAAGGCTGGGAAAGCCTTTGGCGGTGCTTCTCAAGCAAGGTGTTCGAGCCTTCTCCTCATAGACACTTGTGAGGTGCGAAAGAGGTGACAAGAACCACAGGAAGAAGTTTGCAGAACTGATGTGCATTAGGTTCATCGAGTCACTACTTGTAAATGTGACATTCTTAAAGACGGACAAGAGTGGTGTTTACATGGCATTTGCCAAGAAGCCACTGTCGCGCAAATATGTGAGGTTGTAAGCCTGAACTGGAGACTTGCGCACCCATGAAATTGGCGTGTAGAATAAACTCTGTTCGTCTCACCATGTAGTTATGTCTCGACCCTATTTGAATTTCCTCAACTCTAATTACAAGATGTTTGCCTGTATATGGATAACATAGAAAAATCTCCATAATGTAATTTATTCTCTCTTGCCGTGCACTTGTAGAGAGCCTGTGAGCATTCAAAATCATCAAAGGGTGGCAATGTGCATTCTACCCTTATCAGCTCTTCCTGCTTACAGCTAATGTCAATTTTTATTTTCTGGTGAAGTTAATTGCTATTTATAACTTTCATATAAATCAATACAAAAAATCCATGTATGAAAAAAAAAATTGGTGTTTATGTTTTGTTGCTGATTTTTGCAGCTGTAATACACAGCTAGTTCTAATACTGTGCAGCCCACTTATAACAATAATGAGAAAACCCGTAATTTCAATCGTTATAACTTAATATCGTTGTATCTGGACTAGAAAGTGATCATTTTGTCTAGAAACTCTAGGAACTGATAGTTATAAGCGGTACATTATTACATGTGGTATCGTTGAAGTGGGTTGCACTGTACTGAACTTTGGCACCTAAATGGAAGTATGGTACACTTTATTATTTTGCATGTTTGTCGCGACATTCTTACATTAGGTGGTGGGTTCGAATCCCGGCCGAGGTGCCCGCGACAGAGGCTTATTGCGGGGGAGGTGCCGTGGTAACCAAGCTTTCGGCTGCACGTCAAAAGATCCCCAGGTGGTCGAAATTAATCCTCAGTCCTCCGCTGGGGCGTGCCAGATGCCCATCGTTGGTTTGGCGCGTAAAACCCCAAATTTGATTTTTTTTATTCTTACATTAGGTCACAATAAAAATATCCAGGCTGTCCAAATTTAAGCTTGTCCGGAGTCTAGTTGCACGTCACTCGCTGCAACGCTAGCGGGGGGGGAGGCACTGGCTTGATCGAACAACATTTTAGCAAACGCCCATGTATCACCGAATGACACTTAGAAGCGGCGTTTTCAGGTGGGACAAATGGGTTCACATTTTTGCAATGAGCCGCCGCAGACCGTCGCCGCGAAGTGGCGTAAGCGCAGCGCGGTGGATGGGTTAAAGCGCGCCCCCGTCATTCGCTACAACATCGATTCGCTCAAATGTCGCTGTTCGCTAAAACGTCATTCGCTCATGCGATATGGACCCCAAGTGGGGGGCGGGCGGGGGGTGTAAAACAAAGAAAAACAAAATTATGCGCTATTATGTTCGCTTCTTAAAAAGATTCTGGCGTTCGAAGCTTCTGATGCTCTAGTACACACATCATTAAAAACAATAGAGAGTTTTAGAATAGCGCACGCTAAAGTTTTGCGTGCGCAAAGAATAGCGTCGTCGCCACTGCGCATGCTCAGAACGCAAACCAGGTTTTTCGCTTTGCGTGTGCTCTTTTAACGTGCGCTATTTCTCGGAAATAGCGTGCGTACGCAAAGAGTCTTTGCGCTTCTCCAAGGTGGATTCATGATGAGAAGTTGTCTAAAGGCGAGACGAGCAGAGTTAAAAAAATGGGGGCTTCCAAGTGGCGGCTTCCAGGATTCTGTCGGCGGCTGCTTTGGCGGCGTCGTGAGTGCGACGTTGGCGGTATCCTCGCGACTGCGATTTTCAATACGGGACGACATTGTACTCGGTTTGGCAGCGATCACTGGCAACTTGATGCTTGTGACGCGCGAACATTTCTCGGCGAAGGTACGATGTGCGAAGGTTAGTACACGAGACCTCTCTTGCCGAGGCGACGCAAGCGGACACGACCGGTCAACCGCTCGCGTCGTATTCTCATGTTCAAACAAATCTAAAATAATACTCTGGACCAAAAAACATTTTTTTTTTTTGTTTTTTTTTTTTGTAAAGTTGCAGCATTTCGTGTGTGAAATAAAAATTGTGACTGTATCTTGGTGGCGTCGCAAGCGCGAGATGCTTGGGCTTTTGCGTCGCACAAAGAAACGCTATTCTAAAACTCTCTCGCATCGCGTGCGCTAATACAAGCGCTAAATTTAGCGCTAGCGTGCGCTAAAATTGCGTACGGTATTTTAAAACTCCCTAATAACAAAATAAACACCAGCAATCCCAGTGGGCCCATGCAGTCACGTCTTTTAAACGCCTTGCGTCTGTCGTGTCGTCTGCTACTGATCCTATCGAAGTGGCGCCCCCCCCCCCCCAAAGGCGTTGCGGCGAAGGCACGCAACTTCCTCGACGGCTGGGCCCCAGTGTATTCGGCGTTGTCTGCTAGGCACAGAGTATACAGGAGGCTTTGGTCTAGTCTGTACCGGGTTGCGCGAAGAACGGATTGCGACGCAGTCAGCACGAGCGAGGGATTGCTGGTTTTTACCGTTTATCTTGCTCTCAAATGAATGACCCTCGTTTCATCTTCTGGTGAGCTGGAACATGCTGATCGGGAGCGTTAACTTAGGCAGTGGGAGTTTTGAGTTTGTCACTACTCTGCACATGTAAAACATGCTCACATCGTATTTGTGCTAACTGTGTCGCATAGTGTTGAGTAGAATCTCCCTATAGTGCAACCGGGCTTTCAGGGAAAATGTCTGGATGATAATTTTTCACTACATCATTATCTCAGATGTTGTACCAGTATTACCAGCATACTGAAACTTTGTTTCACTATACCCATGTCATTGCTGTATCGGTCTTCTTTACACCAAAGGTTCTGCTGTTATGATTATGAAATGACAGCAGTTCTTAATATACTACAGTGAAATCTCGTTAATTCAAATTCGCAGGTAATTCAAACTAACATACAGGTCCCATCCTACGTGTTTCTAGTCCCGGTAATTCGAACTTTGCACTATTCAAACAAAGTTTTGCTGCCCCTCAGGTTCAAATTAGCGGGATTTCGTTGTAGCAAGTTAAAGCGCACAAAAGCAAGAGTATCTCGGTATTATTTTCATGTATTGTGAGCAGGCCAGCTTGACATGTACAAGACTTTTGACGCTTGCTCTCATTGGAAGCATGTATAGAAAGCTCCCCTCATTGCCTCTAGTAAGTTTGGTATCTCTTTCTTTCTGGTATCCTATGTCTTGTTTGGGGACAGGATGCCATCACATACTGTCAATAGACTTCTCATCAAACATTAGTCCTACAGTAACCACCGGGGCCTGTGGCGACATCTCGTAGAATGGCACTACGAAAACAAGGGAAAATCGAGTGGTATTTGTTTACTAGTTATTTTTGTGCAGATATAGCTTGTGAAAGCTTCGCATTTTAAAGCAAACCCGAGACTGTGATAGAAGGCGAAAGATTCAAAAGTGTAAGAGACAAATATCACGGCAAGTAGCATTTATCCACTAATCTTTGCGGTTGCAGTACAAAGATAAGACATCTTGAAGAATCAGTCCGAGTGCAGGTCATTTGGGAAGCCAAAAAATGTGAAGGTGGAGCGACAAAAAACAAAAGAAAATTTTTCTCCCACACTCTCGCGCCAATTTTCATTTTGATGAGACGTGACGTTGCGAGCTAGAACCTGTTTTTTTTTCCTCTCCTCAGGTGTCGCTGCACAACAACCAAAACCCAGAGTGCGTGTTGCGCGCCGAAGCCACCTTCATCGGCCACCAGGCCAGAGTCAGCTGCCTCTCAATCTCGTTCGACGGCCTCCTCCTGGTGTCCGGGTCGGACGACACTACCGCCCGTATTTGGGACGTCCCATCGAAGCAGTGCATCCACATCCTCCACCACAAGGGGGCGCTCACCAACGCCTTTATCGTGCTCACTCCAGCCGCGCTGACGCAGGCGACAAAGGCGGCGCTGCCCAGCCTTCCACTGACTACCTTCAAGCGCTCTATGCAGGCAGCGAGGGACGCCAATGGAACGGCGGTCAACGTTGGCCGTGCGTCGACGGAACTCTGGCCGTCGTCGCTCGCGAAGGGGGGGGGAGGATACCGTCTGGCGGAGGAGTGTGCAAGGGCGCTGTCGTCGGGTGCGACGCAGGAGGAGAGTGAAGTGGAGGTGGCAGACGGCGCGGGGGAGAAAGAGGCGCTGAAGGAGGTGGCTGCGCTGAAGCAGGTCAACAGGCAGTTGTACAACTACGCCTGGAGCTGTGTGCTCGGCCTGCAGGAACCGCCCATGAAGCCTCGGTCCTGATCAGCTTAATAAACGGACGTGCGCTCTGCCTGTTTGGTTACCCCGCGTTTTTAAGTGTGTCGCGTTTGTAGGGCAGCCTCGGGAATTTTGCGCCCGTGGCGTGTACCCTTTATGATTTTACAGTATCGTCTGACACTCGGACATCATCTCAAAAGCATTGTAGAGGCATGGTATTTATAGGTATTGTGTGACGTCACTAGGCATTATGACATGATGTCACGTAATTCGACATCTTGACATGACTCTTTTGACGGAGTTATCCTAGTGCTACCGAACCAAAACGTCTACGGAGCACCATATGATTGAGAGAAGGTGTCGGAGCTTTCTGCTTGGCTGATGTTGGCACCTGGAAAAAGAAGAACTAGAATGTATTCGGGGCTGGGTAATTGACAGAGGCCGTGAATCGCTACCTACTTTTGCTAGAGCTTTCCACAAATAACTTGCAGCGTGACTGGGACAAGGTCAGACAGAAAGAAAGCACGGCAAGCACTGAACTAGCGACTGATCCTATTGAAACGAAGAAATACACATGCTGCTGCTGCTGCTTGTGCAGGCATGCTTCTCCGTTGCCCTGGCGCTTCTCTCACTCCACACGATACCGACTGAATTATCCAAGGTCCAAAAAGCTGATCTCGCTGCTCGTCAAAGTCACCGATGAGCAACAAGATCAGCTTTTGGGATCTCGGATAACCCTCCCAAGCAGCACGGATTTTGGCCAAGCAATGGCCAATGTCTGGCGACGGTCTTTTGGCCAGTGGCCAGAGAGTGGCCATTCATTGGCTAATGCTTGGCCAGATAAAGGCCAGTCTCTGGCCACTGTCTGGCCACTTGGCCGAGGACCATTGCCAGCCATTGGCCGATGACTGGCCAACTCTCTGCTGCTTGGGCTGTCGGTATGGTGTGGAGTGAAAGAAGTGTCGGGGCCACGGAGGGGCATGCCTGCACGAGCAGCAGCAGCATCATGTGTATTTCTTTGTTTAAATAGAATCGGTCGCTAGTTCAGCCATAGTAGAAAACCCCCGAGAGAAGGAGCTAAAAGTACAGAACAACACCATCTCAGAACCAGCACAGGAATGATTTAATTTGACAGTCTTCCTTCTCTTCACATCCCCCGGTCATCAGGAGGCGCCACTAATGAAGGTATCAAGCAAAAGGATACGTGCACGACTGCAGTTTTGCTTGATACCTTCAAATGTGGTGCCTGCTGATGACCAGGGGATGTGAAGAGAAGGAAGACTGTCAAATTAAATCATTGTTGTGCTGGTTCTGAGATGGCGTTGTTCTGTCCTTTTAGCTCCTTAATTGTCTCTGGGTTTTTCTACTATGATTCGTCACCAGCTCGCCTGCGTCTTTACTCCAATTTCGCTAGCTCAGAGCTTGTCCTATGTTTTCTTCTCTGTCTGTCCTCATCCCGGTCGCACTGCCAAGTTATGATGAACTCTTACTAACTGGTCCAATTGTCCATTTTTGCCAGCTTTCTACAAAGTTTGTTTGTTTCTTCTTTTTTTTATATATATACCTTTAATGAACTGGGTAAAAAAACAAGTAATTTTTGAAAATGCACAAAATTTGGATTCAAACTGTAGTTACACTTTATATATTCGCTGTACAGAATGGCATAGTACGAGCTAACCTTGTTACACATTTTTTTTTTTAGCTCTTCACCTGCGCAAAGAAAGAAAGAAAAAGAAAACATGCGTGAAAAGGCTTGCGGCAACGTTGGCTTGCGGTAACTGTTAGGTCACGAAACCTTTGTTGAGCATGACAAACAAAAACATTTCGAACAAAATTTATTGGAAGAGTGATTTGTGCGCTTGTGTGTGTGGCCCAGTTGCTTTGTCTAAATCATAATTTTAGATCATTAAAAAAATGAGAGTCGATGTTGAGGTGGACGGACGAGCTCTTCATGTTAGCATCAACAGGCAGTACCGCAAGAAATCATTGGAGTCGTCAAGGAGCTGGATTCGTTTAGCTGACATACGGAAACCGAAACACAAACTGCAACGCGTGAACATTTTGTTTTTTAGATACTTGAGTGGCTCACTTTGTCTTCCCTAAATCCGAATCCAATGGCTAGCACGTGTCTTTTGTGTCCGTCACGTGACTGTCTTCCACTTCGTTCATCGACTTCTTTCCGCGTTGTTCTGTCAGCGGTGTCAGTGCGAGTTCGATTCTCTCTTCATAATCAACCGCATTTCGAACGTTGAGAGTTTGTGCGACATGCCCAACCATGATTCTGAAGTCTTCCATCTGGCGCAAGGCCCGTTCCCGACGGCCACGGCCGGCAGACGTCTGCCGTGTTGGTGCAGGGGCCGAGAGCGCGCTCCTTTGAAATCGCTGCCCATCTTCCAGTTCCTCGAAGCCCAGTACGAAGCCAATGGTATCGGGGTAAGTGCTTCTTAGCCCTTGCTCACACAATTGTCTCGTTCCTAAAACGTAAAAAAAAAAAAAAAATAAAAAAAATAAAATGGTGGTTTTGGAAGTTTTGGAATGGGAACACGTGCTTGTGTTCCATGGATTCACAGCGACTTTTACAGGCTCGTAAGTTGTGTGCACGTGTGTTTTCTGCCCAAACGCTTCTAACCAGCAAAAAAAAATAAAAAATAAATAAAGTAGCGTTTGTTGTTGTTTGCGGAGTTTTTACGTACTGCTGTTCCGAAGTCAACGTGCACGTTTGTGCGCGTGAGGTCATTCGATTCCTCTCCGTCAGTGGCAATACTGATATTTTGTTATTTTCAAGCAGCTTCGAGCGTTGCGATGCTGTAATTATTGTTGCTTTAGTCGGGCTGCTAGCCCCGAAATTTAGCTTGTCAAAATCGTGTAGTTTGTTCGCGCGGCTAAACGCTTCGTCACCCATAGCCAGCCGGCAGTGGCCAGGCAGCGCCACGAGAGTGCTGCCTAGCAGTGCTGTTAACTTTTTTTGGGCGAAGTCGCCAGGACGCGGCCTAAAAGTCGCCAGATTTAGCTAAAAGTCGTTAATGGTTGATGATGATGACAACAATTTTCTTTTAATTGTTTAATTTTCTAATTTTTTGGTTCAATAAGTTACGTAAAGGGTTTTGTTATTTGAAACAATATCTTAAATTACTTTCTTCAGTGGTGAGTGAAGTGGACAATCGGAATATGAAAATATTTCCGAGCAACTCCAAGTTTCATACTCCGAGCACTGGCAGCGTTCGAGTTCTCTCCCAGAATGCACCGAACTCGCGAAGTGTCGCGAAGAGAACTGGCGTCAAACGAACTTGCCAAACGCACCGAGTGCAAGAAGTGCAAGAGACTGATGCTGCCGCCATCTATGTTGTAGAAAGAGTACCGATCTCAAACCGAAACTGCCACCTTTCTGTTCGACGTGATGGGTGGGAATGCGAGAGCGTTGTCGCTACCAACGTTTATCCATAAACATTGGTCGCAGCAACCTGCACTTTTTTTTCTTTTTTTGTGCGATGACTTTAAACAACTCGGCTGTCGTAGAGATATTTACAGACGGCGTAAACTTCCGCGCCCAGCTGACTCCAAAGCAGCTAGGGTTTACACTGGAGAAAAGTGATGATGCTGTCTGCGCAGAAGCTTGATCCGTTTGACCGTGGTATTATGCGTGATTTATTGAAAGGTTACGGCTTAAAACAAGTCTGTTGGAATATCCAGCAAAACGTTTCGTGGGACTTTCGATTTCGATTGTAGTTACAGGTGGATCACCTTGGTGAGGACGTCGAGAACGAGTGCTTTCTCAAACAAAATACGACGGGGCAATATAGTTGACCTAGGTAAATGTTAAACATAATGATGTTCCCCAAGCCTCGTGTATAAAGTCACTATGTTCAGATGCCACGGATGTATTGGGCAGTCAAAGATTTCTGCTGTGGGAGCTTTGTCGACATATGTTAAAATTTTCACCCATACACGAATGGTGATAAAGATTTCGGGGGCCGCCGATGCGTTTGCTCTGAGCATTTCTTCACGCACTCATATACTTCAGGGCCTGTACTGCAACAGAGCGACTAAAAACTTGCAAATAAAGCACGGGTTGTCAATTGCTTCCTTTGTGAAATAGCAGACGTTCACAATTCAAGCTCGCGTTTGATTCCGTTGCCCGCGGGACACAATTTCTATCAGAAAATCTACGTTTTTTTTTTTTTTTTTTCCTTTCAGTGCTGCTGTATGAATGACAGACACATCGTAGCAGACGAACCCTCGCCGTCTGCTCCGCTCCTCGCCGAAGCGAGGCATGACGGGATTGCATCTTGGCGCACGCTCGATTGTCTCCGTGCAGCGAGACAGCGAGTACATGCACGCGTGAGGTATCAGCGCTGGAACGAACTCGGAGCGTGCAACCGCTCGTGGAGTGCCGGCCGAAACGAACCCGCTCCATGCTGCGAGTGGGCACGCGTGGGCACGAGTGCCATATGATTCGTGAAACGAACTCGCTATAAACGACGCATGGCGTACAGCAGCGCGACGCACCGAGGCTGCGTTCCAAATTTACTCTAATGGATCCGAGTTATTAAAGATAAATTAATTAGGCCCATGTGGGCGGCAGGGTTTAGAACAAAAAAGACGGCGAAAGTTTTTACTAACTTTTAACTTCTTAAAAGGTTTGAAGACTCGCTTCGTGCAGATAGTGAAACGTTACCCCGGCCGATCTATTTATTGACCATGCATGCTCTTCGGATTTAGATAAAGACAACATTCTTGAACTCGCTCTTCGACGCAGAAAACCCTCAAATTAGATTCCGTGGTTCTCTGGCTCGCAGCGAAGCGGAAGCTACACCAATACCGGCACACCATCGTTCGACAGCACGTCAATTCGTTTTTAGGGCGGTATGCATGAGGGCGGTATGCGGTCTCAACAGCAGCGCAGCCATTTTGTTTGTTTACGTGACGTCACGGCGCGCGAAGAAGTCACTCGCGCTCCAAGAAATTCTTGGTGCACGAAGAGCGCACTCGAGTGTCAGTCTCCGGTGGTACTCCTGTCCGTTTTGGGGGAGCGGTGGCCGAGTGGGCTAGCGCACACCAGCTCGGAGCACGAAGAGAGAAAGCCTACGTTGCAGAACTCAGTATCTTGGGTTCAATCCCCCACCCCTGCCCGTTTCGATCTGGATGAGCATTGTACCGGCGTGCAGTCGTGTATCATTACTGCACTGGCTAAATTTCTCATCTACAGCTGGGAGACTCTTCGCCCCTTGAGGCAGACCAAACTCTAAGCTGTCAGAAATTTTTTTTTTCTTGTCCGTTTAGTGAAAGGAGCTCCAAACGCCCGCGCTCCGGAGCATGGACTTAACGCGCCCAATGGAACGCGTGGCATGCGTGAATTTTACCTACGGTAAAGCCCCTGTATCCTGGGAAAAGTGACGCCATTCACTGTTGTGGAAATGCTCGAGACACGTGGCACGCGCCACTTCTGGGTAGAACACGGCGTCTGAAATCTAGCCCAGTGCTGCGCTGTACCACAATGATCTTCCCAAGGGCTGCACGTTGAATGTATTTAGTGCATCGACGCACCTTGCGCTACTTTTGAAACATGAAGGGGCTTTAACTTACGGTGCCTTACCAAGGGGGCTTTACTGGCTTTGCTTCTTTACTTTGCTTTCAGCAACAGCCTACCGCTCTCACAGGTGATATCTAACGTTTCATTTAATATATTAACACAATAATGTTGGTCAACTAAAAAAAATGAAATCATTTTATTGGACACTACATTTTACTTAAGTCGCTGAAGTCTATCATACGTAAGAAATTCAGCAACAGTTCCATCTCACTACGCTTCCTCGCCTGCAGAGTCGCCATTGCTTTGCGCACATGCACCACTTCCAGACGCGAATGCTGAGGAGTACGCTTGCATGGTTCCAACTTTTCTTGTCACCGTGTCAGGAAGTTCGTAAGTGTGGCAGCACTTCCCAAGACGGCGAAGTCCGCTACGAACGCTCAAAACGGCGTTAGTACTGGCAGTGCTCAGCGAATTCCTCTGCTTTGTTTTCACGACGCTCAGTTGGCTGAAGACTCTTTCCACCTCTGCGTTCGAGTGCGGCAAAGAGAGCACATCGATTGATAGCTGCGCGAGCTCGTGAAACGGGTTTGAGCCACCTGCATCGCGGTATGCAAGGACCTCAGACCAAAACGCAATGGTGTCGGTGGTACTCGCCCAGCTCACCATGGTTAGCGCCTTCCACTGAGTGTCCACAAGATCTATCTTATTCGGTTCTACGCCAAAAAGTTCCGCCAGCTCAACGATGGGTTCCTTCAGCACCCGCAGGCACGCTCCCACAGACAGCCGTGTCATGGCCTGCAATATCTTGTAGTTAGATGGCAGGCGCAGCCGGAGCTCAGTTGATAGCTTGACTGTGAATGCAATGCAACGCTGGCGTACCAAGTCGACTTCAGGACCAGCTGGCAGCGTGTTCGCTAGTCTCTCAAACTCGTATCCCAAGTACGGCTTGGGATCTAGGTGACCATCGATGGGTTGGCACAGTGGATCTATGTTCGTTGTTGGTATAAGTACTTTGCTACATACCGTCTTTATCAGGAGCGTGAGACCTTCAAGAAGCCTGGAGGGATCCGCGTCGTTCCTCTCGTATGCCTTGTTGGCACGCTGCACCTCTCGTAGAATTGGCCGAAGGTACAGGAGGTAAAGCTTGTTCAGCGGATCAGAGAACATCTGAAACAGGAGCTCTGCGGTATAACATCCTTCCATCGATCTGGCTTGCTCAAAATGTTTGAGTAATGGATCCCATTGATCCAGGACTCTGGCGACCGCCGGCTCCAAGGAAATCCATCTTGTATCGCACACCCTTGGTATTGTTAGGGGGTCGTCTCCATCGCAGAGGCTCTTGTAAAGCTTACTGTATGCGGCCTTGCGCTTGGATGAATGACAAAACCACGTGTGCGTTTCGCGCACTAAGAAGTCCACGTTCCTCGGAAGTGTTCCCTGAACAGCGTGGGAAAGTGCCAGTTGCAATGAATGGCACATGCATCTTATCATTATCAAGTTCGGGAGGTTCCACTCACGCTTCATTATCTCGAAAACACCGTTGTTTACGCCCGTGTTCACCGAAGCGTTGTCAACTCCTATTCCGAGGAGACGCTTCGTGTCAAGTCCCATGCGCGTGAGGAGGCTTTTCAACGCCTTGACGATCGTCACAGCCGTGCCATCGTCCAATTCGATTAGCGCCAGGAATGTAGTCACGATGCTCTTCTGTGCAGCACTGAAGTACCGCACCACTACACCCAGCAACTTGGTAGTCGAAACATCTGTTGCTTCGTCGATGATCAGGCTGTATTTTGAGTCCCCAATGTCAGCCACCAAGAGCTGCACGAAGTGCGGAGATAACAGGTTCACAATTATTTCCGTGCACTTGTTTCGATGCATGCGCAAGCCTGCTGCGCTTTTGCTGTCCATGAACTCCTTTTTGCAAAGTTCTGTCAGATGGTCAGCGGCGAGGAATGCTGTATGCTCACAAATGAACAAGCAAAGGCCGGCTTCACTTTTGCCACAAGAAGACTCGGTTGCGGCTGGAAACTGCAGCTTCTTCTGCTGAGAACTGCAGTACGGTTCTGATGACTTCTTGTGTTTGGTGGTGGCGGCATGCTTCTTGATATCAGAAAGCTTCGCATAAAATTCGCTCCTACAGTAGGCACAGGATGCTTTTGTGCTTTCGTTTTCCACAGGACGTAACCAGCCCTTAAACGCAGGTAACGACTCCCAACTTTTTCTATAGTGCTGATCATACTTGGGAGGCATAATAACACTAGAACCAGCAAGTTGGCAAACTCCAATGATTGTGTTATTTGCGGGAACTAACCGCCGGCCGTCCCATTCTGAACACGCTCGCCAACGCCTTGAGTGACTCAAGGCATCAGCGAGATCCTGATCCAGGAACAAAACAGCGGCAGACTGCATTGACGTCATGTAGCCCCCCGTTTTGTATACATCTTCATCCACAGGGGGTTATCGTTGATAATCTCACTGAGGTTATCCTGGAGTTTAGCCGTAGCGAGCTGCTTTGTTCCATAACTTATCGCACAAAGCTGCTCGCGTCAAGCTTTTTTTTTTTTTTTTTTTTTCGCAACGTTCACAAAGGATTTTACAGCCACCTGCTAGACTGAAAAGGGGAGTGGTTCTAAAGTGGTTCGGGGTTTGAGAATGCCTTCTCGCAACCGCTACCTCGCATCGCCCTCACCCTCAACAGGGTAAAAAAAAAAAAAAAAAAAAAAATGATCAGAGCAGTTTCCCGAAAGCCGCTGGAGAGACTTTCAAATGACCTATCTAAAAAAAAAAAAAAAAAAAAAGGAAAGGAGAAGTCTCCAAAAAAGTCGCTAAGACTCCAAAAAGACAGAAAACTCGTTAGGACGACTGAAAACACGCTAAATTTAGCGACTTTATCGCTAAGTTAACAGCACTGCTGCCTAGAGTTCCTGTATAGGCTCCCTACGGGAGCCAGAGTTGCGCATTTGTTTTCCCCGCGCCGCCACGCCGCTATTCGCCGAGATCCATCACGTGAGGAGCAAAGCATCCGGTGGCGTGCAAGGAAGCCACCTTTACGGTCGCTCCGCCGACGTTTCTCTTGCCCTGGCGTATGTTTCCCTGCTTTCCGCCTTCTTCTCCTCTCCTGTTTTCCATGCGTGGCGGCGCGCGCGGCGCCGCTATTCGCCAAATTTAGTCACGTGAGGAGCAAAGCATCCAGGGCGCGCGGGAAAGCCGGCGCTACAGCCACGCGCCGAGGCTGAATGCGCAACTCTGCTACCGTAAGTAGCTATACAGGAACTCTAGTGCTGCCCTGCATTCAGCGCCATAAGCGGAGCCCCTAGATTTGTCTGGCTACATGCCAGCGGCAGCTAAAATAAAAGCTCCCAAAAAACCCCCCCCCCCCCCCCAAAAAAAAAAAAATGGTTTGTTTTCTATTTTAAAATTTCACAAAAGGATGTGCTTGGTATTCCACTGGATGATGCCCTTCGCCCCCTTTGTTATTTCCGTGTGGTGCACGAGTGGTGAAAAGTGCAAGAACGGCTGGTCCCCTTTGTAGAAGAAAAGGCCCGTAGGTGAAAGCAGTAACTGTTTTGTTCCTGTCCCACTCCACAGGCGTTGATCACCCCTGCCTCTGCCACCAGGGGTCTAGGACGTGGGAAACCGCTTGGACACACGGCACATGTGGTAAGCGGTGTAAAAATTCATAATGTGGTTCTGTTAATTTATTTACATATTTTGTAGAATGAAGCGGGTAATTCTTAATAAGGCTCGACACCTGGAGGACTTCAGATCAGATTGTTTACTTCGCATCCGATGTTGTGAAAAGATGAAGCCACACACAAAATGCCAATGGTTGTTGACTTGTTCGAGTACAAGTCCCCACAGCAGTGGTTCTCAAATGGGGGTCTGTGGGCCCTTTGGGGTCTCTGAAGGCTTTCTTAGGGTCTCTGAAGCCTTAGACCGACAGATGAAGTGATGTGCACCGCAAGAATAGGGGACCCCCACCCCCCCGGCGGACGGGGTCCCCTATCACTGGCCCATCCAGAAGTGGTCCCCAAAACAACAGTGTTTGAGAACCACTGCCCTAGCTACAAGGTCAATCCGTTCTTGTCCTGGATCTGTGTTCTTCGAGATGCATGGTAGCTCTTCTGGTCTTTTTTTTTTAATGGTTATATTTGATTTAATATTATTACTGTCTACTTCCCCCTCCACTAGCATATAAGTTGTGTTCAGCCACAGTGACCCGGCTTGCCGGAGCTGGACGAGTTTTTTTTCGGCGGTGAACTTGATTTGGAGATTATATGGTCGTGTTTAATTTTTACGTTATTGTTGTTTCCATTTAGAGAATTTTGGAGAGCTTCTGATATCGTGACGGCAAAGTGTGTGAGAAAGTAACCTGATACCACAAAATTACTTCTGGTATGCTCTGCTAACTCTGGACTAGTTTCTTTATCCTGATCGGGGTTGCTTTAAGAGGTCGGTGATGCCATGAAACAAGCAGCAGGTGGCGACAGGCAGCCCAGTTGCTACCGCAGGAGTCGCGTTCACAAGGGAAGCTCTCAGGCGCACCTTTATGTGGCTCGCTTCCGCTTCCTGAATTGTAGACCCTCAGTTGTGGCTGGTGTCGGAGTGCCTTTGCAACATACTTTGTAGCCCACTTGTAACAATAGTTGCACTCGCACCAGTTCCGTTTACTATACTTAGTTTCACTGTAACTTGGCAAGGAGCAAACGCTACGGCCCCTTTGATCCAATCGGAGCCACGGAAGTGAAGCACGTGATGGCCGTCACCAAAGGTACAGGGGTGAGAGGATGACCAAGCTGTTGGAAGAGCGGAAGGCAGAACTCCCCTTTTACCCGGACCATCTTTTGCATGTCCCAGACACTGCATTTCTCCCCCTCGAAGATTAGCCAGTCGCTCAAAATTGGTACAAGAGCAGCTCTCCTTTTTCTCCTACCCGCGGCTTTGATGCCTTAACAGCGCCGGTCTCGACTAATGAGATATTGAAGTGGAGGAGGTGCTCCCTAGCAGCTGCCTTGGGAACTAACGCTGTGTGGCAAACAAGCCCTCAGACCGCAGTCATTAGTGCATTTGCTGCCATGGAGGGCAATGACGGAAGGCTCGTGAAAGACATGCAGCACTATTCTTTTCTCTTAAACGCATCTAGATAGGAGTAATCTAGTCCCCTCTTGCACTCAATGTCATTGAAGTCCTCTTGGAAAGTAAAACAAGCGCATGTGCAGTCACACGTGCTGGATCGTGCGTGGCCGGTGCAGCATACGCATTTTTCTAAATGATTCACAAAACACGCACTTCACTTTTCAGTTACCCCGTCTGTTGTGACAATCCTGGACGACATTGGCGAATGCAAGCGGTGTCTTGTTGAAGGAGAGGACGTGCTCAACTGCGATCACGTCATGGAGTGCAGCTTTGCACCAGAGCTGACGGCGGACAGTGACCGTATTGTCGCGTACGTGCTGCAGTCCTCTGCGCAGCATATACCCAGTTGAAAAGCATGCTTCGAGCACTGCGGTGCGTGGCAAGTGCACACCATATCGCTACGAACAAATATGCAGCGAGTGCAGAAACGATGCGGCGTACGCTAGGTGAGAGTTTTGGCGTCGGAGTTGTTTGCCACACCGCGATTGTTTGTGGTGATGAAGATAATCTTCGATGAGCTGATTGGCTCAGTGGAATTGTAGCCCTCGCCGTTTGCCAAGTTGTGGCGAGACGGAGTTTAGTGGTTGCACTTATAATGTACCATTATAACCTATAACTGATGCAGGTAAACCATCAGGTTTTGATTAACCTTGATCTTTTTTTTTTAAGTTCCAGTTCTCATTCAGGGAGCTCATCTCCTTTGCGCTTTGTCCAGCTAAGAAGCATTAACCTCAAAACAACGGTCCGTTTTGTGCCAGCGTGCGTAATCAGGCAAAATGTTGAACAATTATGCTCAGAAGATGTGTGTTGTGGCCTAAATACATTTGCACTACTTAAGTGTTTTTTTGCGGGTAGAAAGTGCATCTCGTAACGTGCAAACAGTTAAAAAGTGTGTTTGTTTAGTGCACTGCATCCCATTGAGTTTGTTATATATTGATTGCCCCATACATCGTTGGGAACTGCTTCCTTTATTATTCACTTAATGTCGGTGATACTGCAAGTTAAGTGTGACAGCCTTTTTTTTTTATTTTTTATTATCTTTAGGGAGGGTCCTCCAGCTCTTCAGACACAGACGACGACATCAACGTTGTGGAAAGCTTCAACAGACGTCGGCAACCCCTCACCCTTCCCGCCTTATCTCAGAATCCAGACTCAACCTGTGAGTGTGCACCGCACGAGCTCACGTCGAACTTCACGGTTGGACACGGTCGAAGCACCAAATTTCAGAAGTCTGCAGTCGGGGTGGGGTCGTATGCTTAGGCCGCATAAATTGAGCTCAACTAGTCGCCGTGTTTTCCCGCAACCAACGACAACTACTTGGCAGGCATTTGCCGAGAGTTTGTCAGTCGAGGCTCGACAAGATTTTTCAACATCCCTAATTTTGACTGAAGCCATTTTTATACCGGGATAGTTTGGTAGTCTTTCCAAGATTGCGACAGTCCAGCAACCTTGACTGGTAGTCTGGCGACTGGTAAATGGTAGGTTCCCTTTGCCATCTTTTGTTGTTGATACAGATCAAACCACGACTGTCTCGTGATAAGATTGTGTTGGCACAGTCGGTATGTACTACTGGTTCGTAAGCTCCGTCCCTCGGCCGGACTTTCGTGATACAAGCGAACGACTCCGATTTTTACTTCTTTCTAGCACCAGTCGGACAGAGGCAATTTGCTTTTTAGTGCTTGCCAGCTTTGCGTTGCGTACGCTTTGAGTTAACAGGTATACCGTAATTTGAATAGGAGACTGCAGGCTGGTGCAACGTTCCCCCGCGAATGTCCGCGTCGCGGGCACTGCCGTGCTGAGACAATGAACTTGAAGCAAAAGGTGAATTGTGTTTTAATGACCGATTATAAAGTGGCTATGAGGCAGAAGATGACGAGAAACTGGCCTATTCTTTTCTTGTAGGATGGTGCATCCAGTGCCTATGGGGTGGTTTCACGTGACATACTTATGGCTCAAAATCTCGCCAGACGTCATGTTGATTAACTGTGCACAGGAGCGTAGCCAGGAAGGGGGGAGGGGGGGGGGGGCTTCAGCCCTCCCCTGAAATCCAGCTGACCGTATAATATACACATCCATTTTGATTCCCTCCCCCCTCCCCCATGAACATCCCAACCACCTCAGCCCCCCCCCCCCCCCCCCCCTTTTCCCGAAAAAAATTCCTGGCTGCACCCCTGACTATGCCCTATTTCTTTTGCAGTGTTTTCCAATGCGCTCAAATTCTTTTGCATCTTGATTGACTACTATGTCTGCCGGACAACGGAAAGGAAAATTCTCTGGTGACCGGTTGTTACACGTACCGGTTCTGTTTGGAGTGCAGACGATCCGGCATTCTAGAAATCAACTTGGCGGCGGCCAAATGCCTCCAGTAGATGCTGCCAATCCAAAAAAACGAAAAAAAAAAAAGAAAGTAAGCATGGGTTTTTGCAGACCAAATACATCTGTGGTTAACTTGTTCGACCACAGAGAGGATTAGAATTCAATGCATGCTTCGCCACACTGGCGTAATGCGTCCGCTGCAAGTGCCCCCACTGTCGAAAAATAGTGCGTCTGCTCCGCGACACGGTGACATTGGCAGAGTCAGTTTCAATCAAAGGCAGAGGGAGCGAAGCTCGCTGCTTTTTGCACGGAAGTACGTCGTCGCGAGGTGACAAAGTCGCCTGTGTTATTTCGTAGGGGGAAGGTGCTGGAAGATTTTCTACCTCAACTTGTCGAAGGTGATGGCAAGACACTCGCGTGTGACAACGGTAGGACAAGGCAATTGCTGCCTACCTGATTTATCATCCGACGGATCATAACAATGAGACTTGGTGAGGGCGGCAGTTTCATTGGTAAATAAATACTGCTTTGAAGGCGTATCAGTAAGCATCCTTCCTTTATTGAAGTGAGCAGGGATGAAAACTGAATCCGATGAGGCCGCATGGCGGTGGCGTCACTCAAGCATTTCATGCAGGGTATCGCATCCGGTGACTGCGGCCTTGTTGTGCCACCAAAAATTTGCTGTGAAGTAATGCTCGCACCATTACGATGTTGCAAAGCGCCTTGTCCCAGGGGCGAACACTAAACGAACGAGGAGAAGCCATAGGCGTAGAGGAAGCTTGAGTTCGTCCGGGCAGGCGAGGCTTGGGCGATCATTCATGCAGGGGCACTGAGCACGTCGACGGCAATTAAGTTGGACAACGAGAGGATCGTTGAATTCTCGCATCGTAACAAACTGTCGTGCACTAAACCTGATACCGGCACAGCTCTGCGATATTGACCCGGGTCACTCGAGAAGTTGGTGTTTCTCGGCGGAATTGACGTTGAAAACAGCGCACACAACGTTGAAAATGATAGTCCCAGCCGCGGCGTCTGTGATGTCAAAAAATGAGTGGAAGCGATTGGCTGGCGAAGTAATACGAATCCTTTTGAGGCGCATTTGCAACTGAATTCTTAACCTGTCGACTACTGTAGTGAACATGCCGTTTTCGAATTTGACTTTCTTTTTCTTGCTGTTTAGCTTGTACAACAAGAGCAGCTCCACGTGCAAGGCTCCTCGATCCAAAGCCCAAGGAAGCGAAGCTCTCGGAGAACCCGCAAAACATCAAGCGGTGCATTGAAAGCGGCTGGAAGGTATGCAGAATGTTTGAGATCTCTTTCGTTGCTTTGTTGCACTGTCGTGTTTGTTGACGCATTTTCGTGTCCCATTTTTTTTTTTTAACAAGAACGTCAACCTTGTGAAGTGTGACATGGTTGGAGACTGGTGAGGTGAAACGCAAGAGCGTCTTTAACGTGACCATATTTATTATATGTAGAGAGCTAGAAAAGTTGCTCGTGAAAAGGTACTTGGGTTGAAAGTCCGCAGAGGCGAATTGCGGTTGAAAAGTAAGTTTTTCCTTAGATAGTCTGCATCCGGTGCCCAGTCTGCACATCAAAAGATCTCAAAGAGCACACCTTAACAAATGCCTCCTTTATTAGCTCACAAAGGTGCTGGCATCATACATAAATCATTACTAACATACTCTTGCCTTCGCGGAATCTGCTACGTCTAGTCATAATGAACAATCTAGAAAACAAATCCTTGTACAGTCCGTGCCTGTAAAGAGTCTGCACCGCACAGAATTTATACTTTCAAGCATAAAGTCCACAGACTATAGTTTGGAAAATGTGGTAATAGGCTACAGGTACGGTTACACATTTCCAAGGAATCAAAGTAATCATAATAACATAAACAAAAAAAAAAAAAAAAAAAAAAAGCTGGTGGGGATTGCAGGTGTTATACAGAGGCCGAGTCGGCGGTTCCAGCAGGATGTCAGCCACCATTCTGTCTTACACAGGGCGTCACTGTGGGCCGCTAAGTATGTTGCAGATTTTGCAGTGTTCGTTCCCTCTCGGTAGTTTCTAGACACATTCTGATGCCAGCCTTTTTTTCAATTTCGTGTTTATGGGGTCGAAAAGTGATCACTTGTGGTGAATTGTGCCTGCAGCACCAATCGTGCTGGCATGCTTGAGATTCATCTTTCCACGAAACCAAAACCAGAAAGTTGTCCTTCTGATAGTTATTTCTAATTTGCTATTTAAGTAAAAACTTGCAGCATGTTTGCTCATCCCTGACAAAGTTCTTGTACATAAATTAACATATTTTATGTGCAAGAATCTTCTTTTTTTTTTTATCGATATAGAATATTTTAAAGGCTTTCTGGCATTACACACAGCTAGATAAAAAAAAATTAACAAGAAAAATGAAATTACTAATCCACTCAAGAACCAAATCTTGAAGGTGCACGCTGCACGACATATTGACATAAAAAATACACATGAAATTCAAACAAACGTTCTGGCAACCGTGTTTATACGAGCAGACTCGTGCTGCATCATGTCGCATGATCCACGTGACAAGGTCATGCGACGTGGTCACATGAGTCAGTCGGTTGCATGACATGATGTGTTCACATGATGCTTAGGACGTCACTTCAATGTCGTTAGTTTCTGGTGCCTCTTGCGTTTTTTTTCCTACATGGCCCTCCCCCAGCCCCATTACAGAAGTTTGTGTTCTCTCACCACGGACCTTTTTAGAGCTACATTACAGAGGATTGCCAACTGCTCGGTCGGGGGGTCACATGGTTTATGGACTGCATTTGCGATACGAGGTGACCAACACATTGGTCATCTGAGTGTTGCCTGCTTTTCCTCTTGCGCCGCAAAACTGCGGTACATGTGCACTTGCAACCGATCTCCACCATTAAATTGCCAACGCTCCCCATGGTTGGAGATGAACTCTGTCTACATACTACGCTCTCCGGGTCCTTTTGGAGCAACGAGCGCCGTCTGGGGAGCTGTCCGCGAACAGTAGGGTGACTGAAATAACCAGGCTCGATCTAAAATGGACCGTAAAAGTCGGCGCATCATGTAGCAATCAAAACTTTTCGTCAAAGGTGTATTTCAAAGGTTGGTTTTGTCTTGTAAAGTTACAAAACGTAGCTTCCTTTCTGTAAAAAATGGGGCAAAAAAACTTGCTATGGTCAACGGCAAACACGACGCAGATGACAGAGACGAGTGGCGGGACGCGTTTGGCGCATGGTGTTGCTAGATGGCACTACCTCCTTATCGAGAAAAACAAAATGGGTTGTGTGTATGTTTTACAGCCTAAAGCTGTGTCTGCCTCAACGGGCGACAAGTCTCCCAGCTGTAGATGAGCAATATAGCCAGTGCAGTACAACCGCTAGCCTAAGGTCTTTAACGGGCACCACGCAGTAGTGATACACGACCGCACGCCGATACGGTGCTCATCAAGATTGAATCGGGCAGGGGTGATATTGAGCTAAGGACCCTGGGTTCTGCAGCGCAAACTTTTGCTCCACGCACTCTCCTTATCGAGACTGCTCGCAACCACCGTGGCCTGTTAAAATGTTTGTTTTGTAATGTACAAGAAGAGTGGGAGTTTGGTTGAGTTGGCTTGACATCTTACGCAATCTTGTGCGCAGCAAGGACGAGGACAAAAAAAGAGAACGGGACACAGCAAGGCGCAACTTTCAACTCAATTTTATTGAATACATGTTCCGGTATTTATAGTCTCAACCATCGTCACAATGACAAGAAACAAAACGACAAAAGCAAAGCAAAACGACCATCACTGAGCATAATTGGAAAATAGCACTATCTCATTCTCAGGAAAAACAATTCCTTCTCCGATAACGCAATCGACGGCATAGTAACACACGTGCCTCCTAAATAATCAATGTGCTCGGGTTCTACAATTTCGCGTGTTAACGCTGACTTGCATTTCCCAATTTTTACGCATCCATCCAACAGTGGGGTACAACCGCATGTCCTGCAATGCAAGTCAAGGAAGCCACCATTCTTTTTTTTTCCACGTTGTTATTGTGCTCGCAAAGCTGATCATTTAGGCAGCGCCCCATCTGCCCGAAGTAGTACCTGCCACAGGACAATGGAATGCAATAAACCACATCATCCGTAGTCACAGTCGACAAATTTCGTTCTGTGCTTCTTTTCACATCCGTGTTTGGCATGCACGCCAGGCTTTGATAGTTTGCACAGGTCCATGAACTTATTGGGTGCAGAAAACACTGCCTTTACATTTGATTGCATTGCTACCTTTAAATTGTGCGACACTCGGTGTATATACGGTATCGCAACAACTTTTCCTTTTTGTCTTGCCAGCTGGCTCCCATTGTTTTTCACGAGACAGCGCTTTCTTAGAAGGCCCTCTGCGACTGCAACACATTGCTTGCCCATCAATCAATATGTGCGCCAAACGTGCCCCTCCACTCTACTCTGTCGTCTGTGTCGCCGACTCGCCGTCCACCTTTGACTCTGGCAAGTTATTTGGCCCTATTTTTTTACAAAAAGGAGCTACGCTTTAATTTTACAAGTTAAAACCGACCTGTGAAATACGCCTTTCGTGTAAAGTTTGGATTGCTTCGTGCCAATTTTTACGGCCCATTTTAGATTGAGTCTGGTTATTTCAGTCGCCCTATAAAAGTGAAAAATCGACAAACATGCCTCCACTCATGAGAACACCCTGACATTGTGCCATTGTATCAGTTATCATTGCTTTTTATGCTTCACACTTCTGACAGTCGAAAAAGGATTATCAAAGAAAACAAAATATTGTCAAACATAGGTCGGAACGGTGCCCTCCAAAAATTGCAACAGCAGGAAGCAAAGGCCAAGAGAGGTTATGCTTGTGCAGAAGCTTACTGGAAAGAGGTCCATTGTGTTTGCTGGAAGAGGCCAATGGGCTTCTTGCCCCCCCCCCCCCCCCCCCCCCCCCCCTCCCCTTCCCCCGTTTTCCCATTGCCCGCTACAGAAGCGGATCACCCAGATGGTGAAAAATGCGGTTCAATCAAATGCGAAAACCAGAGGGCCCCAGTTCCAGGGGAAGAAGACGACTTCTCTTCCGGCCAGGGTGCCAACCAAGAAGCCGTCTTTCAATCCGGCGGAATTCACCCAAGCAGACAGCCTCGAGTGGGGAGCTTCGTGGGCCAACGCCAGGGACCGGGGCCAGAACTCCGCGAGTTCCGAGGAGGACGACGGCGCAGAGCTCAGCGACGAAGAGTGCGCGACGGCGGCGGAGAAGCGCGCCCTTGCCCTGGAGTTGCACGGTATGCACACTTGCAAACACTTTTTCAATTTTTTTTTCTTTGTATAAGTGGGAGTGTTTTTTTTTTAATCTTGTCACGCTGCAGTTCCACATGGAACAAAGCTCATACTGCAGAACCCAGGGTTCGATCCCCACCTCTGCCCGTCTTGATTTGGATGAGTGTTGTACCAGCATGCAGGCATTTATCACTACTACTGCGTGATACACATGAAAAGGTTTAGGACACAAAAATTGAATGGTAAATTATTCTTGAAATAGAATGCTCATAGGTCACTGGGTATATACTCCACGTTTCACAATCTCTAGAGCTCTAGTAATTGCAATAATCAATTTACGAATGTTGATCATTTTCGTCTGGCGACCAGGCAACACTGCTCAAGTTAATCACACCATGATGCCCATAACCCTGTGATCATCATGTTTAGTTAAAAGCTCTCTCGTTCTAGGCACCCCTATGCTCGCCCAAGCTTGCCTTGCCATGGTACGATCGCACACTCTTGCATTACTCGGCTACTTCAATGTATACGCTCGCTCTCATTTCCTTGCCCTTTGATCTCGCACCCTGCAAGCATGTGCGAGATCATCGCGAACTACGACGAGTTTGTCCAGCACGCTTGTCGCAAGTGGGTCAAAATCAAAATGACCAGTGTCAAACATCTTCTGATAACAATCACTCTTATCGCTACTGCGGTCAGCATCAAAGACTTCGACGAAGCGAGCTATGCCATAGACATCGTTGTCTCGAAACCGCGTGCTCGAAAGTGGAGTGTAAAGGCCCGTTCACACTTGCGACCGAGTACGACTGAGAGAGACGAGTTCTCTTAAAACTTGTTAAATGTTTTTAAAATGAGGGAACAAACTGGCATTGTGGCGCCATCTATGCGGTGACCCTGGAACTGCATTTCACAAGAGCGAAGGTTTTGCGGGATTTCCGAGGTCAAATGTGCGTAATACCCATAGAAAGGCTCGTTTATAACATTGACAAAAGTTTTTCGAGCCAAGAAAGAAAGGATAATGCGCGAGAAATAAAAAAAAAATATGCCGGACCGCCGAGTTTACACTGGTTCTGAATAGATGGCGCCAGTGTGTTTTCTGGTTTAAGAAGTTGTAAGAAACCTAGGTTTAAGAGGTCGCAAGAGTGTGAACGGGCCTTAAACGTGAAAGCTAAGGTGTGAGACGCCTAGAGAGCAAAGTTTGCTAGTGCGGGCAAGGGAACACCGCGCGTTGGGCTGACGTCACCAACCCAACAAACACGGCGGCCTTTGCGAACGGGGCGGATCCGAGGCTTCTGTACAAAGGTCGGCTTATCCACGAAACTATCGCTCCATTTTCAAAACAAATTTAGCTGAAGTATAGGAACATACATTGGGTCCTAGCAGTATAGTTATCTCGTATTTTATTTTTGGCGTGTCCTAACCCCTTTGGAGAGCCCAGGTTTGCAGTGGTACTGTACTATAGTTCGTTGCAACTCAAGAAAGTAGAGCAAGGGTAAGACGGACCAGGGAGGAGGAAGCAGACGGAACGCTAAAGAGAGAAGGTTTCCCCCTCTCTTCTTCACCGTTCCGTCTGCTTCCCTCTCACCCGTCTTACCCTCGCCCTACCTTTTTGAGTTGCAAAACTATTGCTGAATCTCTCACCTACAGAGTGCTCATTGTGGCATGCTAACCTCCCGCTGTCTGAACGTGCGTGCAACACTATTATTACTGAATGGACACTTTGCACAAGCGCTAGATCACAACCGTAATTGCTGACCTTCGTCTTGCCAAGATGTCGAGCCACTGAAGCTGGGGAGAGGAACACAGTAGAATCTAAAAGGCTAGTAGCCTGTCCTGTTCTGTTAATGATCAAATGAAGTGAACGGAGAGAGGAATCAAAAACTGAAGGTCTGTTATGGCAGCGCCCATGCACAGCTGCCGTAAACACTCTATAGACCTTTTCCGCTTACTCTCGCCCCCGACCGCCAAGTAGGCATATCCGGTATGGGCGACAAAAAAACGTCAAAACGTTTAACCTGCAAATAGTAAAAAAAAATAGAGGGGAGGCAAAACGAGAATGTGTGACGGTTACGTTAATGTCCTAAATGCCTTCTATTGGCGTGGCGGCGGCAAAACAATGTTTTCGCCCATACTGTAAGTGATGACAATTCCAGATGGCGGCGCCCTTGCGAAAAAGGTGTATAGTTCTGCTGCAAACCCTCTCAATTCACAACTTTTTGTTTTTATTTAAGATTGGTAAAACTAATTACAGATCTGTCCAAAGCTTTGTGGTCATAAAAATATCTCTACAAAAGTGAGCATGCTTCTGTACGTTGTATATGAACTTTACATATTTTTACATAAAATAGGTACTAAAAGGTGGTTCACACACTTGCGCTCGAGTACGACCGACAGCGCTATAAGCGGTTTTTAGGTCACTTGCAACTGCTCGCGACCAGCCATGCGGCTGCACAGCCAATTGTGGCAGTAAGCAAGTTCAACCAGACTCTTATAATACTATTCTTATACCATTCTGTGGGGTCTACCCTACCCTGTGCCCGTTCTGCTCTCGCACAGCCGCCCATCCTCATTTTTTCGCGACCAAGTTTTGGGGTGAGTGTTTGCTCTGTATTGCTCATCGTCTGTTGCGCTTTGATAACGCAGAATGTGTTTAGCCGTAGCGGCCGGGTGTAACGAAAAACCGACAGTGACAAGCGTCACGCCCATAGTAAACCATGTGAAAAGACCAGCTCTCGGCAGGATTTGAACCCACCACCTTGAGATAGAGAGCCAAGTGCTTTTGCCGACAGAGCTATCCAGGGTCGGTGAACGGAGCACGCAAAAGCGAACTTAACGCAGAGCACAGGTTCGTCTGCTTCTTGCGCAAGGGTTGTGGTGACGTCAGAACGCTGAGCTCCAATAGGTTCTGAATGAAGGATAGTGGGTAGACCTCAAGGTAGCTTGCTTTGAGGTCTACCCACTAGCCTTCAATCAGAGCTTGGCATGGTTCTGACGTCACCACAACCCTTGCGCAAGAAGCAGACGACTTGCTTTCCGCATTAGCGCTGCACGGGAATGCACGCTTCGCAGCCTTTCCCATTGCGTTGCGCCATCTCGCGGCGTGTGTCAGAAATGGGAGCAAATCTTTGGTAAGTGGGGTCATTCAGAAGCCCTTCTTCCCTGGAAGGCCTATCACACCCGTGCTTACCAGTCTTTGTCAACATAATCGAGTTTGTGTAACTTTTGTTTTGTAAACAGATGCGATGGAGTCTGACACCCCCGAAGGCTCGCTGTCGTCCCTCTCGGAAAGCCTGGCGGGGGAGGCGGTGTCGGAGGGCTGCCCGCCGCCTCGGAGCTTCGGGGTGGCCATCCTCCCGGAGTCCACAACTGAAAAACGCATCTGCGAGGTCCTCACGCCGTTCTCGGAAGTGTGCTCGATTGCGCCGACTCCCGGCTCTGGAGGGCATTAGCAATCTTTTATATTTTTCGTGACATGCAGGCACATTTTGCTATAGTCGGTGACAGAAGAGTTCAGGGGAAGCTCTTTCCACCTCTTTCCACTTTAGTGGAGCGAATACTGGAGAGGAGGCAAGACCTCTCCGGCATTTGCTCCGCTAAGGTGGAAAGGGGTAAAGCAAGCCTCCCCTGAACTCTTAACGTGTGACTCAGTATAGACAACAAATATTTATTTGATTATTTTAGTGTTTTGGAATTCTGTTGTGGTTGTGTTATGGTGGTGTTTGCTACAAGTTCTGTTGTGTTATGGTGTGATTGTGTCATTCGCTATACTCGGATAAAAGTAAAGAAGGAAAGAGGATTTTTTTCTGCCTCACTATCTTTTTAGAAATTAATGCGCGATATTATATTGTAGTTGAATTGTGAGTTGCACAGCATTAATACTCTTACGATTACCTAACATGCACTGTGTGTGCCGTGTACCAACCACGGCATCCAATATTTCCGTCGACCAACCAGGAAAGGTAGTTACTATGACGAGTTATGTGATGTGTTGGACCGGAATGAACAGTTTTGGAGAGTGCAATAAACAATTTAATGATAACTTTTGGAAGAAACTTTGTACGGGTGGAATTTCGATATCATTCGGTCTTGTCCGCTGGGCTTCTTCCTTTCGTATTCCCATGCCAGGTTGCACGTGTAGGAGTAAATCAAAGTCAGACTCTGTGATCATTCGCGCTCTTTCTGTCAACTGGGCAAGGTGGGGTTGGCTTGAGTGTTCAGAGATGGGGCTCTCCTTACCGGTTGTTCGGCCGGCCGCGTGCGAACTATCAGTGTGCAACAGCCTTAAGAGCAGACTGCCGAAGAAGATTCTTAACTTGGATCTGGCTAGGTGTTGACATCAACGGACTACTTCCAAAAATCCCTGCATGCAACACTGCACGCATTGCACTGTGGGGACTTCTTTGGCTGTGGAAAAGAGTGGCGCGATTTCAATTGCCCCTTTGACGAAGTGGTGCACCTCGCCACTGCACGAAAACAAAGTCTGCGCTTGCTTGCATGGCATTCATTCATATTCGTGAGAGCCCCCATTGAAACACTTACCTCCAGTGGCTGTAGGGACCTGCTTAGACTTGGCGAAGAGCAGGGGTACGGCCGGCCTCGTCCCATACCTTCTGGCGGCTTGGGTACAACTCCGAAGTGCGGCATGACCCTCCCGGGTCTCTGATAATTTAAGCCTAGGGTATCGAGAAGACTGAACAAAGTGATCGGCCCAGTGCATTTCTTTTACCTGTGTTTACTTGCGCACGCACAAACTCTGCGGTGACGGGTGAAGAGTTGAGGGCGAGGGAAAGGAAGGCTGGGGGGAGGAAGCATCCCCCTCTCTCAACCATTCCATCTGCTTCCTCCTCCCCAGCCTTCCTTTCCCTTGCCCTGAGCTTTTTACCTGTTGCAGACTATAGTATGCTGCTAGGCACACTTAGATTTTCTTTGAATTTACTCAATTCGAAGCTCTTTAAATACCCCATTTTATGGAAATAGCTGCTGTGGGCTCTGGCCACCACTGGAAATGACATCCGTTGTTGATGTAGTTGCAGTCATTGATAATGTAGTTGGCGATGTAGGGCATCCGTCATCGGTGTTGCCAAACCTTCGAAAAAGCTTTCTCGCCGCTCGCGTGAATTGAACCTGGGTCCGCTGCATGCAAAGCGTAGGCGTTGCCACTGAGCTATGCGACAGCGTTAATAACCTGCTCTAAACTTGGCACTTTTGTAGCGTACAATGCCCACTGCATGTGCTTTGGGAAAAGAAATAAAAAGTAGCGTATGACAAGATTCTCTTGTACCAATGTCAATGCCAGGAGCCCGTGTTGAGAGACTCGCTTTCATGCGCTCCGGAACAAAAAAAGAAAAGCATTCGGAAAAAAATTAAACAAAACAAACGTTCATAACAAAATGTCTGTATTTTGTTACAAACGCTTCTGTTCACCCACCCCATTGCACCCTGGTGCGCGAACGCGACGCCAGTGCCCAACGACTTCACCGAAACGTGTCGCAGCTATTGCCGAGACTACTGCGAGTTTACATAGGACTGCTCAATTTTACAGTGAAGCTAGCTGTTGGTTCCGTGAATTTTTCGTGTGCATGACCAAAAGCTACTCTTGCACTGCACCCACGCGCCGCATGTGCTGGCGTGTGGCTGCAGTAACTGTTCTAAAGCAAAAGCCTAAAACAAAAAGCGTCTTGCACGCGCGTTCGTCAACGCTTTATTTTGGTTATTTACTTTGAATCTTTTATACAAGGAAGGCATGCGCGTCCGGCACATGGGACACCATTTCCTGCTTTCTCTTATAAAAACAAACAGAACGACAAGTTGCAGTTCTCCATTTTCAATTTCACTTCTTTCGTCGTAATGGGGAGGCCGCGTGTAGTCCGCACTCCCGAAGAGCAACTCACCTCCAAAAGGTATCGGCGGGAACGACAGAGTGGCGGCGGTGGGCGGCACCACTGATCTCTACTGTAGGGGGCTGAATGGCGCATAGCTGCTCTCCAAGCCTGGCACAAGTGAAGCCACCGGAAGTCGGGCGGGCGCTGGGTTTCCTAGTGCATTCAGTCAATATTTTGGTCCATGCTTTTTGTGTCTTTGATCGGGTTTGAATACTCCCGTTTTGGATTAAATCCCGAGAATAAGGCATGTGAACGTGGGACTTACGCACACTTGAACTAGAATCTCAAAATTTTCTCATCCAATGGCTTCCCAAAGGACTTCTCTGGTCCGCATGCGCTGTTACTCCGCAACAAGCAGGCTCTCTTGGGAAAAAATCCAGTGCCCTGAACGTTGTTCGATTCAGCACTCGGAAGGGTTACAAAGCCTGCCAAGTGCTCACTTCCGGGAAAAGCCGCTTCCTGAGGTTTCATACCTGTCTGCTCAATGCGCCATCCAGTCCTCTATAGTAGAAATCAGTGGGTGGCACGTGTGTCGTCACGATGACCATTCGTCACGACGACCTTTCGTCACGATGACCATTGATCGAGGCAATAAATGTGTTTCTACCTTTGTTCAAAATTCTGTGTTGCGTCTGTGTCGTCTGCTAAACAGCTTCGCTGGTCATCCACCTTCTCAAAGTGGAATGACTCCCAATTTATGGTGAAGCTGTTTATGGCTAGGGTTCCGTGGATTTTTCGTGTGCAGTGACTAAAAAGTCTACGCTCGCACCGCCACATGCACATGCCTTCCCCGTGTAAAAGGTTCAAAGGAAATAACCAAAATAAATCGTTCACGAACGCGCGTGCAAGATGCCATTTGTTTAAAGGCCCGTTCACACTCTTGCGACTGCTTGCGACCTCTTAAACCTGGGTTCCTTAAAACTTCTTAAACCAGAGAACACACTGGCGCCATCTATTGGGAAGCAGTGTAAACTCGGCGGTCCGGCATATTTTTTTTTATTTCTCGCGCAATATCCTTTCTTTTTTGGCTCGAAAAGCTTTTGTCAATGTTATAAACGAGCCTTTCTATGGGTATTACGTACATTTGACCTCGGAAATCCCGCAAAACCTTCGCTTTTGTCAAATGCAGTTCTAGGGTCACCGCATAGATGGCGCCACAATGTCAGTGTGTTCCCTCATTCTAGAAACATTTAAGAAGTTGTAAGAGATCTCGTCTCTCTCAGTCGTACTCGGTCGCAAGAGTGTGAACGGGCCTTTAGGCTTTTGCTTTACAACAGTTACTGCTGCAGACGCTGACACGTGCGGTGCATGGAGCGCCATTCCCTGCTTTCTTCTTGATGCTTGGGTAATTCAGAAGTAGGCCTATTCAGTAGATTAGTTATCAATAGACACCATTTTCAAGATCAGTAGACTCTCGGGTATATAATAAAGGTTTCTAAAAAATGTGCCGCTGTGCAACCCGCGTCGACCATGTCTATGCTCGTACCGCCCTCTCTTTGTCGTCGTTCCAAGCCCCGCTTGCGTGCCTAGTTTCCTTCCGCTGTCCTGGGGTGGCAGTCCCGACGCGCACGTCTAGTTTTCTCCAGCTGCTTGGGGCGGGTCTGTGTCTTGTGCTAAACAGCTTCACTGATTAATCCACCTTCCCAGATTGGAATGGCTCCATGATTTTTGAACTTTGCTTGCCATCACAAAGGTTTTGATCTTCATGGGAATAGTAAAATGAATCCATCGGACTATATATGGCATTCTTTCAGGTTTTGTGTACAAGTTTGCTTGCAAGTTGCACACATTGATGGAAGCTACGTTTGACATTTGTAGCAGGTTCTGTAGCAGGCAAAATACTAGTTTGGAACAGCCCCCACACTTTTGGAGGAGGTACCAACATCTGTTAGCACATAACTTGAAAATGAAAAAGTGAATGCTTTGCTAAACAGGTCCATGTTTCATGATTGAGGGTTCCTCTTTGATACTGGAGTATATTGCTTATTATTCATTTTGTAATATGTCACAAAAGGAACACAGAGCCCTCTTTTTAAAAATGAGGCTCTGTTCAGAGCAGTTTCCATTTACAATGGGTACTAAAAAATGGACAATAAATTAATCAGCGTAACACTTCACTTGGGATAAACCCTCTCCCTTCCCACTTTTACACCTGGTAGTTTATTTAGCCTATAAATACAATTTCTGTAAAATGCCAGCAAAAACCAACATATCTGCTAGCATGTGTATTATTAAAAATGCTTCACCCAAGTTTCGTGAACCTGCAAAATTCAAAACACTGATATTATAAACTGCAAAAACAACCGCCCAGGAATATCAGGAAAATCCACACTTGTGCTTCAAAAGTGGCACTGCTCTTTAGCAGCATCGAAACCAGAGTAAAGTCAAAGTCCGCTGCTCTTTTGATCAACAGCTACAACCTTGACTATCGTATTCTAATGTAAACTCGCATCTCTTTGTTTTCTTTCTCTTTCTTGGCACAGCTTTTTAAAATTAGAGATGAACCTAGTACAATCAAGACCAAAGAAGGTAGACCTGTAATAGTACCGAGCAAGATTTCCAGGCCTGTTGCGCTAAACCAGTCGCTCACCCTCGTCAGCCGCTGGTCCTAGCATAGCACTCCTATGCAAAATGGTGAAGCTCGACGCGCGAGCGCTGGCGACAGCCAACACGAAAGCATGCAGGGGACAGGATAACCAAGTGATCTCATCAGGAGTACAAGACCCTGGTTCTGTCTCGCAGTAACCGCCGTCTTACTAATTTGCAATGTTTCCTTGAGACTTTTAGCTTTCGACATTGTCTGGAAATTTAGGCTATGTTGGCAATCAACTGCCAGCGCATTAACCAGCCAGCGCGGTTGACGAGCAATCTTTATACATCGTTTCACCTTGCTTCAAAGCGCAGCAGATGCTACGAGCCAATGGGAAAAACCAAACAGCGTCGAAGTGCGACATTGTGGCATTCGTCCATCTTCCTCTACGTGTTCTTTCATCGACTACACCAATCTAGTGTGCCTCAATGTCCTTCTGTTTAGGGTGATGCCATCGTTTGTAGTACCCGATGCCGACAGCACGCGCTCACAGGGAAAATACAAAGAAATCGCAGGAAACAAAATGTTGCCGTAGCTCAGTCAGGGCCACGAGCGCGTGTAAAGACACGCGCTTCAGAACAAAAAATAAAAATAAGCGTTCGAAACAAAATGGCCGGATGTCATCACCCCAAGCAAAGCGCACATGAAGGCACCCTACACCAATCAAATGCAGGAAATGTCTCGTGACATGTGCTTTTAGTACGTCTGTTCATGATTGTACGTGTTTGAGCTTTCAACTGTGATCTGACCTAGAACTACATATTTGTACCATTTTCTTTTCCCTCCTACTTCTCTGAATATTAATCGAGCATTAATAAAAGATTTCTATTTTTTGCTTTGGCTAAACCCATTCTTACTCGGGTGTGGCGCAATTAGCAAAGATGGCACTTTAGCGCAAGATGTAGCAGATTTCATTCATGTTGCAGTCTGGTGCAGCACTTCTATCACTGCGCACATGCAACATGCGAGTAACTTGCTTGTTGCAAACTTGTTTGTTTGCAAATAGTAGCCGATTTGAAGAAGCCTATATTGTGACAGACCGGGAAATATCGATGGTTTCTAGAAAGAGAAATTATTTTTCTTAGATTGCCTCGCTTCACAAGACCCTATGAAGAAATGGGTTGGTTACCATCAAGTGGTGAAGTCTCATTTGATCATTCAACAATATTTTAAACACCTTCATTCTAAGCCACAGCCAGTAGAGTTTCCAACTTTTATTTCAACACAGGGCGGCACTCTTAACCTATCTATGTGGTGACAATGCAAGTGGCATTATATGTACAATAGCTTCATTGGTAAAAAAAGGGAAAAAAAAAGGTTGGCATAACTAGCATGATTATTCTCTCCAGCATTATTGTAGAGGACTGCTGCCCCAAGTGGGGTGAAGCATTTATAAATAGGGCATCTGTAGACGACCTCTTTATATTGTGGGTTTCGAAAATATTTTGTGGGCACAAAATTTCTGAATTTAGAGCGACAACTCACCTATGTACTTGTTACCATAGGCTGATATGTTCACGCAACAAATGTTTCGCTATATTTCCAAAGTCGCAAATATGAAGTCGTCTACAGTACTCAGTTTCTGCCACAGTGACCTGGAATGTGTTTGCAGGGTGTAAAAGGTCCCTAGCAGGAGAGCTAATCCTAGCAGAACTGTGGTGAAGTATGGGGATAAATCGGGTCTTCCCTCGCTCACTTCGTGGAAACAAATGTGACCATCGCAGATCATATCTCACTACTGCAGGTATTGGTGGCAAAGCAGAATCTGCACTGCTTATAAACTGTCTTTCGAGCATGGGTAGATCAATGACCACGTGGAAAGCTGATGTGAGCTTGCATTTGTAAACTTTCATTACAGGCGAGTGTTTTGTTGCGACAGTATCTTCCACTTTATTTCTGTGTACAGACAAAGAGGTATAGTAAATCGATGTAGCGATGCAGGCGAGTTGGTTCACGATTACAAACTAGTAGCAGCATACTTTACAAAAGAGCTTTGGCAGGCAGTTTGAACAGCTTGGTGCCGCAAGCTTCCCAGCTTCAGTTTTGTTGGCGGCGGCGGAAAAGCTACTAAGGAAGATAAAGACGGGATCCCAGCCACATAGGGAACGACCAAATGAAAGACCAATATCTCTCACAATATGAAAAAGATAGCGGGGCACTACGATGTTCCTGTTGTCTTTTCGGCGCCCAGTAAAATGTCGCAACTATGCCCCAGAGTAGCTGACAGAGGTGGAAGAGGCAACAAATGTGCGGTGAATCGCAGGAATAAGTGTTGAGTGTGTAGTCGAGGTGGTCTATCGTATTACGCTGAGTTGTGGCTGAGTATGCAGCGGCCAGACTGGACGATGTGTCGGTGACCGAGCACCTGAACATGCACTTTCACTGCAGTGTACCACTGGGGGGCACCTTACTTTACACTGTGTCGTGTGTATGTGTCAGCCGAAATTTGACAGCATCATGATCTTGAGCAAAGGGGCTAACAAAACTGCGAGGGAATCGCTGGAAGCCTACGAAATGGGAAGAAATGGGAACGGAAGGTGAGAATTGTGTCAAACATCGGTGTATTTACGCAAGAAAAATACCTTTTTTGAGCACGTGTTGATGCTACGACGGTGGGGTTGTTTACCTCTGTGTTTTCTTTTAATTAAACGTAGGGTTGAAGTTTGCCGCTCATCCTGTACATTACTACCATTTTCTGCATATTTTTTGTGCGCTGCTACCAGTCTGTAGAGATGTAGCAAATAAGAGACATTCTGTTCGGAGTGAAAAGGGATGCGGGGGAGGCAAAATTACCCAATGAGAAGAAGCAGCTTAGAGCTTCTCCATGGCGGGCACTTTGGAGCACAGCAAAGCTACGATGCACATGATTTCAGAAAACTCCTGAACTTGTGCTTTGCAAACCTTCACAAACAAGGGAACCATATTTATGATCTTTAGAGGTGTGGTATTTTCAGTGCACAATAGTACAGATCAGGTCCATGGCCTTTGCATTATTTAATAACCCTTTATTGACGACATACAAAAATTGCCTAAAACATTTATTTTTTAAAGTTATAGCTTCGTTGCCTGTGGGCAACACCAGGCATTAGTCCGAAGGTGACTTCCTTGCACAACCTCAATGGATCACTTTAAAATGTCAATATTTGCACATACGATAGTCTCAAGTAAAACGGTCGCCTATCGTAAAATATTAGTGGCAAGAGAAAAAAACTTATCCATATTTTTCACTGTTCTGCCAAACTTTTTTTTTTTTCATCAACAATTAGCCTATTTTTTCACTAGATGGCACTGTAGTTTCGATCTTCAAGACTTGCCAGACTAGTAGTTTAAAAAAAATGTGATAAAAATAACTATTAAAAAAGAATTATGTGGTTCAAAAATTTATTACATGGCCTGAAAGCAACATTCGTCAACAAAGGGTTAATTTGCTTTACCCTCAAGGCCCAACATTATGTACACAACTAAGACTAGGTATGCCACTGGATTCAGTCACAGTTGCACAGAACAAGCCTTCACAGAAGACTATCGGTGAACGTGGGACAAGCAATACACAGATGCAATGACTTCTTCGCTTTCAACACACGTTACACACTTTGATGGAGTGTCTAAGTGCACTACAAATGCCACGATCAATGGGTGCTTGGCGACTATAATAGGGAATGTTCTTGGTGGATTTGAGGCGTTCCATGATCGTCCCTTTAGAGCAGTCGATGCTTGCACACATGAGACGATACCAGCGAAAAGGCTGTCTGAAACAGCTCTAAATTCACCGAGGGAATTTCCCATTTAAAAAAAAAAAAGTACTACACTGGTGGTCGTTTCCACAGAAGAACCTATGACGCAATGTCCACAGCAACAAGGGTCCTACTAGTCTCGACGGAGGAACACCGTCCTCGTTTTCACGGTCCTGCGATACACGGCCCACCCGACGAGGACTGCGGGAAGGCAGAGCGCGGCCGACACCACTTGGAAGATGAGGCGGGGTGCAAACACCGCCCACACCATGAGGTGGCGTCGCAGCAGCAAGCAGGAGCCCATAGTGCTGCACACCTGCACGCCGAGCAAACCGAAAGAGATTGGGCACCTGTTGCTTCGCACACTGGTCGTTCTAGTGCCCCTAAATTAAGCAACGCTTGGAATATCGGCATTCCATTCTCGAGAAAGAGACTTCTACTTTGCTTTTTTACACGCACCATCAAACTTGTCATTCGCAACCGAAGATCGGCAGTCGAGGATCGCAACTCCCAAGGTCGCTTCGAGGTGAACCCTGGTGGCAACAACATGTAGGAGAAACGACCAAGATGGAACATCACCCAAATATGTTGGGCCTAATTGGCGATGCTAGTTCGGGAAGCTCGGGCAACACTGTCTAAGTTTTTGGAGGGAAAAGTGTTTCCTGTGATTTCGGACAACTAGCAACAGTGATACGATGGCCACAAGAAGATCGGGAAATAAAGTGCCGCTACTCTAAGCATGTATTCTTGAACTTTTCGATCTCAAAGAGCCTCTGTCTAGCTTCCATGAGAGCCGAAACCCCCCCCCCCGTCTCAGCGTCGATGCAATAAAGCGGTATACAAAAGCCCGCAGACCTTGTAAAAAAGAATGCACATAGTAGGGTTGCTTGGCTCATAATTATACATTGAGGAATGGTGCTCTGGGGAACCCTTGGGGTGCTCTGGGGTACCCTTGAGGGTGCTCAGGGAACCCTTCAGGATGCTCTGGGGAATCTTTGAGGGTGCCCAGGAAACCCTTCAGGGTACTCCGAGGAACACTTGGGGCACTCGGAAAACCCTTGAGGGTGGCCTGGGAGACCCTTGAGCATGCCCTGGGGAACCCTTGAGAGTGCCCTGGTGAACCCTTCAGGGTGATCCAGAGAAGGATTGAAGGTTGTCTGGAGAACCTTTGAGGGTGGTCTGGGGAACCCTCTGGGTTTCTAGAAACCCAGTTTGAGAACCCCTGCGAGTCTAGAGGAGGAAAGGAGGAGGTTACTGCACCTGAAGCAGGAGCAGGGCAGAGTAGCAGGTGGCGGTGCGCACCATCGCTTTCCGGTCCAAAGGGGAGGTGACCAGCAGGGGCAGGCTGGTGGCACAGAGCAGGGGGCCTGCGAAGGTGTTGGCCAGCACCTTGAGCATTCCCAGGGCCATGGGGGGCCCCTCCAAGTGGGCTCCAACAAAGGCTGCCTTCCACTGCACCGTTGAGAAGGTCGTCTGGTGGCCCGTGGCAAAAAAGCCCAGCTGGCCCAGCAGCAGCCAGCTCAGTGCAGGGCCCCAGGGGTCTGCAAGAGGCGACGGATGGCTGCTCGAAACTGTCCCAGTAAAGTGACTAGAGTGCTTTGCTATCAACGCAGTTCCCTCTTCCGGCGGCTAAAATTGCCTCAAAAGGGATTTTCTGATCACATGACCGGCCTGAAGGGCAAGAAGTACCCACCATTCAAGCCGATTTTGTACAAAAAATGTAAGCCTTGCCCCCTTTTTTTTAAATTTTCGTTTAACACAACTTTTTCCAGAAATAACTTGACATGCTGCTTCTAAAGTATACAAAGGCAGTTCACTTCCCCTACATTTGAAGACTCTTCCCTCTTTTTCTGCGTGCGGAAGCAGATTTAAATAATTGAAGCAAGGACGCAATTACGGCAGTTATTTACCTGCCTCGGCGTTGACTATTTTGTGGCGGATAGATGAGGCTGGCGCGGCTCCCAATGCCGTCAAAGCTACTCGCGCAAAGCGCATTGCTTCATTTGGCGTCTCCTTCATGCGAGAGCACGTGCAAATGAGACGGCTACGTTAGCCTCAACAATGTAGCAGGACATAGTCATTGCAGACTCTTCTCACAGATCTCTCGTCGCAATTTGTCAACATTCGGAGACCACTTTTGATGCACGGGCGGGACGGGACGATAAAGGCGTCGGCCGAAGACACGTTTCTCAGCGCTGTAGTCTCGGCGCAGACCCAATGACCGCAATCGCCGACGGGGCCGAAAACGGCGAGAAGTTTTGGTCATCCTGCCTCCGGCCCGAGTTTCCTGTCTTCAACATTCCTTGGGCGTAACAGAATTTTCGTTCGTTCCCAAATTTTTTTATAACAGATGTTGCGTCCTTTACGTGGTGTCTATATTACGCCAAAACAATACTGATAGGCCTCGAGTATGATGGTGATCTTGATTCACCTATCCTATGGGTCCGTTGGGGTTTTACGAAGGAGCATAGACGCATCCGGCGACTTTCTCCGAACTTGCGTCTGTCCGTTGGGTTCTGCGACCTATCTGATTGGTTGACTCCCGACGTCCACACTACGTATTTAGAACTTCGATTTGTCCCTAGGGTGGGGATTCTTGAGCTCTTTGATGAACAGGATCCCTCCTGCCCTTGGCATACGTGCAATAGAGCGGTATGGGAGACTGCAAGCCTAGTAATCAAAAATGCGCACATTGAGCCTGTTTGGCTTACAGTTGGCTGGCAATGGGCGACTTAGATCTGCTAAAATAGCGCTTAAACCGGACAAACACTTTACATCAGGGACGGGGACGGTCGAGGAAATACGAGAGCGCGGGGAACCCACGAGGGCGCCCTGGGAAACATTCCTAGGGACCCAATTCAGTGATGTGATTGGCCTAAGCCATTTTGGAGCAGCCAAAACAGTGTTTCGGAGCAGAAAAAGTTACTTTTGGAGCATATATTCTTAGAAAAATAAATATTTGTTTTAAGTGCTGGAAAAACGAAGGGCACAATGTGTTGTGTTGTGATGTGACGTGTTGGGGCAGAACTCACTGCTTGTGTTTTTGCTGCTGAGACATCCCACAAGTATACAGTGCCGTAGGCGTTACCGAGCAATTCTAAGAAAAAAAACAAACAAAAAAACTTGCTATTGTTTTACTGGTTCCCGACTTGGCAGATTTTTATAAAAAGTAAGCAAGTGTAAAACAGTGGATTGCAAGCATCCCGGCTGGTGCCTCTCGTGCAATCATGTTCACATGCACGTGAGGGCAACTTTGGCAGGCTTGCATTTACACGTGCCTCGTCGCGCGAGCGGAGACAACGGCTGTTCGACCGAAACCGAAACCAGGCCACTCCGCTCCGTCGCCAACTGGTTCCCAAACTAGTATGCAAAATGTAACTGTCCACCATACGACAATAAACAGTCCAGCGGCGCATGCTTGCCAGGCCGGCAGGTGAGGTACAGGCTAAACACACAGAAAAAAAGAACCTGAACGTATCGATGCAAGACATTGCGAATCAGGGTCAAAAAGTTCTTGGAGCGCTTTGTGCAGCGACTGAACTCGAGACAAACAAGCGCGGTGTGCGGGTTCAGCGTGCAGACATTGCCTTCTTTGCTTTAGCTCACTTCTCGTCATCAACTTTCTTTCGCAGCAGATTTTTCACGTACCGGGGTCCCTCTCGAAAGAAGCTTATCGGGAGAAACCTAGGTAATCAAAACTTCGCCAAGCAGTCATTAAGTTAAAGAGGGATTTTTATAGCAGCGTATGATTTAAACAAGAGCAGGAAAGTCTATGTGTTTCAGTTTAGAAAGCGCCATATCTGCAGCGGCGTGGGGACGGCAACACACGACGTTGCGCGACCACGGCGACTGGTTGCGCGAGTGCTTCAGCTCACAAAGTAACTCTCGCCGCGCGGCATGTCTGGCACTCGGCACACTAGGGCCCGTTCACACTCTAGTGACCGACTTCGACCGAGAGAGACCAAACCGGTTTTTAAGCCTTTTGCGACTTCTTAGGACCGGAAGCGATGCAGTGGAGCTGGTCCTAAGAGATCGCAAGAGGCTTAAAAACTGGTCTGGTTTCTCTCGGTCTAAAGGCCCGTTCACACTCTTGCGACCGTGTAAGACCAAGAGACATCAGACCGGTTTTTAAGCCTCTTGCGATCTCTGAGGACCAGCTCCACTGCATCACATCCACTCCTAAGTCGCAAAAGGCTTAAGAACTGGTCTGGTCTCTCTCGGTCTTACTCGGTCGCAAGAGTGTGAACGGCGCTTAACTCGGTTGCAAGAGTGTGAACGGGCCTTAACGTCGGAGCGTCCGCACACACCTGCGCCTATCGCTAAAAAAATTAAAAAAAAAAAAAGAATGAAAAAGACGCGAGACGAGATTGCCGAGACAACAACAACGCGAAACGCGGGATGGCGGGAAAATCATGCAAGACCGAATAGACGACTGATGCAGGGTACTTTGCGTCCGGCGGCGTCTTTTGAGTTTAGTTTCATTTTTGAAAGCGACCTCCTTTGTCGCAGGCTTGGCGCAGATTAGCCATATTTTGGCGAAATGTAGCAGGATGTAGCAGGGTTAGCCCCTTGGCGCAGTTTGGCGCAATTGGCGCAGCAATCGCATCACTGCCAGTTTGAGAGCCCGTGCCCTAAGGAAAACTTGCCCGTAGCACAAAGAAAAGATTCCAGACCGGGGAATTTAAGGACTGCCCTCACCTGAAGGCTGCAGCAGGTCCCAGAGGCGGGCGCAGCCCAGCACAGATGCCGCCAGCAGGCAGAGGGCGGGCACATAGCTCTCACCCGCCAGCGCGAACAGCGGCAGCAGCGCGCCAGCGGGGGCAAGCAGCTGGCCACCAAGGGTGGCGGGAGGGCAGGCAAGGGACAGCACCAGCACCGACAGCGACAGCACCATCGTCAAGTTGGGAAGCAGCTCCTGCAATTGCGCAGTGGCGCCGCCTCAATCGTCGGCACCAAACACGTCATGAAATTCGGGAACTAAAAGCCCTAGGGCGGACACTGCAGTGTGCTCGTTACAGATGTAGGCTTGAACGAGTTTCTTGATGCCGGTTTCGGTGGATCGCATCTCGACAAGGAGCTTGAGACGGACAGTGGTGGCCACTCTAATACGAAGTGCACTTCAACTGAGGAACTGCCAATGGGCAATATGCAAAATAGCAGCACCTCCAGTGGTTTAGGTGCACTCTGGGAGCAAGAGACTGTCAGTGGGTAGTTTCGGTTTGGCTGGGTTGTGCATCTCTAGTGCATCAGTCGTCTGCTCTCGTCTCCACACCGCCGTTGCTCACGTCGCTGTGAATTGCTTCACACTTACGCGTGATGCAGTAACTACCCTTTTCTTACCGCAACATATTAAACACAGCTAATAACGAAACAATTACGACTTTGCTGGCATGGGAAGCGAGCAAAAACACCGCAATGGCGAAGTCAAGTGAACGCAAATCGACATACGCCCAACACCGTGCCAGCTCACTGCATGCATTTGTTTGCACCCTTGAGAACAACCACGGAGACTAGTACTCCTAGTTTTATAACACCCTTGCTTGGCCGATTGCTATTTTCAATTAGGCTAACGCAGTACTCCAGAAACCTCGTACTAGAATGCCTTCAAGCACAAACATGCACCTCTTGCTACGCTGCTGTGAGGAAATTGACCACGGGAACAAGGGTGTTATAAAACTGTAGTACTAGTCTCGGTGGCTGTTCTCGAAGTTGCAAACAAATGCATGCAGTGAGCTGGCGCAGCATTTTGCATGAGTCTATCTGCGTTCAGTTGACTTCGCCGTTGAGGCATTTTCACTCGCTCCCCATGCCAGCAAAATCGTAATTGCTTTGTTATTTGCGTGTCTGATACGTAGCGACAAAAAGAAAAGTGTACTTACTGCATCGCGAGTAAGTGTGGAGCAATCCATGACGACGTGAGCAATGGCAGTGCGGAGACGACAGCAGACGACAGATTCACAACCCGGTGAAACCAAACTGAAACTACCCGTTGACAGCCTCCTGCTCCCAGGGTGCACCTGAACCACTAGGGGCGCTCTATTTGCACATTGCCCATTTTCTTACGGCGAAAGAGCAGTCGACCGTCTGCCAGCACGAACCCCGGAGGCCGGCTCACGTATTTATGCTAGAGTGCGCTCGAGTGCATTCTGTTTGCTTGTAACTGCTCGCGACGACGAAACAGAGTGGTGCCCTCTGTCGGGCGTTCCTGAAGCACTTCCAACGTGTTTATATCACTACACTGAGAGTTTCTTGCAGCATTCGCGAGATCAAATGTATGCGCTACGAGAAATAGTCGCTTATGACTAGAGCCCTGCATATCCGCGAATATCCGCATAAACTGGCGGATGCCGACAAAAATTAGACAAATTTTGGCAAGTTGCGGATCGGATGCGGATGCGGATATTCGTGGATCTAGATCTATATTTTTGCCTGGTGGCATTCAGTTCGTCGACTGAATGCCACCGGGCAGTTTATCAAAAAACTTGAGACGTTTCGTCACAAACAACCCTGCTATTTTCGTAACAAACTATTTGCGTCTCGCCTGGATTGCAGGAGAAGGGGGAGGGCCATGGTTTGGTTAGGCGCGCCTCAGTGAATCGCGTGCTAGCTTTTAGCTGCTTAGTGAATAAATGTGTTGTCGACAAAACGTCACAGAAGCATGTGCCCACAAAACGTACAGTGCGACGAACAGTGTGTCCATGAAATGTATGTCCATGAAAATTTGTCTACGAAACGTATCTCCACGTAATGCGTTTCAAAGAAACAATAGGAATCCTAAGAAAGATCTGATTCTCACTGAAGATCGCTTCGGTTAGTGCGTTCCATCTTGTCAAAAATGCTATCTATAGAAAAAGTAAAGAGTGCAGGGCATCAATCGTCCCGGGAAAGCTAGAACATTGGCAGGGAAAGAGCGGAAGCCTTTCTCCGGGCAGAGTGTCGCAGACTCCTAGGACGATCACATAACTGAGATCATTTTTCCTACGACCCGCAGGGTCTCGGGAAGGCTAATCGCTTTTAATATAAATACAATGAAACTGATAATGATAAAAAGACATCCCCTTTCAATGATGACCCGAAGATTTCATTGTACAAAGATAAACAAACAGCTTAAAAAGTGCTATTCTTTTTTATTCATTTACGCTTGATGTTATGATTACAATGAATGCCTGGATTGTAAGTCGGATGTGGTTCCACAGTTTGCGGATGCGGTTCAGATACGGATATAAAGTATGTGGATGCGGATCGGATGCGGACAATCAAACTGTTATCCGCGCAGGGATAACAGTTTGATTGTCAATGTCGGAATAATTTCAAAGTGCAGATTTAGAAGAGCTGGAGAAGCCCCTCTCGCAAAGCTCTCTGCTTGCCGCAATTGGTGGTTCCCCTATCCAGCATTCACTTTGCTTAAGTGGAAAGAGTAGAAGGCTTAGTGGGAGGTACTTGTCCTGCCGTTCTAAACCTGAAACAGACTACAGTCGTGCCTCGCTAATATGAACAGCTGCACAGACGACATTTTTGGGGACAAACTGTGCAAATACGTGCATTTTTGTCTTGTTATTAGGATTGCGCGAATATTAAATTCTTGAATAGTTTGGTCAAACCCGATCGCAACAAACTCTAGTAGACCGAATTAATCCCTATATCGAACACGTGCAAAAATGTTCTATCAGTGTGCATGCAAAATGTATCTCGCATAACGAATTACACAATGGATATAGAAATTTTTCGGCGCCTACGACCACCAGCAAACACGCGAGCTCCGGCACTTCCGACGTTCGGCTTTCTTGCAATGCAGACGGAGGTTCCTCCTCGCCCGGCATGAAGCCTCCACTTAGTTACGCTTAGTCGTGTCTTAGCGCTGTAGCACCCTATCAGGTTTCAAATTTCGTAACAACCGCGGTGCTTTTCAGTCAATCAACTCCGTTGTTATCAATGGTTTTGGAACAGACAGAACTTGAATGTGCACGCAGTCGATGCATAGCAGACCGACCCTCGGTATTGTAAACTTCGCTTCCCTAGGCTTCCTGCAACTTGCCACTCTGTTCTGCAAACTGGTGCGTTTCACGATTCAAGATGACGACGAAGCAGCGGCACATTCTTGAGCTCTCGGACAGAGTGGACATCATTACTGGATAATACGCCGAAACAACACTGACAAAACGAAAAAATATCTAGGCGGGACACGGCGTAGTTTTCAACTGAATGTTTTATTTAGGAAAATGTACAAATGAGAATAAAAGCCAACATGTGCTGGCAGAACACTGTAAGATAAGGTCTAAACACACTTCCTAGGAAACCAGCATAACTAGATGTTAGGCAAAGATGCCCTGGCAACCTACATTGATCACTTGTGATTTTTTTAACTTTTTTTTCAAATTTGAGGTTGAAGAAGGAATATCTGCATATAGCAAGATTTATAAATTCCCCCCATTAGGTATAGCTGGGCATCTCCTGTAGGTTGAATTTGATGTCTACTTTGTTGTCTACTCATATCCCAACGTGAGCATTGTACTTCTTAAAGTCACAGTCCATAAATGTAGCTAAATTAACATAGCTTAGAAATGAACAAGTGGAAGCTTGGGAACAACTTTCACAAGTTCAGCTGGGTTTTCAACTAATCAAGCACGGTGCAGTAGTGCTAGGCTTGGGGCCAAAACCGCTACTCTCACATGCCCATTTGTCGTCATGGACAACTCGTATTACGGATGCTTTTGAGGGATTGGAAGTGTCCACACTTTCGAGATATCGCTGTACGATTTTTTGTGCTCTCGACAGCTAGCCAACCCTCTGGCACCGCCCACCTGATGCGTCCCCAAGATCCTGTTCACTTCTGCGGCAGGCTTGAGCTGCACCAACCAGTGAGCCGCCAGGGCGCAGGTGGCCCCGAGGAGGCAGGCCCTGCTCAGGACCTCCGTGAGGCTCTCTCCACGCGGCGGCAGGCCCTTGAACGCCACACCGAGGGCGCAGAGACATGCCAGGGCGACACGCTCCAAGCCGTAGACGCCAGGTTCTGACGGGATGCGCAGCAGGGCACTCTCCTCGCAGGGGCTACCGTGGTGCTCCTCGCGGCAGCGCCAGAAGAGCGCCAGCGTCCTCAGTGCCACCAGGAGTGCTATTGCGTGCCGCCAGGAGAAGGCCCTGAAGGTGCAAGCGGGCTGCAACGACCCAAACTACGGCGCCTGCAATGCTCACTGGCGAGCTTACTGCGTCCTCAAAAGAGGTTCCTCGATTTCCGCCCGACGACGCATTAAGGTGTCACGCCGTTGCACGTGACACTCACGGCAGATGCCCGTTTTGCCGTAGGTTGCTTCCCAGCTGCACACTACACGGAAGCTTCCAGGGCCAGGAGTGGGATGCCAGAACAACGGCGACGCTTGCTCCTACTTTTCTCCGCAACTTCTACGACCGACTGCCGGGACTGCGACGATCAACAACGTATCACACTGGCTCCGGTGACATTGTTCGTGTCCACCTCGAAACTACTTTCGACTTTCGATGCATGGGCGAGATGGGACGGATGCCAGTCGAATGCAAATCTTGGACATAGTGCCAGCATCCCCGCAGGCAAGCTATGCGCCATTTTTAGATCCGTAACTATGGGCTTCCATAGCTATGGAACTCTGCCATAAAGGGGAGCTTCATCTCGCATGCGAGAGGGAGCGTGCTCTTCGCTACGGTCGGCGACACATTAAGAAAGCAGTAGAAGCTTTGCTTCCGGCGTGTGCTCGTTGCCTTCTGCCACGCTTTGGCTGTTCATGCTTATGGGACTTGGGAGCGATATCGAAGGTAGAAAGTTTTAATGGCGAAGCTCCTTAAGGTCTAGCCTTGTCCGTCCGGCGTCCGTGCTCACATCGATCTTGCTGGTGCTTGTGATCGTGCTCGTGTAAAGCAAAAAAAAAAAAAAAAGATAAAAAAAATAAATGTTTGAGCAGTTGACAGGATTTGAACCTGTGTGGGGAGACCCCAATGGATCTCTAGTCCATCACCTTAACCATTCAACCACGACTGACGAGTAGGGGGCTCTGAGATGTGGTAGTAACTCAAGAACTGGGAATGTCATGGATGAAACGTTGCATGTAGCCGCTCAACGTCTATACAGGAGAGGGCACTGCAGTCAAATGCTTATATAACCACGTTCCATACCACAGATTCTTTTTCTGACATGGATGAAAACGAACGAAAGGCTCGGCATGCTGCGGCTCAGCGTCTACGCAGACAAGCACCACCAGAGCTTCGCCCCAATCAACATTATTCACCACGTGGAGATGCGGTCATTTTTTATTGGAGGCAGAGCCTCTAGTGCATTCTGAACCTGTCGCCGACAGTAGAAGAGACGATCGCTACGAGACATAGTTAAAATAGTCGACTGCCTTCCCTGCTGCATTTCTTGACGGTACCAAACGGCTCTCGAAATAGTTTCAGCCATTGTTCTTGATGACATATGAAATATATTGGCTCTTTTACGTGTAAAATGTTTCTTCAGTGTTTCTGCAAGTATCGAGATGTATTTCGAGTGCTCAACTGCAGATGTTGCTAGAAATGCTAGATTCGCCGAGCTATTTGTCGCCCTTAAACAAGAAATTCCTTAGCGCAGAGCTGCTAGCATAAGGCAGCTGTCGAGAACTGCTGGTGGATGTGAGGGTAAGCCCATGGTAGCTAGCAACTATGCCCTTAGAAACAGAATAGACTCCATGATGCCGCTCAACACTAGACGCTTGCGGTGCGACGACACAGGTACTCCAGTTTAAGTGCCCCGGATGTGTCGACGCCGTAATTGATGGTGGGGTCTCAGTCCTAGAGACAAGGAGCTAGGCTTATTTGGCAGCTGGAGGTGGGCCATGCATAGGCAGGCTGGGATCCTCTAAAGTTGTGAGACATGGTCCACAGGGGAGAGGAACTCACTTGGAGCCTCCTGCGAAACTGGACCACCGAAGCACCATCGAACCCAGAAGAAGCAACTGAAGAAGATGCAACGTCACCTGCAGTGAAAGAGCCACATTGAAGATCCACACTTTCTAAACACATAGAAAGAAGAAGAGTGTGGAAATACTATACATCTTACTACTATTGTATCAGTGCAAGCCAGCACAATTGCTGCATCAGCCCCGCAAAATCTAAAGAACAGTTGTCAGAAAACTAGTTCACTTGACAAGCCACCAGCATTATACAAAAATACAGCAATTCAGTAATATGCTTGCAGACGACTTTCTGTGGCACTTCAGAAGTAAAAAGTGTGCGTGCTTTGATGGGAGCTCAAGATGCCCAAGCACACGTGTGCCCACGGCTTTGACCGCAAAGCCACAAAAAGTTGTCCGCAAAAATAGCACGGCACTAGCACGCCCAGCAGATAAAAAGTGTACACCTATAATCCCCTCTCCTTAGGACATCAACTTAAATGTAGAAGGTCAGAACCTTCCTCTAGACTGTTTTAGTGATTGCCATTTAAAGCTGCAGAAAATTCTGTTCAACAGATATTGAGATACATTTGGGAGCGTTGTAAGGCAAATGTAACCATTGAAATACACTCCAGGCTAAACCCCTGGCTTGCCAATTTGGCACAGTGATGTACAGGGGCGAAACATTTGACAGCATACGGGTTAAAGGTGGCCGAGACGCCGTCTGATTCCCAAAATACACCCGAGGTTCCATGAGCAACGTCAAAACAGACCTTTTACGCCTCGAAAGACTGCCAACCTGACACTCTCGCACTGTTTTCGGTGATCCCGGTTTTTTCTGCCAAAGAGAATGGACCTACAGACTTTTGGAGGTTAAGAGTGGCAGGAAAAGGTCCTCCCACAAAACCCTCCACTCTTTCAGAGTGAAGGCTGGAGAGGAGGAATCACCAATTATGGCGAGCCAACACCAGCTAGATAACAAGGCCGGAGGACTAAATTTCCATTGTTATCTAAAGAGGTAAACGCACGGCACGTATGCTCAGACTTGCCGTCTGCAATGTCACCCTGTCATAAGACACGATGACCACTCCATGAAGCAAGCCCGAAAGCAACAGACTCACCGAGTCCTCGGCCACGACGAAACTGTTCGAGAAGGGCGCGACCAGCCAGCAGGCGGCGCACACTGCAACAGGGGAGAGCGGCAGTGCGGCCCCACGGACTGCCTGCAGGTCCAGGGTTCCACATCCGAGTCGGACCAGCAGAAGCGCACCCCCCAACGCCAGCGCGAGGCCGCCCCACATGAGGGGCAAGTCATACGTGGCCCAGACCTCGTGGGCCACGTGGCGGGCGTCTCTGAGGAACGCCAGGGAGGCCGCGGAGAAGCGGTCCGCGGAACCGGGCCGCCCGTCCAGGCAGGCGTCCCAGAGTTGCCGGAGTCCCGAGAGGCGGGCCGCAGAGTTTAGCGGAAAGTTGGGGACGTCGCCGAGGTAGCGGGCCACCTGGAAGACGAGTGCCATGCCCAGAGATCGACAAGTGTTCTAGTGGACATCTGTAAGACATCTTGGCAAGATTCGCGAGACATCCTGTGGACATTCTGACAAGAGCTGATGTAGTTGCTGGGCCACCTGGAGATCTACCATACCCACTGACTGCCAAGAAGTCTAATGGATGTCTATAAGATAACTTGGCAAGACGTGCAAGACACCTGTGGACATTCCGACAAGAGCTGATGTAGTGGGCCACCTGTAAGATGTGTAGCATACCCCCTGACCGCCGAGACATCTACTGGACGCCTGCAAAACATCCTGAAGACATTTTGGCAAAACGTTATATTGTCACGTGCGTCTCTGAGCAAGCGCGCCCGTGGCCGGGTGGTTATCGTGCTTGGCTCCCAGATAAAGGGCCGAGGTTCGATGTCTGGCCGCGGATGCACCTTTTTTGTTGTTTCTGTAAATTTTGCGTTCTGGTAAATTCCAGAACCCTGTTGCTCATTCGACGTCCGAATTTTCTGCGTGCCGAACCTTCCACGCCGATTATTCCAGAACCCCACACGTGTACATAAGGGGCTCCCCGTGGCGAGCCGCAATCTGTCTTTCACCAGCGCTCGATCCAGCTGTCATGCCGCCTTTGACACCCACGATGCCTGCATTTCTGTTTTGGTTTTGAAGACAAGTTCGCCCCTATTAAACGTTCAGTCACTCCAATAATTCGCCGCCTCATCATTTATCATTCGCGACAATATAGCCTTGGACATCTTGACTTGTAGATGTCTTCTAGTCCAGCTGGTACACCCAATGGCACCACACACAGTTCTGCGGATGTCCTCAGGACGTCCTACAGTTCTATGTACATCCTGTAGATATTCACAGGGCATCAACACTGCCTGGAATGCCAATTGTGGGCTATAAGACGTCTTAACATATGTCTTACAGACATCTGCTAGACAGCTTGATACGTTGTACACATCTTGACTAGCAGCCGTCTTGTAGCTCAGCTAATTCACCATCATTTTGAGCTACACATGGTCTTGAAAGGGGTCCTGTCAATGTGTACAAGACTTCTGCAAGACATCGATGCTGTGTAAGACCAAAAATGATGGCGCAGAAGGTTGCCACAAACCGTCAAGAGCTATATATTGTCTTACCAAGATGCCTACAAGACATCTTCACAAGGTAATGTCCCATAGTGACGCTTCCTAAATGCCTAGGTAAACACGTCGGCCAAACGTCTAGCAGAGATTACTGCAGACATCCATAGCTCATTCTTGCAGGGGATAGCGAAATTCATCAAGTTCCCTGGCCTTCTTAGGTTTACACTACCGAACAAGAGCAAGTTTCAAAGATCTGCCGACAACCAGCAAACCCTAACTGCGGCTTCAAGCTGCACCTTCACAATAAGCTCACTCTTCTTTTCCTTACCTGCTGGACGTTGAGCCACAGGGGCAGCAGGTCCCCAGCACGGGAAGAAACAGGGAACACCTGGGGCATCAGTGTGCCTATGCTCGAGTAGGGAATAGGCAACCCCAGAAGGAGGGCTAGAGTTGGCACAAAGTCCACTTGCACCACCTCATCCGTTTGGGCAGAGCCCTAAAAGGAATAAAAATGAAGCTTGCAGACGATTTCTCTCCAAGGGTACTACTGCCATTGTCTCCATTCTGTAGTAACATGCGCTCTGTTTTGCTTAAAAAAAAAACAAAAAAACATTCCTTGGTAAAAAAAAATAGGTTGCATACTTGTGTACACATCGGAGAAGAGGTATTTAAACACCTCGAGGAATAGCACTTCCCTTTTGTTGTCCCTATCATAAAATAACTTGGAAGTATAAACTCTACTCAACACTACCAGTAGACAGTCTTGGGAGAAAGATAAGAGTGCCCAGTAAATAGTTATGCACCAGATCTAGGCATAGATATACTTGAATTGTTCGTAAACTAAAGGAACACTCAAACAGACAGCGGAGAAATTTGGCATTGGCACTCGAGCTGGGAGTGGTTGAAACAGACAGGTGCACGATGTGAGTATAATTTTTCTGACATTCAATGTTGCAGTGGTTTGAATCGGAGCACTGCAAGGTAGGGAATTTCTTGGAGCGGCCCGACAGACTTTCTAGATGTGAGCCCAAGCTCGGCGCGACTGCTAATAATTGGCGACTCTGACTTCGTCTTACACCACACAATGCCAAACAATCTGAAAAATACCTTGTCCATTTGTCAAATGACCATCCTCAGTAGGAGGATTGGCAACAGGGCACTTGTTCACTTCAGAACGTCATAAGCAGGTTCGAACGGGTGATTTAAAAATTCACACGTAGACAAGTAAATGACAGTTAAACACGAAAAACGTTAACCGAAGAACTCCAACAAGGCAATCCACAAAAAAGCTCATTCATGCCCCCAAAAAAGAGAAAACAAGTTGAAAGTGTGACGACCTACCACGGTATTTGAACTGAAAAAATATTCAAACTGTGGTCTTCTTAGGTGACACAAAACTGAGCTGTTCCTTTTCTTGGTTAAAAAAAATGCTAAGGGATACTGTGCATGGTTTCTGCTGTTCCCTTTTCTTCTGTTAAGTTTTGGTTTCTCTCATGAAAGAATAAAAAAGGTGGGGCACTAAAGCCTGACAGGCCCCACGTTACAGCAAAGGTACCTAATGCAAGTTACTCTTCAGATGTGGCATCCACTGCGAGAAAGCATCGAGGCCCTACCTACACTGTTGCGGTGTGTGCTTCCGTCAGCGTGGAGGAATGGCTTCTTTGCGAAGAGAAACAAGACGGCCTCCAATTCGTCCTCCGTTTCTCCGCCATGATCACCGTCCGTTGTCATTCCATGGTCGCTCATCACCACAAGCAGTGCATCGTCGGGCAGTAGGGATGTCACATTTCTGAAAAAGTGAAGCCTCGTTAGGGCCAACAATATGTGAGACTTAAAACTACGAAATAAGCTTAGCTTCAGAATAAAAATGCTCGAGTCATCCTGGTGCATAAAAGGATGGTTGCCAGCCTATCTGAAGCTTCATCTGAAATCGCTGGAAACAGTTTTCGATGCTGCGCAGGGATGTTGAAAAGGTCCACAACGAGCAAAATGAAATTGCCTGAGGTTCTCGACACCATACGTTAAGTTCAGAAAATCACATTTTTGAATTGTAATGGTTGCCAATTGCTGCCACACTGCACAAAGCACCAAAATGGTGGCACCCGCAAGAAAATCAAGGAATCGAGTGCCGATACTGGTCAAAAGTCAAATTTTGGGGTTTTATGTGCCAAACCAACGACAGGGACCTGGCATGCCGGAGCGGAGGACTAGGGATTCACTATGATTATCTAAGGATCTTTTCATATGCAACCGAAAGCTGTGTTACACGGCGCCATCTCCGCAATAAGACTCTGTCAGATTCTGGGCACCACGGGCTGGTATCGAACCCGCCACCCGGGGATCTGTAGGCCGGCGCTTTGCCTCGGAGCCACCGAGGCGGCTTGTCAATACTAGCATAGATTATTTAGTAGCTCTAAAGAGACCTTCACCAGACCAATGGTATAATCGATAGCAGCACCATGGCTGGAAGACGTCATCAACCCAACTTGTTGAACGTATGTCGCATGCTCACAAAGTTGGCCAGTAGCAATGAATTCACCAGAATATCATTTGGCTGCAGTAACTAAAGCCCCTTTAAAGGGACACTGACCGGGTATTTATGCACGCCAAGGTCTTTATTTGAACATGACCTATAAGAGTCCAACAACCCAGGAAATAATTTGCAGCTCGAAATTCGTTTTCTTTCTGCCCAAAAACAGCCGGTCGAGAATTGGCCAGTTTCGGTCGTGCTCACTCTCTTTTCTATAGTCACTCGGTGTTCAAACTATGTGTACCAAATAAATTCAGTCGTGGGTCATCTAAGGAACACATCCAATATTAAAAATAGAAACAAATACGAACCCCACTTTCATGGCTTCCAAAAAAATGCAAATAAATGGATCTAAAAAAAAAAAAAAAAACATATTCTTGCATAGATTACAGGAAGTACATGTACACGTCATTCTCGATACGGTGAAGTACTGCGGGCTGAACAACGCAATGGCGGCACACGACAGACCAACATTGCAATGAACGTGGGGCCACCACTTCAGAGCTGTCGTTCGTGGTACTGGCCAATCTATCTTCGAGCAGAGGAGATGTAAGTGTGAAACACTTGTATCTCCTCTGCCTACCCCCTCGACGTCACGTGCGCAGTGACGTTGAGGGGGTAGGCCCAGAGTTCCGGAAAAGTTCTCTCTTTAGAGCCATCAGTGAGCAGCGAGAACTCATCCGCTCGCGACCGCGTGACCACGTGCAGGCGGGCGCCACGCGAACAATATGGTGAAAGGAGGAAAGTCTCATCCAGGTCCGGCCATACCCGTCCAACCCTGTCCCCCTCCTCCTCCGGCTTCTGGCAGCTGTTTGCGGTAGCAGAGAGCTGACGGTTCTGTGGACCTAGGATAGATGGCGCCACTAAAACTCTGTATAATAAAAGTTTTGTCGATGATACCAGGTTTTTGACGATGTTGGAATGACAAGATTTATAGAAAAGTTAGCTTTTATCAAGCAGGTATTCGCACAACTTGCTATCTTTCTACAAGACACCCCATTGACGTCACGTCGCGTGTTTCTCATGGCCACCGCTCGCGGCTGCAGGTCGGGGAATATTCTAAGTTTTGCCTCACTATTACGCGGCGGAATCACAACATTTCGATGAAAGGAGGTGTGTTTTCTGTCATTTGTGACAAGGTGAACAATATCAAAAGCAGAAGATGCCAATTCTTTCAACGTTGAAATCATTGCACAGCTCCTTTAACGCACCCGTTGGAACATGCATGGCAATGCTCATAATCACGTCAGCCTTTGGCTGCGCTCAGGAGCCCGACGTCACTATTGCGACGGATTTGCATGCCTTGATAGCCAATTTCGAAGCGTTCGCCAGAATTGGATGCTTGAAGCAAAAAAATATAGCCATCCGCTCAAAATACAAACATGCAATCGTCATTTACGGTTATCATAAATCATATTTCACCCATTTCGAAAAAATTTTCTTATATTTTGATTTTCGTTTCTGTGTGCTTTTAAGTGTTTTTGTTTGTCTTGCAAGTAGCGTCAAATATGCCTGTGCTTGAGACCTGTGCCTCGTGCGGCGCTTGGAAGCAAATGGTAGCGCAGCACTGAAATGTGCGGCTCTTGTAAGCAAATGGCAACAGGGCACTCGCTCTGGCATGTGTCTCGCACGTTTGCGCACGGTTGTCGGTACTTGTAAGAAACACGAAGCGTGGGTTTTATAAAGAGGCTTTAGCAGTGACAACACACCGTATGACATTGTCCAGCTGGATCAACTTGGCAGCCATCTCGGGGTGGTTCTTCCCCAGCCAGTGTCCGCAGTGGTCCACACCGAGGAAGTGAGCCACCAGGACATCCCAGGTCTCCGGCCGCTCGAGTTCGGGGTACAAGTGCTTCAGTATCCCATTGTCCACCGTGTGGAGGTCCTGCCGCAGCAATAGCCAATAGCAAGCCTCACGTCAAGCTCAAGGCCTTAGAGCCACATCGCTACTTTCTGAATCGCACGGTGTTGACTAACCTCTACGACGTCAAACTATCCCTACTAAAGCCGTAAATGACCCTGCTCCTTCATTCCGCTTCTTTTTCACGCAACAATGAGGAAGAAAACACACGAGCGTGTTATGTGCCGGCTGTGTTAGTCATCCCTTCAAAGACAGGCTTGCAGTAGGGAAGGATGACTTTACTCTTTTGCGAACAAGTGCAAGTAATTAGGCGAGTGATCGACGTAAAGACATCAACAAGTCCTCCCAAACTCAGTTTTAAATCCACCGTGATTTATCTTGACCCCCAAAGCTTTTTTTGTGTGTGTGTCTTTATATCATCACTAGTGGTGTCAGGAACTTTTGCTGAATCGAATTTTTAGGTCGAACTTTTGGGGTTCAACTGGTTGGAACCGGTTCGGCGAATTTTCTAACCTTTAACCAGATTCGACCGGTTCGACTTGGTGGACAATGTGGCCAGACCTTGATACAAGCATGTGTAGGTTTGGAGAATTTTTTTTTGTTTTTTATGCCAAGGGTTATTTTAATTTTATGAACAGTTGCAATTAAAAGAAGCTAATTCTTATCACTGAAGAAGTTAGCTTAATTTTTTGTACTGTATTAACTGAAATAACCAACAGTGCTGCCCTTAATTCATCCCTTAGCCATCACCATCCAGTCCGAAGCCAACTGGCCAGCCTGTCACGCATGCGCATAGCAGTCGAACCTGAGTGGAACCTTTCTCGAACTTTTCACAAGAAGTTAAAAAAAGTCGAACCTGGTCGAACTTGAACCTCGACCGGTTCACGACATCCCTAATCATAACATTATAAGCTTCTTCCCTTCCCCGTTGGTATAGACAGTTTTACTGAAAGAGCGCGAGAGGGAAAAAGGGAAAAGGCTACCGGCACTTTCCCCCTCTCTGGGTCGTTAGAAAGAGTGAAAGTGCCGGATGAGAGGCTTCACCGGTGTTGGCTGTCTGCAGTGCCCGAACTTAGTTTATTAAATTCGGAAACTTAATTAGAGCCACGGGCTTGGATGGCGACAGTCCCCCGTCATCGGGACACCATTGCTTGGTCATAGGGTGCGCGAATAACGACAGAAAGCATTGAATACTGTCCGAGGACAGTATTAATTTGCATTAAAAAATCTAATTACATGGCCATACGCATTGGTGAATCCACAAGGCACCGTCATTCTATGTACATAAGAGAGCCATCTGTTCGAAACGATTGCTTCAAGTATAGTTTCTTTCCTAGATCGATTATGGAGAGGAATGCTCTGCCAAATGGCACTGTCAGCCTAACCTCAGTTAATGAGTTTGTTAAAAACGTCGAGAGCTTAGTACTTTGTCACACGTCGTAAGTGTTGATTAATCACGATGCTTATCTGGTGTTCTACTCCCACCCTCAGAGTCCATTCCCATTATTTTTTTCAGTCTTGAGCGCATCAAATGCTGTGTCATTGCCTGTCTACTCAGCAAGTCATATAATGGCAGCATCTTTTTTTCCTCAGGCTTTTTGTTGCAGCATGTATTAATATTCTCTGCCACCGGTCTTTTTGTTTCCCCATTTTTTTTTCTTCATTGTGTATTGTTGTGTGCATGTATGTGATTTACTGCAGTGTATTACCCACTCCTGTAAAAGTCCTGTCTAGGGCTGACAGTATCAATAAATAAATAACAATAAATAAATGTAGCTTGCAAGGAATCTGGCAAGGCGAGAGCAGCTGCAATGTCTTTAAGCTCTATCGCTTTCCACATGACCCCGATCTCCGGCGGCAGTAGGTTGCATCCGTAAACCTAAAAAATGTTTCCCCAACGCCATACAATAGAGTGTGTTCAGAACATTTTGCGAGTGGAGCACGCACCGAACGCTGTACAGCCGATGAACATTGGGTACACTCGCAAGGTGCGTGCGAGTTTTCTCGTAATAATTGCTGTTTCAGCTTGCAAAATCTTGTAACTGAATTTATCTTAATATTGATATTTTGCAATGGCGACATTGACTCGATTTTATCATCTACAAAACCTAGTTGAAGGCTCATTTCTGCCGCCGGTTGTGGCTGGAAATTGTTGAAAAGTTAGTTCTACCGGTTTTCCTGAATTGCGATCTCCTGCGCGATACCAGAGAGCCGGCAAAAGCGCTCCTTGGAGCGGTGCTGGTGGGTTGTTTCCGTTGATTGGGCGCTATGAAGCACTGGATATTCGTTGCAGGGTACGTCTCGCGTGTCACGATCTGCGTTTTCGAGCCCAGTGTGCACGTTTCTTTCTTCGAGTCATGGCATCCGCCAGTGCGGCGACAGGGGGAACAGTGGCAGCGAACGTGCCAGCGATAGAAATAGGAGGTGAGTACTCAATTTATTCCATCAAACAGTGAAATAATTCGTGGCTGCTTTGAGGCTTTCTGCAGTTTGATATAAGTACATATAGAATGTCTTCGTCATTCATCCACAAGGAAATATAAGAACATGAACACGCAAGATAAAAGCAGCACAGCAAAACTATCGGATGCAGCTTTGTGTGTTTACAAAAGTTAATTGAGGTTGCCGTGTCATCTATTGCTTGTTGATTACTAAGAACAGCTACGTTGAAATAGGTCCATTGCAAGCAAAAATTAATTTTTGGTTCATCAGTTCCAGGCACTTGCTTCGGCATTCAAAATTTATATTTTATTTGCACCTATGTGCGCTGTGGCAGTAAGTCTTTCCGACTTACTGTCACGATCCACTGCCGCCGGAGACCAGGGTTATGCGCAAAGCGATGGAGCTTAAAGGGATATTTCAACGAAATTTGAAATATTCCCGTCAAGTTCAAAAATAGGTTGAATATGATCCACAATATCCGTAAATGACAATCGCACGTTTGTATTTTGATCCTGGTGGCTGTATTTTTCGTTATAAACGGCCCACTCTGGCAAGCGCTCGGAGAAGGCCCAGCTTGGAGCACGTGACATCCAACGAAATCGTGACGTAGGTCGTCTCAAGACGAGCAAAGCTACGGCGAGGCTGACGTCGAGAGGACGGCCTAGTCGTTCCAGCCACCGAAGCGGCTGCTTTTGTACGAATTTTGAGTGATGGGTTAGTCTTCTATAATCTTCTAGGGGGACAATAGCGACTTCTGCGACACACAAAAGGGATTCTCGGGAAGAGGGGAGTTTTTCCTTCCCCTCTTCTTTCGTCGTGGCCGGATTCGAGACAACCTCCGTCACTAGCTGTCAAGGTTCCCAGACGAGCATTACAGAAGAGGCGTTAGCGACATCCACCAGGTGCTCTTTGCTAATCGTTTAATTCGTTTTAAAATTCCTTATCGAGACTTTTTTAACAAGATATTGGTATGTTCCATGTGATACTGCTTTTCTGAACACATATAGACCAAAAAATGAGCGCCGAAATTTTGTTGTAGTATCCCTTTAAAAACATTGCAGCCGCACTCGCCTTGCCGGATTCCATGCAAGCTAAATAGGTCCTCGGACAGTATGCGACGCTTTCTGTCGTTCCTCGTGCACCCTATCACCGAGCAATGGTGCCCCATGACCGGGGGACTGTCGTCATCGAAGCCCGTAGCTCTAATCAAGTTTGCGAGTTTAAAACAGAGAAGAAAGCGCGAACGAAGTTCGGGCACTCTATACACCCAACACCGATGAAGCCTCTCATCCAGGACTTTCACTCTTTCTAACGACCCAGCGAGGGGGAAAGCGCCGGTAGCCCTTTTCCCTTTCCTCTCTCGCTCTCAAAATGGTGCTACCCACGATAAAACGGTCTGTACCAGAAGAGAGGGAGGGGGGAAAGATGTTCAGCTCTGCTGCAGATTCTGGGCCGTCGACGCCGCCAACCCGGCTCCCCCGGAGCGTAAATGGGTTCTAAAGTCGCTCACCTTAACCACGAAGGACGGGAAAGCGTAGGTACGAGAAAACTTGTCCGGAAACAGCTTGGTCCAGGTGTCGTCTCCCATAAACACGGTTCGCTTTCCCCTCAACGAAAGCTGCTCGACGAGGCTGTCCTCGCGCACGTCCGTCTGGTAGAAGTTGGCGCCGGCATCGACGAAAGTCGGCAGGCTCCCGGTCGTCAGCCCCTTGAGCCTTTGCAGGGTTGTCGTCGGCGCGTCCGCGATGAACTTGACGAGTAGGGCGTTGTTCGGACCCCCGCTCGCGATCAGCTCGGCGAAGACGGGCATTTTGTTCCGGTACCGCTCGCTCTCGTCCCACGGTGGCCCGTACACGGCGAACTCGTGTTTTAGGGCGTCCACAAGCAAGATGACGGCCTTGTTGAAGCGCGGTGGATACCAGCACGACGCTTCGGGCAGCGGACTCCCCGCTGATCTGTACAGGACGTCGGTACAGTTGCTGCGGCGCTCGATGATGCGACGCTGCAGGAGGAAACCGCAGGAAAAGATGCATATGCCGCAGGCTGAGATGGCGACGGCTAGGAGAGCGAGACGATACATGGTGATCGAAAAATCTTGAATGCTCGTTCACACGCCGAGCTAGATGCCGATGAGTGCGATGAGCCGGTAGCTCCGTGCGTGGCTCCGTGTACGCTGTTGTGTTGAAGCTACGAGCATGAGCTTAAAAGGACCGTCATTTGGCTCTAAAAGCAGAAACTCAATTAGTTAGCGGGGAACTATGGAAAGAATACGATCACAACCAATTCCCTTCCATTCAAACTTTGCTCGCTTCACTCACGTTTGAAGAAAGACAGAAAAGGGGATGGATCTCAGAATGCGTTCGTATGCTCAACTTGGCGAGGTCGAAGAGCGAACAACGAAACTGACTCTAGTCGTGACCTGTGCAACCTGTGGTCGTGACGTAACGTAATGTCGTGAGCTCACGAACGTGCCAAACTCGAACACGTCGTAACCGTCCATCTTGCATGTGTCAAAATCGCATTTACGCTAGCGTCAGCTAGCGTTGCAGAGGCTGGTGCCAACGTGCTGGAGCAATATCACGTTTGCCACTCGCTCGTCGTCATTCGCCGATGAAGTTCCAATGGAAGTTCTTTAAAACCCTATTCAAGTCGTGAGACTTGCTGTTGAAAACACATGAAAAACCTTTTTGGAAGCACAGTGCCGCAGAAAAAAAGCACATATCGTCGAAAGCAAGTTTCGCCGGTCTCGCGGCACGATCAAAGCTTCCTTGGCACGCCGAAGCGCTATCAACGCTGCGTCGCTGAGCGCGCTGAGCCTTCGCACGCTACCGAGCAAGAATCGGCGCCGCGGCAAAGTTCTGAAGGTGCGTCCGTGTGTAGCGCGTTGATGTCTTGATCGTCCAGCTGTTCCGGCGAGTTGCTGTCAATAAAGGGAGGAAACAGATCTGTACGCTTGCTCTTCCGCACTATTAACCATGGCCAGGGTGACCCTGGCTATGTTCCAAGTCTAACGCTGTGCAGCAAGCAGGGTTGCCAGGTAGTTTCTAGCTCAAACCGCCAAATGCCAGGCGACGTAGCCCAAAAGTAGCCAAATGGAAGAGATTCATGTAACCCAAAAGTAGCCATACTCTGCAGAGCCCAAAATATTGTGCGCTGGAATGTGCGAGCACAATTCCAAGGCACTGCGTCCGCCTACCTAGGGTTTAGGAGCAGCTTGCAAGCTCTACAACATCTTGAAATGTATTGAACGTTTTATTTCAAGCACAAAAGTACAAAAATTTTCCGCACGCGTTTCTACAGCCGCATAGTTTTGAAACACTCGCTCGTGCCCGTTTTACTTGCCTCATACGTGATTTCCTAAAACTTCTTCAGTAGAGTTGATGTCCTTACAGCACTCGTTCTTGCCAAGGAAAGCAAACTTTACATGGAGGACGTTTTGAAGAGTTGGAAGGGACATGCTCTTCCATAGGCCTGACTTTGTGACGGACACGTGACTGAATGCTCTCCCCACGTCAGCATTCGACATGGATATGATGGCAAGCTCCAGTGTTGCCAGGTCTACTGATTTATCAGTAGATCTACTGATTTCGTTCCGGGTCTACTGATTCACTGAAAAACAAGAAAATCTACTGACTTTTTTTTTAGTAAACATATTAAAAATTTATTATATGGCCCCTTCAGTTCCCAGTGCCGCCCATCAAAGGAAACTCATAATGTCCCAGAATTAAAAACGAAGCACTGGCTAGATGGCCCAGAAGCCCGTCCTATTCGAGTGACGTAGTCGTATATTCATCTATCTATTCACCCAGAGCAGGTTCGACGGTGACATCCGGGCCAGAATGGAGAGAGTTTGGCTAGTCTATGATCTCGCCGTAATGTCTCTCTCCCGAGTGAGCCAATCAGCCCGCGGCGCAGAGCGAGAGGTGTTTGCGCATGCGCCTGAACTCTCGGCTGCTCCTATACAATCTACTAGAATAGGCAACCTGCAGTGCAGTTTGGCGCTACACGTTGCGCCATCTAGCGGCAGCCAAATAAAGAAACTGGGTAGGCCAGGACTACGCGGGTCGCGGGGGCTGCGGGCGGGCGCATCCAGAAACCACGTGTGAACGTTGCATTTCGGATCGGCGTGAGTGTTTCTGAATCCGTTTTTCGTAAAAGGAAGTCCCAACTTCACGTCTTTATAACCTCACCGGGTTCCTGTGACATCTCGCCTACTCGTGGAGTTCTTCCAAAAAATAAACATTGCTATTGCTGCATGAAAGACGGCCACAGTCGCGAGGGTGACTCAAGGATCAAACTTCACCGCTTCCCCGGCTTCCCTTCGAGATGTTGGGAAGCGACACGGCGACAGAAGTGGAATACTACAGTGCGGCGCAACAAGTAAGTGAATTTTACAGAAACTGTTGGGAGGGAAGTGAACGGAAATACATGTGCAGGCTTGGAAAGTGGTCGGACGAACTCATTTTGCGGATTACTCGGCAAAATAACATATTTATACAAGTTGTATTACGAGTCGCTTTGACAGCCACATTAGGGAAATACGATAGGAACAATCGGGGCGATTGTTGCTTCGCTGTGGCGTAGAGAATCGGGCGATCAGGTCTTCAAGCGAAAGGCTCGTCGGTCCGTTCCGGCACTCCTAATGCATGCCGTTCGGCACGCGTAGTCGCAACCAAAACCTTCCAAACCTGCTAGTTTTTAAATAATAGATTTTCGTAGCACAAAATTTTGTTTCTTTCAGCAACCAAATTTAATGCTGAGTCTGGTAACAATTGTGACGGCATGCAGAAAGCAGGATAGAGAAATCTCATGCGAAACGTAAATACCCTTCTTACGCGTACACTTCGTTGCCTGTCGCCATTTTACACCAGGCTTTGCAATGTGCGTACGGTTCTGTAGCATGCAGAGTTTGGTTCTAATTACCCAAATTTTATTCTAGTGTGTGTGGGCGTCGGGAGGAGAGGACGGCCGAGCGAGGCGCGAGCGGGGGCCAGCCGGCGAGGAGCCTGCTGCGCGAGGCTGGGGCCGGGCAGGAACGATAGGGCCGTTCTGGCTGGTCTGGCCCATGGCGATTCCCGGGAGCATTCCACCAGCGAAGTTCGGATCAGGACCGACGGAAGCGGCGAACCCTGACCATACTGGCCTACTCCATGACGATCCCGGAGTGGTTCCGCAGCGAGACCCTGGCAGTGATAGCCCAGAACAGCTAGCCTACGCAGCGCTGGCGTGGGAAGGGCGATCCGCAGGCCTGGACACGGGCTCCGACTGTGAGCTCTGAACGACGGGAGACAGCTAAGGTCGGCGGGTCCGGAGTGCCGGCTTTCGAAGACGGGCAACCGGGATGTACAATAAACCCATTTGTTGTATTGTGTCACTTCCTGGGAAACGAGCCAAGCACAGACCGATCGGGCGCCTGACGGCCACAAGTAGTGAAGACAACTCAAACGTGTCCAAATGACGACTCTAGAGTATTCTCTCAGCACTTGGACCTAGCAAGGCTCCCGATTAAAAAACCGCATAAAAGAGCCAGGGACGCAGGTACACACGGGGACTGCTGAAATCAGAGTCGCCGCCGCTCGCAAAGGCCCGACGGGGAAACTGGCCGCCCCAATAACAGAGACGCCTCCGCTTGTGGCGCTGAATGCAGTGCTCTCGTGGCGCCGCCTGGCCATTGCCGGCTGCCTATAGCTTCGAGTTGAGCGGAGAGAGCCACAATCTTCATTCATTCGTTCGGCGGAATGCATGGGATCGACATCCAAATTTCAGTTATTTTCTTTTATTTGGCAGGCTGTGGCAAGAAAATGATATAATCCTATTCCTCGGTGGCTTAAAAAGCTAACGAATGAAGTTTCGCCACGTTTGAACGCAAACTTTGGGTCAGGCGAAAAAGAAATAAGCCCGTACCAGACAACGCGTAGCCTCAACAGTGCTCCGGACCAACAGCGTTGCTTCAAAAACCTTCCACAGCCCAGTGAGGAAAGATGGCAGCATGCAGAGGACTTCCATTGGACATGTTCGCGCGCACTTGCCGGAGCGTCTTGTTTCGGTTTGGTTTCAATAATAGCGACAGGTGAACGTCGCACTGTCGCCTTCATCTGTGATCCCAAAAGTGCCTCAGTCTCGATTCTAAAGAATAATCCTCGAAACAGTCAATAATGACTAAAACAAAAACATTTATGGTGTCATTTTAAAGGGGCCCTCCAACAGTATTTGAGCGTCGACTTTTTTTTGCGGTTTCTACACGCTAGTGGTCCCGGAAATCCAGTGGACAACGAAAGAGTTTGAAAATATTAGCGCATCGTATTTTAATTTGACAACTCGGAAACACCTCCTCCGACGGTGGCGCCGTGAGGTGCCGAAGGCGCGCGCATAACGGCGCTCCCTTTCACTATACGTCACATTCTCTGGGTTTCGTGATTGGCGAGAGCCGACCCAGGAATTTTGAAGCGAAATAAAGTATATCACACGTTAACCGTCATTATTTCACTAACAAGTTATTTTTATAGAGCTAATAAAGTTGCAAAGTAAAGTTCAAAAAGGGCGAAAACAACGCCTCGTACGCCTCGTCAGAGCGCCATGCGCGCTTCCCAGCGGCGTCCGCGACGTACCATCGCAAGCAGACGACAAGTGGTCCGTGCAGACAGCGCGCATCGTATTTTTCCTTGTGCGCCCCCGGTCCCGGTCAACTAAAAGCAGTAAGAGGAGCCAGGGGAACCCTTATTTTCTTTTAGTGCTGTGACAGACTTTTCACTGTTCGAGTGAAGTGCGGCGACGGGACCCAGCTTATATGGTACCCAACGGTGCCGCTCACCAGTTTGTACCTACTCGCCGAGGTGGCTCCGGTGGCGGAGTTGCGGGAGACGAGACTTCCGCGGCTGTCGAAGCGGACTGAGGCAGAGACGCGGCGCTTGCGTGAAGTGTCCTCGTACGGCGCGACGCCCAGGTCCGCACTCAAAACCTGATAAGCCCGCTAAATTCATCGATGATGTCAACCCGATCCCAAAGCTACGATGGTTGCAGCTAGGCCTAATGGCCGACGAGCCGACCGGGCCGACAGGCTATCAACCAAACTCGCGTCCAATTGGCCAACCGCTTTGCTCCAATCGCCAAACTGTTTCATTTTACGTCATGAAGCGCAATGTTTTGCTTATTTAAAGTTGTTTTCTGCAATATTTAATTTGCTAATAACTCACAAAATATCGCGAATTTCTGTAATATTTTTTTTCCTCGGTGTTCCTGCTTTCATGGAGCTCTGTTTAAGCGCGAACTTCAAACCGGTCAAAAAACTGTTGGTGGGCCCCTTTAAGAACTGGTCTTGTTTTTTTCTTTCATTTTTATTTGTGTTTATTACCATGTTATTTGTTACTCTATACTATTTCTTTGAAGTGTGTATTAATGGAGATAGCAAAACATGGCAAAACACATATTTCGTGGAATCTACTGATTTTTGTGCAAATCTACTGACTTTTTGGGGATCAATCTGCTGACTTTTTTTTTCTCCATCTGGCAACACTGGCAAGCTCGGAAAGCAACAGAAACAGGGCTGCTCCTGCGCATCGATCTTGGTATTGTTCGGAATATGCATTGTCCCAAACCTGCCGTTTGTTGTTATGGCTTATTGTGCTTTATGAAACTTCCACGTTTCGCAGAAAAGCCTCCTTTGTTATATCTGGTACAGCACGCGTTATCAGGCGACATCATATTCTGCAGGATGTTTTGAGTGGCCTTTAGTATATTTTTTTCTAAGATGTGGTGCCTGTAGGAGGATGGTGGGAAACTCGAGAAAATGAGAGACGTTAGTAGGAAGCAGAAAAAAATTGGGGGCATAAAATAAGCCACAATTAATACAAAAGCGATGTCGTCTGAGCTGTATCTAGGTCACGGTAGCTCACGGCCACGAATCTTCACGCAGAAAATCCCGGAAAGCGGGAATCCAGAAAGGGTGGACTGTCGCTTTGTGTCCACTCTATGTTGAACTGTCTTTTGTACATCTACCAT